ACATAGTGAACACAGAATAAATAGACATTAGTAAATAGCCATTTTATTTTAATTCATCTGTCCATAACAAGGGGGAGGGGCTAATGGCAAACTGTGCCCACAGTAAAGGGGGGCTAATGGTAAACTGTGCCCACAGTAAGGGGGGGCTAATGGTAAACTGTGTCCACAGTAAGGGGGGCTAATGGTAAACTGTGCCCACAGTAAGGGGGAGGGGCTAATGACAATCTGTGCCCACAGTAAGGGGGAGGGGCTAATGGAAAACTGTGCCCACAGTAAGGAGGGGGCTAATGGCAAACTGTGCACACAGTAAGGGGGAGGGGCTAATGGCAAACTGTGCCCACAGTAAGGGGGGCTAATGGTAAACTGTGCCCACAGTAAGGAGGAGGGGCTAATGGCAAACTGTGCCCACAGTAAGGGGCTAATGGTAAACTGTGCCCAGTAAGGGGGAGGGGCTAATGGCAAACTGTGCCCACAGTAAACTGTGCCCACAGTAAGCTAATGGCAAACTGTGCCCACAGTAAGGGGGGCGCAGTAAGAGGTAGGGCTGCCCACAGTAAGGAGGGGCTAATGGTAAACTGTGCCCACAGTAAGGGGGGGTAATGGTAAACTGTGCCCACAGTAAGGGGGGGCTAATGGCAAACTGTGCCCACAGTAAGGAGGGGATAATGGCAAACTGTGCACACAGTAATGGGGAGGGGCTAATGGCAAACTGTGCCCACAGTAAGGGGGAGCTAATGGCAATCTGTGCCCACAGTAAGGGGGAGCTAATGGCAAACTGTGCCCACAGTAAGGGGGGGCTAATGGCAAACTGTGCAATGGGCTAATGGCAAACTGTGCCCACAGTAAGGGGGAGCTAATGGCAAACTGTGCCCACAGTAAGGGGGGGCTAATGGCAAACTGTGCCCACAGTAAGGGGGAGGAGCTAATGACAAACTGTGCCCACAGTGGGGAGGGGCTAGTGGCAAACTGTGCCCACAGTAAGGAGGGGCTAATGGCAAACTGTGCCCACAGTAAAGAGGGGCTCTTGGCAAACTGTGCCCACAGTAAGGGGGAGGGGCTAATTGCAAACTGTGCCCACAGTGGGGATGGGCTTGTGGCAAACTGTGCCCACAGTAAGGAGGGGCTAGTGTTGCTTCTAGGTATATCTTATTGAGGATTGAGAGGAATCCTTTGTAATACCTTGTAAGAAAGGGTAATTACCTTCTTTTATGCACTGCACTTTGGGTGGTCTATAACTTTTAAAAATTCAGATTGGTCTCTTCGCCATCCCCATTAATACTGTTATTCTGAAACACAGCTTGTTTTTCCTTGGTATGAGGGCAAATTATTTCCGAGGAATAGAACACACTGGGTTACAAAATAGTTTTCTTTTTTCTTTAATCAGAAGAACTAATAGTGCCTTTCAAAATGCTGAGAGACAGAGCAAACTTAAAACCACCAGATTATTTTGGTATCTACAAATTTGATATTTTGCCAATAAAAAACATATTAGGGAAGCAGCTTGTAAACAACAAAAGGGTTTAATTACATCTTTGTATGCACACTCGAGCTCTTATAATCAGGATTTCGGAGGGTTACCTTACACAGATCAATGGGAAGCTGATTTATGAGAGGTCCTAGAGAGAGCGGAGTGGGAGGACATCTGGGAAGCAAATAAAACATCATCAATTTGTGTCACACAACCGGAGTGGTCTTACAAAACCATGTTCCGATGGTGTACTGCTCAGGGTAAACTATATCATAAAAAAAAATCCCCAGATGATCTGTGTTGATTGAGATGCAGACACAAGGGCATCTACATTTACACATGCTGGAAATACCCGCAAGTGCAGACTTGGTTGGTGACCTACTGACTAAAATATTTCAAAAGGAGAGTGGATCTAGACCCCTGGGTCTTTTTACTCTCCAGACCACAGGACAATTGGACAAAACAGAGCAAAAACTCCTACATAAGATAACTCTAGCTGCGAGACGTGCCCTGGCCCAGTTTGGTCTTCCATCTCTACAATACTTTAAAAATGTAAAGACACTACCCTCATGAATAAACTAACATAGAGGCACAATGAAGATTTTCAACAAAGTGTGGGACCCATGGATCATTCGTGACGTGGGCGACACAGGGGGATGAAATAGTGTCCCCAACTGGTGTCCTTGTGGTCCCTCTAGTGGTACTACTAGGGTACTGCCACCATGTAGGCCACAGATCAACCCTTTCACGATATCTAGCCAAACGTCTGCTCTACCCTAAGAGGAGAAATAACCTATCCACCCTCCTGCTCTTTGATGACCCCCATCTCTTTCCTGTCCTTTCTTCTGACCCCCCCTTTTGTTTCTCTAATAGGAAAAGTAGACCCCAGTAATTGTTTGGCTCTTCTCTAATAGCAAGGCGTATAATAACTTCTAAATGTACGATTCACATTGATTAACTCCCTGAACTAAAAGTAATTAAAGGACCACTTCAGAACCATAGAGCACTTCAACTTGCTGAATTGCTATATGGCTATGGGGTATCCCTTTAAAACTCCCATTTATAAAAGTGCCAAGTTCATGGTGAAATTAGCACTTTTATTTTCCCAAATAGAAATGCCTCCCCAGCTGTCAAACAGCTAAAAAGATTCACTTCCTACTTCCATTAGCTTTGGACTGACAGGAAGTGCTCTCGGTGAGAGCAGTGCAAATAGAAACAGAGGCTTCTCGATGATTGGACAATTCTCTGAGAAGTGAATGAAAGTCACTTCCTGTGAAAAATGGGAGGGCTTACAAGAGCTGCAGTGCTTATGACTATACCCCCAGTGAGTACATGCATAAAAAATACGCATGAATGTATTCATTGTGGGTATATCTATTAAACTGTGGGGGTTTTTTTGTTAGTTTTTTATGTGGGGATTGGTCCTTTAATTTTAGCATGGTTCTTGATTTGTTCTAACTGTCCTCTGATACGTTATCTAAGAAAATCTCAGGCAGCACACATTCAAAAATACTACCCTGGACCACGGACAACGTTGATGGAGTTATAGGGGGTCAACCAGCAAAGTGACAATGTAAAATGCTTACATTTGACTCAATGTTTTGATGTGAAATGTTTATTTGGGTGATGATTTCAGTGATCAAAATTTTTTTTTTAAATAATGCTGTTCCCTAATACAAGGAACAACAAAAAAAATGTAAAACAAAAAAGACAAAATTGTGTCGTTACACAAACATGATGGATAATTAAATTCAAACATTTTCAAATATTTGGGGGTGGGGGAAGGAAAAAGCATATATAGCGCAGACAATCTCAGTTAACAAGAACAAATGTTTAATCAGTAATATAGAAGCAGGCAGGTACATGTATTCTGATGGTAATGCACTTCTAGTATGCCCAATGTAGGGACCCAAAGTAGCACGATCGGGAGGATCCTGAAACTATCAAGATTTACAGATTAAAAATTATTTAGTAAAAACACAGTTTTATTCCCCACATAAAATACCTTACATTTAAAGGGATAATATTGGCATCAAAACAACTGTATCTTAATGAAGCAGTTTTGGTGTATAGATCATGCCCCAGCAATCTCACTGCTCAAATTTCTGCCATTTATGAGTTAAATCCCTTTCATGCAACCCTAGCTACACCTCCACTGGCTGTGACTCGAATAGTCTGCATGAAGGGGAAAGAAAAAAAAAGTTTTTTTTTTTTTTTTAAATCAGATGTAACTTACTTTATGAGTTTTTATCTCCTGCTCTGTAAATTCGACTTTAATCACACACACACACACACACACACACACAAGAGGCTCCTGCAGGCTCTAGAATGCTATTAACGGAGCAGGGGATATGAAATTCTAGATTAAATACACAAAGGAAACTAAAATATTTAGGTAAGTGTTTAGGAATGCTTACATTCAGGGAGGTGTAACTAGGTTTGCATAAACAAAGTAATTTAACTCATAAATGGCTAAAAACGGAGCACTAGCCAACTGTACCCACTGCACGGGGAACTTAAAGGCCATTAGATTGCATGCCTTGTGTATTGCTCTTGCAATCTCTGCCATTATTGCTATCAGAGTGCCGGGTACTGCAACAGGACTATTCAGCATCTGCACCAAGGGAAGGTGCAAACACTGGAGGAATGGCATATCCCCCCCTCTCTGAGCAGAGGTAACAATGGGGATGGAGGAAAAACATTAAAGAAAAAAAATCACCCCATACAGCTATATCCCACCCCTATGCTGCACACATACACTACATCTCTCATAATGCTCTTACAACTATATTGCTGGCAAAGAATCAGGGAGATGTAGTCGCCAACATCTGCCGAAGGTTACCAACCATTGTCCTGCCCCACCTCTACACACGCAGTTCCACAAGCAGCCTCATAAACACTGCACAGTAACGCAAGTTTTATTGTGGAGGAGCTTTGTAACAAACTCACTCAAAATGCAAATTACTGCAGGTTTTATTGTTGTGGAGTTCTGTGAGAGACTGATACACACTGCACATTACTGTGAGTTTTATTTGCTGTGGAGCAATGACATTCACACACTTCACGTGTTAAATGTAAGTTTTAATGCCTAGATCATCAAAGTTTATCCCATAGTTTAAAAAAATAAATAAATATATATATATATATATTTATTTTAATCGCAATAGCCTCTGTAAGTGAGAGGAACCCAGAACTCCAAGACAATACAACTCAATGTATTGTGTGGTATGAATTAGTATTGAGAAGTTCCAAAACAATAATCAAAAAGGGTGATTTACTGAAGTGAGACGTTTCAGGCATTCTAAGTGAATTTCACATTTTAGACCAGAAGAGTCCCACTAGAAGTATAGCCGACTTGGATAATTTAACAAATATAGCTATTTTGGCTTTGAATGTGAAATTCCTTACAATTCACATTTTAGGGATTTCCATTTATCCTTGCTTGGTCACTGAGCTTTTCTTATCTTCAAAAAAAAAATAATACATTGTAAAAAGTAAAAGAGACACTGTGGCATCACAATGCTATTGCTGTGTACTGAACAAATACTGTGATGTAATACATCTTCTACGCTAAATGGTGTGGCATACCTTGTGATGTCATTTTCCATAAGGCTTGAAGATGTGACTCCCCCTCCTTTTACACGAACTACATACTTTTGCTAAATAATTTTGATGTAATAAGCCTGACACTGGAGAATCACTGACAAAAAAATGTACTTAAGTGATGTGCAAGAAAGTTGTTCTGTTACAATAAACACTGTGACTTGACTTAAGCCTCAATGCAATGTAGATACAAACACAGAAATCATACATTTCTTGGTAATATGCTGACATAAACAGTGTGATGTAATGCATCTGATAGAGTAAGGGATGTGATGTCATATGCAAGGTGCATGAAAAACACTGAAACAAGATTCTTGGAAATGTGATGTTAGTAAGGTTCTGTCAAAGCGCAGACATACATATTGTGATGTCATGAGGTCTATACCAGTGCAGGAATAAACATTGTAATGTAGTATGTCTCATGGTAATTTTGCATGAACAAACACTGACAATTGTACAGGGACACAAACTGTGATGTCACAAAGCCGCCTACGAATGCTATGACATCATCGGGATCCCGGCAGTAAACTATTTGACATGCCACATGGCAGCGCGCAGGAATAATCATACTGATGTAATAAGTTTCCCGGCAACGGCAGTAATAAACAGAATGACATCATGCAATTCCAAGCAATAAATTCAAATAAACATTGATGTAAATGCATTCAAAAAATGTGTAAATATAAACACACTATGAGGGAATGTATTCAACACAAAGGCATGTCTTGGAGCCATACACCTAGCACAGTGGAGTTATGTAAACTTTGATGTCATAATATCTGGCAGGGTGCAGGAGTAAAAATATGTCTTTGTTTAGTAGCATTATGACACCACAGGTTTTACTCTGTGATATCAGGACTAGCAATGGCTTGATATAAACACTGACGTCCCAGGCTTTCTAACAATGTGTAGGAATTAAAACTTAATGATGTCATAATACTTGTGGCAGGAATACACCCTACAATGCCATAAGGCTCCTAGCAATATACAGGCATAAACAGGAATGTAATGAGGCTACCGAGAATATGCAGAAATACACATTGACATATGGTTACTGGCAATCTGATGACATCATACAGTTACTGGCAATGTACATTATTGCATAATGCTTCTATTAATGTACAGAAATACATACAGTGCCATGATATGTTACAAAGTATTTTCAGTCACATGATTACTGCCAATGCAATGTGTAGGAATACGCAGCGTGATATAAAATTATTACCATCAATGTGATAGAATAAACCGTGTAATATTTTAGGAGAAGAAATGCATAGGCATCACAACGTAGTGCAACCCTCCTTCCCCACCCGAAAAAAAAAAAAAAAACCCAAACAACAGGTTTATTGGATCACAAGGACAAATATAAAATATGTTTCGACCTTCAGGCCTTAATAATGAACAAACATGATTAAGGCCCAACTATTCTTTGCATATCGCTACCATTGTGTAGTGAAGCACATTTCTTTATTTTGTGTATTACACAATATTTTGTTACTGGCAGTGTGACATCATCGGGCAGTAAATTGTTCATTATTGAAGGTTCTTCGATCATATAAAATTGCCATGTTCTAGTTGTAGTGACTAACCATTGCATTACATTTAGTGATCCATTACCGTCAATGAATTTGAAAGGGTTACATTTGTGACCTATTAAAATCTATATCCGGTTTGCACCTTAGAAAATCTAATAACATTTTGCTGTTGGGTAGTACAAAAGCACATTGATGCAACGTTGTCCTGGTAATAGAGGTGGCAAGGTTACCCTAATACAATTGAAAAAATTCGACCCACTTAAATTTCAGAATGTTGACATTTGGCAGTAGACTTGATCCATTTTGGGCTGCAAAAGCTAGCCAAGAAGCTCTGGGCACAGATGATCCACATGCTGGCTGCTCAAAGGAAAGCCTCTACTCGTCCCATACTAATGATATTAGAAATCAGGAAAAATAAATACATTTGCTTTCCACAAATCATTTGATCCTAGCTTATAGCTTTCCTGGTCAAGGCATTGTGATTTGAAAGAGCCTTCCAAGGTATGGATGCATAAACAAGGTATGTAAAGGACATTACAATATTATATATATATATATATATATATACACATACATACACAAACATACATACATATATATTTTTTATTGTCTTAAACCCAACTGCGACCTCCACGTCCGCCGGCACCAAAAATGATTACATTATCTAATTCTGGAACTGTTGGCATTGTTATGCTTCTAAAAACAATGACAAGGGTTTAAATTAACAGCTGTTCATGGTTTTCCATGTTAATACATTATAATGTTATTTAGAAAACATAAAAATTGTAGAATCTATGCACATCATCTTAGATTCTTTGATTATTACAGCCCAGAATAAACATAAATAAAACATAAAAAAAGACAGATTTCTTAACATGAAAAAAAGTTACCACCACATGTGTCTGTAAACATACATTTTATTATTTTTTTGTTTTAAACCCAAAAAGGCTTGCACCAGCACACATTGTACAGCCTTGCAAAAATGACACAAATTTTTGATGAGGTGGGAGAGATAGAAAGGAAAACAAAACAGAAAAAAAAAAAACAAAAAAAAAAACGAAATGTTTGTTCATAAGTGCAATGAAACGTCACGTGTCCAGTGATTTTTATCAAATAAAACAAAAATTCACAAATAAAATGATGCCTAAAGAATTGTGATGTGAGGTTTAACGTCTCCACTGCCAAAACAAATGCGCTTCTGTAATTGGTAAATATTTAAAACACCTTTGGGCTGCCACAGAAGTTAACGTTTTTGTATTGTTTTTACTTTTATATATTATTATTTTTATTTTATTTTTAAAGATTGGTGTCCTACAATATTTATAAACTATGGACACATGCCTTTTTGACAAACATTATTGCATTCTCCTGTTTCCAGCTGCACCTGGCACAAAAAAGGCAATTAAAATGAATTTTGTGAGAAATATATTTTATTTGCAGTTGACTTTCACAAATTTATAATGTATTTAAAGGTATGGAGACACGATAAAGGGAAACTACCGTATATCATTTTTATCCTTACAAATGATAAAGGTGTGAGTGGCAGCAGAATTCCTTGCACTTCCAGGGTTAGAAAAGAAACAAAAACTAGGAGTATTTTCTCTACAAACAGCAGTATCTTTGATTAAATTTGGTAAGTGCAGCAAGAATTTCCCGACCCTGTTAAATTAAAATCTATAGACAGGATAGTGCGCGCTGTGGAAGAAAATTTTTTTTTAAAAAAAAACCAACAAAACAAAACAAAAAAAAAACCAAAACTTTTTTTTTTTTTACATGGGCATTCATTATGAACAACGTTTCTTTTCTGTACAAGAGAACTTTGGGTCCAATACAGAAATATAAATATAAAACAAACATACTATAAAAGGGGGAGAGAGAAAGAAACACAAAAAAAAAACAAACAAAAAAAAAAACAAGAAATATTTGTCCTGGTGTGTTTTGATTCTGCAGATTTGGTAGTTCACCTCTGCTGGTCCCACTGGGAAGTTCTTAAATAAATGAACAAAGATAGATCTTAGAATCTGCAGGGGTCGGATTTGAGACTCTCACAAAGTGGGGACATCCATAAGGAATCCAGAAGAACAACAGAAGTTGGAAAAATAGGGCAGGCTTCCAAGAATATAGATCTGCTACTGAGAACTCGCCCTTTCTAGAATATGAAAATCATAGTGCTTTCTGCTTGTTCTCAGTCTAAATTTGCTCATTAAGGTGTTGTTTTGTTTCTTGAAAGCACTTTGAGCTGCTGATACTGTAGGAAAAGTAGCTACTATTGTGTATGTAGAAGCTAAATCTTGGGATGAATTTGGATGTTCAGTGCTTGCGTGGTTATCACTCGTTCCGCAATAATGTTGGTGATAATGATGAGGAGTCTGTTGGGAATGGGGGTCCCTTAGCCATCGGATCCTGGCGCCAGTTTTGAACAGTTCTCCAAAAAGCATTTCAGCATCTTTGCGGCTTATTCCGTCTGGCAGTTCTGTTATTTCTAGAACTTTTCCAACAGCTGAAATGGTAGGAATATCAAGTGTGTTAAAAAGTTTGGTAAACATTTATCTAAGGATTAACCACTGATAAATGGTGACGTATACTAGAGTAGTTTAGTTTTGGTCTTTACTATACACTCCACAGTTATAATAACTAACATATGGTGCATACTCATCACTGCTACATTTAGCAATAAACCAGAGACTGAGTTAGAAGGAAAATCAAGGGTTCAATAAATCTAGCTATTCGGAAATACCAATTTTGAAATCCTCCCTTACTGTATAGATGAATAAAAAAAAAAAAAAACCCCACAATAATAAAAAATAATAAATTATAATTATGATCCCTAAGTTTAGCTAGTGGGTTAATAGAAAAAAACAAAACACAAGAAAACTAAAAATGTACTCACCTGGCTCTCCTGCACACAGATCTGTGGAGGCTGCTTTCTTAGCCGTCTTCTTACCTCTATTTCCATGTCTGTGGCCAGACTGACCCTAGAAAAATAAGGAAGTGTTAATTTTTTTTACCCCCAATGATGAGAATTTATTAACATTAAAACAGTGTCCCTAAAAAATGTTCTTTGAAAACAATTGTGTCAGTCTGTGAGTTAGACTCTTACACTGCTGCCATACAAAATCTGAACAGGTATCACTGAATCCTGAGCTGACCCTACTGAAATTCAAGGGTGGGGGGGAAATAACTCCAAGACATGTTATTTGTATTGTGGGATTTTACCTATATTTTCGTATTACGAATTACAAATATAGGATTATTATGTGATTACAATAAATGTATCACTATTAAAGAGCCACTGCACTTTAAAAATAACTAGTTCTTCTTTTATAGACATCCCTTTGAAATGTTGGAAACAAACAAAATAAATAAATAAAATGCTCCCCCCCCACCCCCCCCAGACCCTGTTTGCCCATTGCCCAGTAATCAGATGGGTCATTTAGTGGCTATAGTGCTTTCCCCATTAGAGGAACACTGTAGGGTCCAAAACAACTTTGGCTTAAAGGAGTTGTTATAGATCATGCCTCTGCACTCTCACTGCTTAATGAGTTATAGTGGAGTTCTTGGAACACTATAGTTTATGAATACAAAGGTGTATTCATAAGACTAAAGTGTCCCTCTGCCCCAGTGGCCTCCTCCCTTGGGAATAAAGGGTTTAAAAAATAAAAAAAATTCCACACTTAAAGGGACACTATAGTCACCTGAACAACTTTAGCTTAATGAAGCAGTTTTGGTGTATAAAACATGCCCCTGCAGCCTCACTGCTCAATCCTCTGCCATTTAGGAGTTAAATCCCTTTGTTTATGAACCCTAGTCACACCTCCCTGCATGTGACTTGCACAGCCTTCCATAAACACTTCCTGTAAAGAGAGCTCTATTTAGGCTTTCTTTATTGCAAGTTCTGTTTAATTAAGATTTTCTTATCCCCTGCTATGTTAATAGCTTGCTAGACCCTGCAAGAGCTTCTTGTATGTGATTAAAGTTCAATTTAGAGATTGAGATTCAATTATTTAAGGTAAATTACATCTGTTTGAAAGTGAAACCATTTTTTTTTTCATGCAGGCTCTGTCAATCATAGCCAGAGGAGGTGTGGCTAGGGCTGCATAAACAGAAACAAAGTGATTTAACTCCTAAATGACAGTGAATTGAGCAGTGAAATTGCAGGGGAATGATCTATACACTAAAACTGCTTTATTTAGTTAAAGTAATTTAGGTGACTATAGTGTTCCTTTAATGAACTCTCATCAAAGCATTCAATGTCAGAGCGATCCGAGAACGTCATAGAAGACTACCACTAGAGGCAGTCATAACCCCGCAATGCTAACATTGCAATTTCTCTAAAACTGCAGTGTCTTACATTGCAGTGTTACCGGGACAGGGACAGTGCACCCAGAACACTTCAATGTTTATGTAGCTCTAGTCACACCTCCCTGCATGTGACAAACAGTCTTCCTAAACACTTTCTGTATAGAGATGTCTAATGTTTAAACTTCCTTTATTGCACATTCTGTTTAATTTAGAATTTCTTATCCCTTGCTCTGTTAATAGCCTTCTAGAGCTTATATGAGCTTAGTGTGTGTGATTTAAGTTAAATTTTGTAACTGAAAATTAAACCTTTTTTTTTTTTTTTTCAGCTGTGCCAGTCATAGCCGGGAAGTTATGGCTAGAGCTGCATAAACAAAGTGATTTAACTCCTAAATGGCAGAGAACTGAGCAGTGAGACTGTAGGGCCTTGATCTACACACAAAAACGGCTTCATTAACCTAAATATTTTTTGATGTCTATAGTGTCCCTTTAATATCTCATTTTTTGTACTGAAAGATATAATGCCTCCCTTACGGAATGACAGACAGTTATGGCCCTAATTATTATTATAATTAAAGAAATTGCCTTACATCCAAACGGTTTTAAAATATGCATTGGTAAAATAATAAGGCTCTTATTATCTTATTGAAATTTTGAAGTTTACCCATCTTATGGTTAAAAAAGTGTATGTCACATGGTAGGACTAGGAAATCACAGCCAATTCTTTGTCTCCCATTAAAAATGATAGGAAAACACAGCATGTGTTGTGTTCATGCATGTAGTTCTTGCTTTCCACACGTAAATCAATGGGAGACCACGCATTCTTGCGCAGCTGGACACAGAGGGAGCAAAATTTTGCAAAAAAGTAAAAAACAACCCCACAACCAATCCCCGCACACAAAATACACATTAAATCTTTCTAACCTATTTTATGTTCTGCATGCTAGCAATGAATGTACTATTTTAAAAGGTACAGAAAAAAGTCTCAAAATGGTTAAACAAGTTGTTTCTATAAAAGAAGCAAAAAAAGTTATCTTTGAAGTTTACTGGCACTTTATATCAATAAATCTGAAATCAGACATATGTCGCACAGCAGATCAAATCAGTGAAATGCAGATTTGAGAACATGCATTTATAAACCTGTTGGCTTGTTATGTGTCCATGTATTACATGAGGAGGATTGTATTGTAATGGTTGACCAAGTAACGGATATCTTGTATCACCTAGCAGAGGAAAAAAAAAAAAAAAAAAAAAAACACAACAAAAACATAAATAAGATGAAAATATACTCACATTCAAATGCTATTTATAGAAAGTATTAAAATAGAGAAAGATAAGAATGAGAAGATGTTACTTAGACAGGAAACTTTTCAAGGGAGCAAATAAACAAAGAATGAAGTGTGACAGACTGGAGATGATCTTTCAATACCATTACAAATACGGTCATTTACCCACTGATTATCAATCTGTGAATAATACATGAAGGGAGATATCCTTGAGATTTAGTAAATTTAAATGTTAGATTGTCACTGCTCTGTTTCTCAAATAATGATTCTCGGAGAGCCTAACTATAGGAATCACTCTATGATCTATTGCAGGGGTAGGCAACCTTTGGCACGCCAGATGTTGTGGACTACATCCCCCATGATGCTCTTACACCTATAACGCTGGCAAAGCATCATGGGAGGTTTAGACCAAAACATCTGGAGTGCCGAAGGTTGCCTATGCCTGATCTATTGCATTAAATGTGCCTTTATTTTTTGGTGCTGTGAGCAGCATAATTGAGTTTATGCTCTGAAAGGGGGGGGAGGAGGAAGATAGAGATTTTACCCTATGCCCATTGGGTGTTTGAGATAGCAACTTGTATTCTAAATTGCTTTGTGCCATAAGCCATAATCATGGTATTTAGGGTTCAGGAAGATATCCAAATGCTCTGCATGGGAAAGCCACTTGCAATGCTTTCAGATCTGAATAGAAATTCCAATCACTATATTAAAATACCCAATATTGATTTGCAGGAGAGAAAACTATAAACGCAGAATAATTTATTCTTAACCATCTTAAATCCCGTTTACAGGTATTTGGTTTTGTCTCTGTCATAGAGAGATCAGGGGTTGATGGAGATATTCTACAGAAGTTGGATTGTGGTTAAAATTTACTAAAAATCAAACAGTTAATAAGGTGCATTATTAGAACTGAAATGCCTTACCTTGGCCAGGAGGAAATGGTCTAGAAAACTGCGGAACTAGAGAGAGCGGAGTTAAACCCGGGCGCATGTTTTTCATGTTGGCCAACTGAACAGGTAGAGGAGATTGATTAGGAGAAGTCCCAGGACTGTTTAAATGTGAACTATGCTGGAATAAAAACAAAAACAGCAACAAAAATCATTAATAAGCATACAAGAGTGTCCGAACGTGTAATGATCCTAAAGAAATATAATTACAATTTAGCAATGTGACATTCAAAATATGTAATGTATAAATAGTTTTCCAAATATTAGTTTTATTTGTAAAATATATACATTCAAGGTATAGGTCAGGAAAGGGTACCTCGCCACCTATAGAATATACTACACTATATTCTGTTTTCTGTCCTCATATCTTCCATACTGATTCACCACCATACGAGTTTGAGGACACCCAGAAGGTGCTGCTTCCCTGTTCTCTTTCCTGACCTATACTTAGTTATTGCCAGATAGAAGAGACTCTGGTTTGGGAAGTACCGGCTGCCATACCAGGATCTAACAAGCACTAGGAACCTCACCATCGCACGTATACATACAAATACACACGAATGTACAAAACGGAATGTCAATTAATACAGTGCATAATGGGAAACATGATTTAACGGCCCCCCCAAAAAAAACAACAACACAAAACAAATCAACCAAAGGGTTATTCACTGAACGGAGAACTGTGAATTTGAAATTTAAGATCAAAAGAGCCAAAATGGAAACATTCTCCAAGTCTCCTCTGCTTCCAGTTCGGCTACTTTGGTCTTAACTTTGAAATTCACTTTGAATTATTGACAATTCTCACTTTATGGAAGTTTTAGTCCAGTGTTAACATCTACCTGTGTAGAATGGTCCAAACTGTATTCTCCTGGTTTTGGAGTCCTCTGATGGTCACAATAATATTTATTTGGTTTCCAATGAGGTGGTGAATGTGTTTGTGGTGGAGGATTGCTGGGTAGGTTGAGCTGCATCATTACCATCCCGCCACTAGGTGGAGGTGCAGGAATAGCTAGAAAGGTTTAAGGGAAAAAAAATTTTTTAAGTATATATATATGTAAGTATATAATATCTCCAGTCTCTGTATCTCATGTTACCCAGATAAACTAATCTGTTGCAATATTAAAATTTGCAATAGCTGCTTTTAAAGATCCATTATATTCTAGCAGATTAGCAAGCTAAGCAATGGGTCTCTGAAGGTGGCAAGGCAAGCACGCAGATGAATCAATATACACTGCCCGATTAAGCAAAAGTGTTTTGTTTTGGAACATTATTTTATTTAGATAATGCATTATCAGAATGACAACATGGAGATTTGTTTGTTATGTTTTTTTGTCTCTCTCGTTTCAAGCATATCCTGGAGTGCTCAAATACACTCTAGTTACACAACTGGTTTTTGTCTAACCATCACTTTGGCTTTTTCGAATTACAAAGTGAATTCAAGATGAATTTCAGATGTTATTCTGTTAACTTTGGTTATTTTGACTTTAATATTTTTTTAAATCACTATCAAATCATAACAATTTCCTCTTTAGTAAACAGCCACGCTAGTGCTCTCATCAGCTTTCAGCCAACATTAACGCCATGTTGGGATATTTACAAGAAATGGCAGTGTAAGGGTTTTATTTCTTATTTCTATTTTGAATGTATTATTACACATAAGACTTGATAATTACCCATATTACTAAATCTCCCTTGATTACCTCCATTACCCATATTACTAAATCTCCCTTGATTACCTCCATTCAAGTGTAAGTTTTTTTTAGAGTGTTCACATTTGCGCTGGTGGTGAATAGCACTTTTTAATTGACTTTTACCTTTCTGTATATATGTATTATGGTTATTAAGCCATGGCACTGTAATAGGTTGTCTGTATTTTGATGCGGGTATAGCGCCATCTAGTCAGTCACTTATCTTATTAAAGCAGTTGTGAATTCCCTGAGAACAGAGGGTCTGGCAGTGAATGTGACTTACCTGGGCATGGAGGGCCTGGCAGTGCTTGCGAGTTACATGGTGAGGTGGTTCTAGGAAATTGCATTTGGTCGGACCCTGGTGGCTGCATGTAACCTACTGAAGAACTGCACATAGAAATGACAGCATATTCAAGAAGAGAACTGTGTGTTTAATATATTTAGTAAAGGCAATTAAAAGTTTGAAAGAGTTAACATCTGAGCTCCTTTTTAATGATTCCACCCACAAAAATTAACCAAATAAAGCCAACCATGCTCATTTATCTTTATCACTGGAAAAGTACCTTAAGTTGTTTTGCTGTCCTGGGGAAATGACACTGTAGTACACTGGCATCCCAGCCGCAGGTACAGGGCCCTGACTGGTCTGGCTAGGTATCAGCACCTGTTGATGATATGGCTGTTGGGGTACAGTCTGGGATGTTTGCCGGACAGGAACCTGATAGAATAAAATCCAAGAATAAGGTCAACAGGATTCTCCTCAACAAGGGAACTATACCCAAACATTTTAACGTCAATGCTCAGGTAGGACCAACACGAACAGAACCATTTCTGTAGATCCAATGCAAGCCTACCTTGCACAAAGCAAGACAATGAATGCAATTAAATTTGAGCTGCTACATGTGGATGCAAGATCAGAGTTTTAAGAAACAGAACCTGTTGCGTAACAATAAAATGATGATAATACAAAACACGAAAAATAAATGAATGAGCAAATACCTTACCTGGTAGGAGGGCATAGAGGAGTACTGCACCATGACTCCCTGGATGGGACTGGGAATGTTACCGGGCTGCCCTATGGATTGGTTCAGAGGAGGTTGTTGAACATTCACAATGCCCTGGTAACTTGCTTGCTGGTTGGGCATTACAGTGGGGTAACCTGTGGAGTAACAAGAATAGCATATTTATGGTACCGAAGTGGGGAAGGAAGCGTACATTCAAGTTTTGTCATGAAGTACTCAGACAACTGAACATTCACGCACATCCTCTGCCCACCCAAAGTCCTCACTGACCTTCCAAAATGGGCAAAGAAAAGGACAGCCAAGCAAAGGGTGAAAGAACCTAACAAACTCACAACAACAACAAAATATGCTGTATTAGACAGACAAAATGGATTCAAAACAGAAAAATGAGTGGGTAACCCCTTTATTCCCCAAAAGACTGATTTGATCATTAAACAGGTGATATCAAAACGTATAGTTGTCCAGCCTTGGATTTCCAACTTTAATTGGATTCATATTTTCAATTTTCAGAATTATCTGTAACATTGTCCATGAATAAATAGTGGTCTAAAGCGGGGCACCAGTGCAACAGGGCCAACATTATGCAAGTAATGTATAGTGTCCTTATGCATTATGCATAGTATCCTATTAATTTGTAAACAATTTACTACAATTCATGAAAACTGCTTTGAAGTTTCAGAGGTAAAAATGAAAATAATTATAATAATTATTATTTTTTGGCATGTCTGCAGTGCACATTCATTAATTGGTATATTAATTTATTCCACCAACAGTCATATCATTACCATTTGAAAATGACCAATAAAAACGTATAAAGTAAATCAACGATATTGAGTTGATCAAAAAGCTTAATCAAAAAAGTAAAAATTTCTTATAACGTGTTATACCATCTCTGATAACCAACGTCGCCGCACAGGTTTATGCTCGACCGTGCTTTCATGTCATATTTTTTTTTAAAAATGTGTATTTTCCTTCACTTGCCATGTTATTGTTTAAAATGTATGATGGTATAAGGCTTGTTCATGGCTGTTGTGGCAATACAAGCTAGTTTGTAATCCTTTTGCACAATATAAATATAGATTTATTTATTTTTTAAAGTAAAATTTTTATAGATAAGATTAGTAATAACCAATTTAAAAAATAAGCACTCCTTTATTATATTAAACACAATGTTTTGTAGATAAACATATATGGGTTGTTTTAATATTAAAGGGTTACTCCAGCCCTGTTTTATCATAAACAGACTTCCATTTCTTATGCAAAACACCATTTTCTGCCAATACTAAACCTGGTCCATTCTCATGCCGTATCACTCCTTCCCTGTTCCTGGTCCAATTAAATGCTTCTCATAGGGATGCATTTGATTGGACCAATCTCAAGGTTCAAAGTGCATGCGCTCACTCTGACCTTGAGAGTAAAGGGTCGGAGGGAATTAAAAAATAAACAAACTGGAAATGCAATGAGACAGGGAGGGAGCACATGGCGAGAGGTAGGGGGAAATCACTGGCTTCTCCTTGAAGATGCGCTCCCAGCACTGCCTTACAACGCTGCACATTCAGATTCATTCAGCCATAACCATTTCTAAAAGCAGAAGTGGTCATGGAGGTTGGAGTAACCCTTTATATAATCTGGTGGACGATTTGTTATGCATATTAACTTTTGACTTCAGATAGCCTTGCCTTGGAACATTTGCACAAAAAGCCATCTGAATCAAACAGAAAAACACAAAATAAATGATAATTGAGATTGAATACACATAAAAAACATTAATGCCATTGGATTGGCTTTTAATACAATCTATGCATTGGCTTTCGAAGATAATGTCAAACTATCAAATAAAAACTGTGCAGACCTACCTACAATAAATAAATAACTTACAGATGAATAATGTGACAAGATAAGATATAACATGTCAGAAAAAGAATCCAAGTAGAAGAGGAAGTAGCTGGAAAAGAGACCGGTTCACTGTGAGAAACTTAACCCCTCTCATACAGTGCTCCGGGCCCGGGTCCGGCTGCTCAGATTAAACCTGTCAGAACACTGCACCAGGACTAGGGGCGCACAGGAAAGTAAGTGATTTCCTCCCGCTAAAAAAATGATTGGAGGAAGATTCAACTGTAATAATAGAGGGACACACCAGTGAATTAAGTGGTCCAGAGAGGACAGCTTTAGGCGATAAGTCATCGATCCAAACAAAAAAAGTTCTAAGAAAAGCAAGGAGTAGGAATACTGCTACTTCCCCATGCTGAATGTTACACTTTCAGTGTTTTGTTTTTGAGTAAACAATCTTCCGATCTCTAACAGTATCTCATAACAAACGGTTCCAAAGACCTTTTCGGTTCCAAAAATGCTATTTAAACTTTAAAGCAATACAAACATATATTTAAATGAACCAATACCAACTTAATTATATTTAAGTTATGCCACTGTTGCGTGTTACAGAGAAGATGGTACTTGGAATGTATCTAATCATGTATTACTCCATATTACACGTCAAATACTCTACTTTTACACTCCAATCTCCGCAGAACAATAGCACGGAGACTTATTAGACTTGTAAATAGGGGGCGTTGTTCCCCTAAGACTTGCAGTGAGAGGATGTAGACTTACAAAATATGTATTTTTTAAAAGTTTTGTAAACATAGTGGCATTTTATTACCACTTCATTCTTCGTTTAATCTGTAAACCAAGAAACAACGTTTCTACGCAGAAGTAAGTTAAAATAGAAAACAATGGTGCCCACTGCTTATTGATTGCAAAAGGAGTTCGATTTTATTAAATGACCCCAAGGAACAGAGAAATGTGAATTTCTCACTACGGTTACGAAACACAAACCTGTTGTGTGTAACGCCTGTGACAGGGTTTGATTTGGTTGCGTAGTATATTGGACGGAGGTTCCTGGTCTGTATTGTTGATTAGGAGGAGCGTACTGGTTTGGCGCACAATAGCAAGCTGGCATCTGTAGGAAAGATTAAATATTTATAAATAAAATAGTATTGTCTGTTAAGTCACTCAATTCACAATCTACAAAGGAGATCAAAGGATTTCCTACTACCACCGTTTTAAAATGTAAAAACAGTGCCAGATTACCCAAAAAACACAGAAAAATAATTGGTGATAATTAGAGCCAGTACCGTCCTTGATGATAAAATAGGAGTGCTAGCAGGAAAATTCAATCACCTTTTGCTTATCACTACACTTTAAGTCTATAACCTTGTTTTCGCCAGTGTTGACATGAAAGTAGGCAGATAAGAGAATAACCTGGTATTTTAAATCAGCTTTGGTCATGAAGTCACCCCAGATGTAAAGATCTGTGCTGGAGCAGGAAGGCGGGATATAGAGTTGGGAGACAGAAAACGTGCAAAAATTGTGCTTTACAGAAAGTGTGGTGGATACCTAGATCAGTCTTAGAAGCATTAAAAAAAAAAAAAAAAAAAAAGACTTACATAGTAAAGAAATTGATGGATGCTGGAGAAGTGTATAAGACTATCCTGAAGAATAAATAGTTAATATAAGTTTCACATTAGAAAATAGTGAGAGTTTGTAGCTCAACTACTTCTTATCTGCAGTGTTTGCTCATTGGGCAAGGTACCCAAGCAGACCTCCCCAGGCAAAAAAAAACAGCACTATACATGAAATCCTCCTCTCTGCTGTACTACATCATAGAGCACAAAAAGGCAGAAAAACCAGAACAGAACTGAAAAATAATCCAGAAAATACGTTCTACAATGGCAAACGCAGATAAAGAAGGACCATGTTCCTTCTAGCATTCCCAGAAAAAGTAAATCTAATTTAACCAATTCATAAATTGTATAATCCCATCATTCTGGTAAATTGAAATTCCATAAACCAGAATCTGTAGCTGGACTAGGGAAACAGCTTGTTTGACTTTTTAATAAATATATCCTATGCCACAACAAGTTCTATTAATTGTGTTTCCCAGAAGTAAGCCATCGGCTAAGCTTCTAGGGAAATCTAGTACAAACAGCTAGATGAAAGCCATCAGAATGGCAGGCAAAATAGCAGGTTAAGAAGAGAGTTTTGGTTCTGCCCCCCCCCATAACATACCCAAATGCCTTCTTGTGTACAGTAACTAATTTGAATTTGGTTTCATATCCAGACATGAAAGCAGACAGAAACAATGTATTTTTCAGGTCTTGTTCCACACTTGTGTCTCTGTTGGCACAATTCACAGATAGACAGTTTGATACATGCACACAGTTACAGGAACAGAAGTGTACCTGTTGGAGAGCCTGCTGCATGTAGCCCTGTGGCTGCAGCACCGGCTGATTGACAGGCTGGCTTGAAGCAGAGAAGCTAGGAGGCGGCACAGACTGTCCAAGTGGTGGTGGTGGAGGTGGCGGTGGCGCAGCCACAATGTAGCCAGACTGTGGAGATGGTTGAAGCACCACGGTAGATTGGAACATAGTTGAATGTGCATCTGAAGCATCTGCAGACGATTGCCTGGCAAGGCTCATATGGCTAAACTGAGATCCCAGGTTATCTTGCTACACAAGAAACAAAAAAACATTAATGCAAAAAAACAGAAGCAAAGCTACCTAGGTCTAGATAATTTATTACACGGTAGGCACTTAACAGCCTTCCAGCAAAAGTGGCAGGAGTATATAATGGGACAGGGGTATATCATGTAGGTATAGGGTTATATAAATCCAAAAAATTATCTGTAGTACGAAACTATGAAACCGACAGTAAGTGGTAACAGACAACATGGCTTTGTTTTATTTTGGAAGGCAGAAATATTGTAGCCAAAGTGTTTGTATTACCTGCGCAAAGAGTTATGGGTGGTGTTTCACACAACTATTTGTAATAAAATAATCCCTTCATCAAGCAGTTTATATTTTCTTTACAAACTTGATGAAAGGATAATTATATTAAAGAATAGTTTTGCGGAAACCGTTGTCCTTTAAGCAGAAGACTAGAAAGGGTACAGTAGGGTAAAGCGTTAATGTGCACTTCAAGGATAGAAAATTGGATTATTCTATTCCTGTACATTGCAATCTAGGATCTCTATTTTTTTCAAATGTGTTACTTTTTTCAAGGTGACATTATATATAATTTTTACGTTTTAACTAACCTTTTCCCGATGTCTCTAGGAGTATGACTATAATTTAAAAAATAAATAAATCTTTAGAAATAACAACTGCTTTCAGACTTAAAGGAACACTCCAGGCACCAACACAACTTCATCTAAATGAAGTTGTTCTGGTGCCAGGAGCCCCCCAGAGCACTCTTACCTCAAGGGGTTAAACCATTCTCAAATGCTTTAACCCCACAGTTGCCTCCAGCGGCAATGTCCACTCCCCCCAGGCAGCATCCGGCTTCTGAATTTTCCGATTCAGGAAGGGCAGAGTGCTGTCAGGCAGAGGCGTAGCTTATTGGCTGAAAGCTGTCAGCTGACGCTCTTAGCCAATCAGTGACTCCCCATTCACTAAACTGGCTTGGAAAAGGTATGTTTGACAAAACCTGACAAAGACCTTGCATAAGGTTGAAACGTTGTTCTGTCACTTTTCGTTCCAATAAAGATGCTTGCTATTTGCACACTGTAAGTGACTGAAAATTTTCCTTTATTTTAAGAACTTCACTGACAGTTTACTTTTCTCTAAAAGCAAATGCATCAATTTCGCTAAAGCCACATGCTCCCCGGGAGATAGAAGTGCTTGATATTTGAAATGGGTTCTGAAAAATGTTCCGAGTATTTCTTTCAAATTTTGATGTTACAACTCCACAAAGGCGCAGTCTTTGCGTTCCTCTTCATATTATAATCACCATGGTGATCATCAAGTAAACTTGCCTCAACAACATTTTTATTAAATACCCTATTGGGCATGGAATAAAAAAATAAAAAAATAAATAAATAATAAAAAAAAAAGCTTAGGAAGCAGTGTTCATAACCAAGCTCTGAACAGGTAATTCTCTGAAGTGCTGAAATAATTAGGAAAATAAATATATAATGCTGACAAAATGACTTTGGACGGTGTTAGCAAAAGCTGGCCAATCTATAAAAATGACAAACCAAGAAATGTTCATTGCACAAAGTCCCCCCCAAGGATCATTATAGTCCTTTAAGATAATTACTACAATAATAAGGAGGGAAAATAAAGAATTTGCAGCTGCCGTGTCTGAACGGTTACAAGATAATGAATTGATTATATAAAAAGCAAATGAGTTTGGTATATGCACTTATCTAACCCTCGTTGCTTTCCAATTATTTAGCTAATATTACAAGAGATATTTTCAGACAGTATAATTAACGAGCCAACAGATATTACAAAGAAGGTGCTTCAAGGAAATTGAATAATTTTATAATGATTTGCTGTTTCGTTGCAATCAAAAATGATGATTAGCTTGAAGAAAAACGAGCACCTTTTATAACCTACTTCTTAAATGCTGAAGTTTGCAAAAAGCTTTTTAATTTTAATTTATTTGAATGAACATGATTATTTAAAGAGGACACAGAGGTGCACCTTTGGTTTTAAAGCGGATTAAAGATATCATTGAGGGGTTTGGGTTATGTGGCTTTCTCTAATGAAATCTTGCCTTTACTTCCATTCGTTAGTTGAGGGCTATTTAACCCCTTAAGGACCAAACTTCTGGAATAAAAGGGAATCATGACACGTCATACATGTCGTGTGTCCTTAAGGGGTTAATAACTAGCAATAATAATAAAATAATTATACAGTGGCTTTAAAGTTACACGATGAATGCACTCAATTGAAACCTTGTCAAATCTAAGTAGGCTTCCACTTTTACGGTCTAGCAAAAAGAAATAATGAAATACTGATAAGGTGTAACAGAGCCACCTGATGTACTGAAGCCCCAAAACATGGATCACCTCAACATTACGTTCTACAGAAAAGCATGTAGCATAATAAATTTAAATAAATGAGATTTTTCATAGGAAGAAATTATACACTTTCTTTAAAAAGAATCAAAAGAATCAGGATGACCATAAACACTTGGGACTCAAGACGTCACTTCACAAAAGAAAAACACAAACAAAACATGCAAAATAAAACCAACAAACAAACACCAAACAGCAACTAACTGAAATAAAAGGAAATACAGTACCACAGTGTACTGCTGGGTGGGTGAAACTGGCAGGAGTGGGGGTGGATAGGAGACGGCAGAGTACTGGACAGGTTGCGAAGATGGCGGCAGAGATCGGATAGGCTAAAATGAGTAACAGTTGGACAAATCTGGTTAATAACAGAGAAGGAAAGGAACAAAGAAACACATGAAAGCGATTAGGTTAATTTTACCTATATTGCACGGGCAAATTAGAAGCTGCTTAAGGTTTCATTACAAGTAATTCTTTCCCATTTTCATTAACAACCCATGGTGCTGCAGCAGACTGCTTTAAACTTGGGGTTCAACATCCATCTGGCCAGTAATACATTTCTATCTTGAGCCCCACATTTTGTTTAGCCGGTATCTGTTACTGCAAATATGGAAAACCTATCAAACGCAAAGTCTAAAAACGGTCTTTAAGCTAGACATAGTTCCTAAAATAAAAGGCCTCAATATACTGTGAAGGCACGGTAAGGGCAGCAAGTCAATCCATATTTTGAAAGCTTTTTAATATTTGTTTTTTTTCTCAAAGCTCTGCAGTTAAAAGGTACAACTTGCAACATACCAGAACAAAACATTATATGCGGTTTGAAAAGTCATATTAATGTCTATCTTAAACCTCCATTGTGTAAGTTTTTTTTTTTTAAATCTTTTTTTCCAAGGACATTTCTTATCTAAAGTAAACCACGGACTGTATACAGAGCCTAGGCTAAGCAGAAAGGAAAACCAACACTTCACATATTTCCTGAAATAGTCTCACACCATTTCAAGCTTTGAAAACCTCTTACATTTCCAGTCATTTGTTTGTATACAAATAAACACACACCAAAAATACCACAAAAGGCACACAGTGTTGCGCAAGAAGTGAGCAGTCCTCTGATTGTTTTAGGATTATGACTTCTATTAAATGAAATCAGACATATCTGCTATAATGCATTTATCAGTTTGAAAATACAGCAGCTGGCGAGGTTCCCTTTCAGACTGACATCCAAGACTATCACGGAGGATTCCGTTCAAGGGACATTTTTATTACGCCATCTAACTTTAAGTACATACTAATTTATATTAATATATTCCTTAGATCTACATAAATGTCATATTTCATAAGAGGGGAAAAAAGTTCAAGTGTATTTTAAAGTAAAAGCTGGTATTTATTAACCAAGCAGAGAACCATTCGGGACCTTGTGGATTATTCACTAAACCAATAATAGCAAGGAATGAAGTCCATTGCACATATAGGAGACTAAACAAAAATTGGAAATTTTTTGTCAATGTGGCAATATTGGTATAAAATTCGCAACACCCGTATCAATGGCGATTTAGTGAACAAACATATTACACCTTTACAGTACGTAACAAAAAATGAAAGAAATCTTGGCTGTGACCGTGAATATAAAGTGATAAACTGTGGCAATACAAACTCCCTCCCTGTCTGATTGGTTTTCGGAGTAAAAGCAAAGCAGAATAAAACCAATAAAAGAGACGGCTGTGGTTTTGCTAAAATCTTTACAAGGCAAGCGTCTTCAAAAGAAGAGAATTTCCTTGCAATAATTACACTGCACTATACATGTCTCCATTATCTTGGCAATGCAGAAGCCATCTGAGTAACGCTGCATTTGCATACCCGCATGCGTTCCGTCATTTAATGTCAGACTCCGCTGAAACAGCTGGTTCTGTGAATACAGTATCTCCTCACATTACACTGGATTCTCAGACTCCCTTTCATCCTGCCTGAGGTAATAACTTGATACAAATTGTAGCACACGCCTGACAGCAATCCTATTCTATTTACTGATGACTCTACGGCAGAAGCCACAAGTAGAATTCAACAGACAACAAAGCAAACACACAATGTTATAAATCTCTAAATGACAGAGGAGTAAGTAACAGAAGCTACAAGCACTTACTTGGCAGTCAAGGAACTACATGAAAAGATTCGACAGGAAGTGCCTTCATATAATACAGCAGTGGTTTTTAACCCCTGGGTGGGGGTTTTTTAGTGATGGAACAAGCACATCACGTTTGTAATGAATATATTTAACTGCACAAAATAACCTAACACTGAAGAGTCTAATGTGTTTTACAGAATTAAATCAGTTATCCATTATATTTCAGTTGACGAATGGGTCACGGCTAATTTTAGAATTGAAGGATGGGTTTCCAAGCCAATACCATTGTACATAATTTGGGTCCCTGTCAAACGTTTAAGAAGCACTGCAGTACAATCACAGCACTATAGTGGCGTTCGAAAAAATGGTTTCTAACCATTAAATGCCATATTTGCAAATTTAGTACGCTGCATGGAAGGTTGTCATAATTTGCAATTCAGTTGCTACCCACTGTTAAGAAATTGGATTTGCCAGGATGCCGCTCCCTGCCTACTCTCAGCAATCAGGATTGCTGAAAGACCCTGCCTAATAACTTCGGCACTGTCTGAAAGTGTCAGCCAATGAGAAGTACTGCACAACCGAACGTAGCCCACATACGCAGAGCTTCTGGCTGTAGTTAAGGCGAGGAACAGCTCCCAGTGGACCCAAAGTGAGAAGTCATACTGATCTAAAACTGTTGGACTATTTACACTAAGAGGGGTGGGGGGAGGGGGCAGGGCCCTCCTGGCACCATAACCACTGAAGTATGATGTAGTGGTTACAGTGTTTGGGTTGTCCCTTTAAACACAATATGAAGAGCATGGCAAGGGTGAAAATAAATAAATACCCCACCATCAACACCACCACATTGTATAGGTGTAAAATAGGGATGGTGTGATGTACTGTTTTTCCCCCCTCTTTTTAATATATCTAAATATGCTTGTTTTTTTCTAGCACAAAAATATTTCTTTATCACTTAATATATAGAGATAAAATACACTGGATTAATACCGATGATGATCATATTACTCTGTTATCAAGGAGTGTTCCTAATCTAAGCCATTATGAAATAAAGCATAATTTATTGAATAAGACTGCCACTAAACAGAGAGTAGCACTAACCCATGTTTATCCCCTCAATCCATTACTATAGATTTTTAGAATCTCCAAAAATTCAGCTTGTAGTATCATGCAAGGTGGGTTAGTAGTTTGAAAGAACCTACCTGGGGGATGATATGGTTGGCAGTTTGCTGTGGAGGCGCTGGGGGAGGAGCTGCAGGCACTTGGTTCCTAGCCGGTTGCTGAGTTACTGGAGGATTATACACAACTGGGGTGCCGTCTGGGTTTATAAAAGGCTGACCTGGCGCATAATAGGATATTGAGAAAGGCATACCATGAACAAAATATATAGTTATAGTTACTATTGAATCTATGTAACTGATATGGGTGAAATTAAGAGAAATCAGACTTGTATTCAATATTTAGGTAAAAACTAAAACAGACATGTTTTGACAAAGCCTCCTTGCGAGGATGACGAAATGAGAAATAAGGAGTTAATTAAGGACAACAACATTTGCTCTCAAGGACATACCAGAAACTAGCCAAGTCTATGATGAAGCCTACCTGGTTCAATACTAAATGGATATAAATTACACCTTTCAGAACAAAAATAAATGAAATGTTAAAAAAATGAAGGATGCAACCAAATCAGACAAAGAATGGCTTAAAAAAGATAAATGTCCTTGGAATGCCTACAGATGATCTGTGGAATAACAGAGGGTTGGCAACAGGTCACAGTGAAACCCGACTAAGCCCAATGTGTTAAAGAGAATTATACCAAATTGCATTTTTACTAAAATATGTGTACTATTTTTACTAAAGGTAAGACACATGCACAACCTAAGCCCTAAACGTTCAGAAAATGTCTGTTACAATTTATCTTTCAAAGCAGTGGTGAAGAGATCCACCTTTCAATTCAAAACATAAAAAACAAAAAAAAACGTAACTGAAAAAGAGTAAAGATTACCAACTGGTCGTATAAGAGAAAACTCTTAGCAAGTCAGGGGTTTATTAAGCAGAACTCTAATAAACAGGCTATCATTATCAAACTGTATTTCAGGTTTTAAACTAGAAAAGCTGCTGGGCACTCATCTTGTTAACATTTTCATTAAAAATATAACTTCGCATCTTTTGAACAGGTAGCCAGATTAGTTTATTCAGGAATCCCTATAACGAATGTATATGTCATGGCTTTATCAGACATCACTGAATCTAATCATGATCTGGCAACACTAATTGGACCAGAGTAATCTGTACAGTTCAGCAAACGATACAAGCCACAAAAAAAAAATTAAAAAAAATAAAAGTACAATATACATTAAATTCAAAACTAATTAGAACTTTTAAATAAGAACACAGTAAATATTGCGGCAAAACATTACACTGAAATATATTTCAATAGGAAAATAAAAATATTGTTTTCCCCATCAATAAAGAATATATAAGAAATTAACCACTCCATTGCTGCAGGAAATGGCACCCATCTGGCAATGAATAGGTTAAAACTGCACAGCAGCTGATGAAAAACATTTAACAGATAAAAAACAACACACAACAAATACAGAATATACACAAGATCAAGGTTACAGTATATTTTGCTTTCACTCCCTCACCCGCCCCTTGGGTACAAACCTGTTTGTGGGTTGATCAGAATACTGCCAGGTGGAATGCCCGTGGCTTCAAGGGGTAGTAAAAAGAAGCTAGTGCTAGTAGGTGCCACCTGCCCGCTCACTCCACCATCATAGGAAATAGAATTACTAGTACTGACAGTTGGGTAGACAGCAGGAGTACAATGAGAAGGCTGGCTTATAGCCGTTACTGGAAGAGGATGCTGATTTTGGGACAGTGAACCTGTGGACGACCCTACACTACTAGAAGACTCGGAACCTAGGGAGAGGAGCAACGAAAAATGGATTTTTACCTACAGATCACACAATAACACATGCACATTTATAAAGGCAATGCTTTAACCCCCAGGCTGCAAGACATGCGGGCCACAATCTGCAAAGCAAGGAGCTGCGTACTGCTTAAGGAGTTGGGGAAAAAAAGCAGAAGAAAAAAAAAATCAACATGCATATTCTAATTCTCTCTATTCTGGCAGTCCAAACAATACAAAGCACTATCTTATAAAGCCAAATCATGCGATTAAAAGCCATTATGCACAGTTATTTAGAAAGCAGTAAAAACTACCGTATTTCTTTGCATAACATAATAGAACTTGTAAGTAAACCGTCAAGTTGCTAGGGTATAATTGATAAAGTCATTCAAATGATAAAAGAGTGTTTTTTTAAAAAACCCAACACCTATCTGCACATACAGTTATTTAGTTAGAAGCAGACTCTGTAAGGGAGCTTTTCATTAACTACAGTGGGTTTTAATGTGAGGAGTGACACTTAACATAAAGCATGCAAAGATAGAAAGCAAGTGTCCAGAGGATCTCCACACTTTTATATCTAGCTCCCAACACCATAGCCATTATTTAATAATAAAAAAGAATGGAAAGGGGAAAAAAAAAACTAAAAAATAAAACTCTATTATATCAAATTCAAAAGAAAATAAAGTCTCATATGACGGAAAACTGGGGACGAGAGATGCCTGTTCATAACTTTAAAGGGACACTCCAAGTACCAAAACATCTTCATCTAAATTAAGTTGTTATGGTCTCAGGAGTCACCTGGTGGCACTCTTACCGCAGGATGTTAAACCATCCTGAACTGTTTTAACCCCAAGGTTGCCTCCAGCAGTTATGTCCACTCCACCCCTCCTACCTACCCTGGCAGGGGATCAGCTGATTGGATGAGAGCAGTCAGTTGAGCGCTTTCAGCCTATCAGAGGCACCCCTCCTCAGGGGAACGCCGCATTTCCTGAATCTGAAAATTCAGAAGCCGGATGCTGTCTAAGGTGGGAGGGGGTGGGGGGTGTTGAGACTGGCACTGGAGGTAGCTTTGGGATTAAACCATTTAAGAACGGTTTAGGTAAGAGTGCCTCCAGGGGCCTCCTTTAGATGAAGTTGTTTGGTGCTTGGAGTGTCCCTTTAAGTGGAAAGTGTAATTCACTTTCAAGTGGAAGTTTTTTTTTTTGTTTTGTTTTTTTATGACAGCACCAAAGATGGGCTTACATACAGAGGAAAAATGGAGTTATGTTTTAAGCAAGCATGCCCATCAGGCCATAATACCACTTCTCTATGAAGCACAGTCAGCATGTCACTCCCAGACAGAGCAGGATTAGCCATAAGGTAACTGTAGGCATTTGCATTTTATCCTCCTGTCCAACCAGCATCTTTCGATCGTTCCCAAATGCACTCCTCTATTTTATTCACATTATCTTTTCCATTTTCCTTACTCCAACCAATCCTTAAATCCTGAAATCTTGTTTTGGTCTCTCCCATTTCCAATATTTCTCTTGTCTGCTGGAACTCCCACGCCACACACATAAAAAAAAGCCTTTAACCCCTTAAGGACTGGACTGTTTTTACGATGTTGTACATTTGCGACCAGGCCTCTTTTTACACTTTTGTGGTGTTTGTGTTTAGCTGTAATTTTCCACTCTCTCATTTACTGTTCCCATACAAATTATATATTGTTTTTTTTTCCAGGACAAAAGGGGCTTTCTTTACATACCATTTATATAATCTCATGTAATTTAATTGTAAAAACATTTTTTTTTTTTAAATGATAAAAATTGGAAAAAAAAAACATGTTTTTTGACTTTTACTTGAAAAATCTTTTACTCATCTACAAAAGCGAATGAAAAAAAACTGCTAAATAGATTCAAAATTTTGTCCTGAGTTTAAAAATACCCAGTGTCTACGTGCTTTTTTGCAAGTTATAGGGCTATAGGTACAAGCAGGATATTGCGGTTTCAAAACATAAATTTTTAAAATTTATCAATAGTGACATTGTAACACTATTATCTGTCATAAATCTCTGAATAACACCCCACATGTACATTTTTTTTTTTAAAGTAGACAACCCAGGGTATTCAATATGGGGTATGTCCAGTATTTTTTAGTAGCCACTTAGTCGAAAACACTGGCCAAAGTTAGCATTCACATTTGTTTGTGTGTGAAAAAAGTAAAAAACTAAAATGAACGCTAATTTTGGCCAGTGTTTGTGACTGGACATACCCCCATTTGCAATACTTTGGGTTGTCTTCTTTTGCAAATGGTATGCCATCATGGGGGTAATTCTCATTCCTGGGCTACCATATGCTCTCAAAGGCAACGTAACCAACCTGGCCTTTTTCAATGTAAAAATATTTGACCCTGTAACTTTCAAAAACGCTATAAAACCTGTCCATGGGGGGTACTGTTATACTCAGGAGACTTTGCTGAACACAAATATTAGTGTTTCAAAACAGGAAAACTTATCAATTATATCATCAGTAAAAGTGCTGTTTGTGTGTGAAAACTGAAAAAAAAAAAAGTCACTTTCATTGACAATATCATCGCTGTGATAGGTTTTACTGTTTTGAATCACTAATATTTGTGTTCAGCGAAGTCTCCGGAGTAAAACAGTACCCCCCATGTACAGGTTTTAGTGTGTCATAGAAAATTACAGGGTAAATATAGTGCTAGCAAATTAAATTCTCTGGACTTCCGGCCTGGGTTGGCAGGCAGGTCCCTCAAATTGCAATCAATAAAATTACTTAATTATGTAAAAATATTACATAAATACGCACGTAGAATTTAAATATATATGCCTATTTATATATTTGAAGTCTACGTGTATATTTATATAATTATTTATGCAATTTTGTATATGGACATATGTATATTTCGTATTATTTGTATTTATTTATATATACAATTTCAGTCTAAGTGTATTTTGATATAAATATATATATATATTACTATCAAAATACAGTTAGAATAAAATTTCATATAGATATATTTTTTTTTAAAGATTCAGCATGTAAACCATATGATCTAGTCAATGTGAAACAATGCAACAAATGCAGGAATGTACACAACAAGAAGACAAATGTCAGTTCACAAGGGTGACGGTTGTTGTGACAGTTTTGTGATATCTTATACAAACTATAGCAACACCACCTTCCCATATTTACAGATAAAATTCTATTTCCATTTAGTTCTCCTATTAATCTGGATACAAAAATATGCAGAATGAAATATTTTCAATTAGTTGGGAAGGTTGCGACACATGTAGACTGCTATTGTCCTCAACAGTCGTCCTTGAGAACAAATACGTTCGATACAATGCAGACAAGTACATGCGGTAGGAGTTTGCGCAAGAGCTGTAATAACGAAGGTGTCATGTGTAAACAAGTACCAAAACAAGCATAAAATAAATAAAAAGGAGAGCCATTGCCACCACTTCATGCACACATACAAATGATACCTGTTTTAGAAAGCCTCCCTGTACTTTTGTTGCTTCCAGAGCTGTCGCCTCTCGTCAAAACAGAAATTCCACTGAAGCTGCTAGCTTTGGTGACGGCAGGCTTGAGATTTCGGATCGAGCTATCAGAATCAGTGCTGCTCCATGGCCGAGGTTCGTTGTACTTTAAGTCATTCTCCGTACTGCTGTAGAGGCTATTTGCCGACCTACCCGAAGCATCTTTATTGATCCTGTCAGTTAAGCAACTGGAACGGTTAGTGTGGACTCAACAAAAACAGCAGCACACAAAAAGAGGGCAATATTAGAATATTAGAATTACCTAAATATCTGACGCCTTTGTTGTGTCATGTTCATTTCTTCATCTTGAATTCTGCTGGCGTTTTTAAACAAAACAGGTTAGCAGATTGCAGGAAACATATGAATGAATACAGCAAAGAACAAAAGGCAGATCTCATACATTACCCACCTTTTGTCCGGAAGGTAATTCTCCTGAGAACACAAGGACTGATGGGAAAAAGAAACCCGGTTAATGTGTTATAGTATATTTCTTAATATACAGAGAAACAAAGATTAAACTTTAAAAAAGAGAAACTGTCACTTCTCCAAAATGCATACAATTTAATAAAACCTTGAAAATGACCTATAAATTGTGTTAACCTTTTACCCATGAGATGCTCTGTGTTCTTTTAAATTTGTATTAAAGATTTAGCAAATTACATCACAACCCAGTTAACACCAGGCACAACCAGGGCAAAAAATGCAAATGAAGAGGAGAAATAAAAACATTGTTTTAATATATTATTTTCTCCATATATGTTCTCTATTCTGCTTTTTTCACAACTCACAAATACAGGTTTGCCAGATATAGGAATAAACATAAAATTAAAAATCCAGGGAAGGGACCGTTCCCCTTTAAATAGATTTAGAGGATTTAGGACAATGGGGTTGAGAAATATTCTGCAGTTTGAAAACATGTGCATAGGTTTTGAAAATGTACATTTTCAATGAATGGAAATATAGTATAATATTAATTAATTGCCAAAGTAGAACTACACACAAGCATGCAACACTGAAAGCTATTCAACTGGGGCACGCACATTTGTGTAAATTTAAGTGGTTTTAATCCCAATTACAACTCCACATGGAAAGCGACCAGCTTTTTATTTAGACTATTTCATTTTGGGGAAAAATAAAAATCTTCAAATTGTCCCTTGTGCTAAAAACCTAGACATTCTAATAGAGTGTGGGTAAAAGTGAATGATACAATGAAGGAAAATGACAGGGTGCGTTCAACTACATAATAGTTTTGATTATGTCTTTGTGGAGCTCTGAATGATCAACAAACATTACCATGAAAGTAACTGTATGACTGCTGTGCATTTGGTGCCATCAATGTAAAATTGAAGTCTATTTGGCTGTTGCTAAAATCTGTGCTTGAGCTGAAATATTCCATCTTTTAAAATAAGAATGAAAGGACATGTTGATACCACACTCCAAAAGCCACTAAAATGTCATCATAATATTTTTTTTGTTTTTATAGAAGCAAAGTGGTATTTTTAACCGTACCTGGATATGTAATGAATATATATTTTTATTTTATTTTATTTTTTGAACATAAATGTAAGGACACAATAATGCATACCAAGCCTTGCTCTCACTCACAGCATTTGTAACATACAGGTTCCAAGGTAGGATTTGATGTTGTGCCAGAGCAACAACTCCCTTGTTTTATAATAAATCATTTTAACTCATTTGTTGGAGGATGTTACCTCACTCTGAGGTCATCCGTCCATTCCGCTTGGGGGGACAATTAAGAATTGAGAACCTGATCCAGGATTCAGGTACTTAAAGGCTGGCTAGGGAGGGACTAAATAAAATATTTATTTTTTAAACATAGGAGGTTACCTGTCCCACTCAAGGTAGAGCATCCCTAGTGTATAGCTGCTATACATTTGGAATTATACAGAATTTTTTTTTTTTTTACACAAAGTATGAATCAGTGTAAGCACTGGTGAGTAATTAGTTGGACATTGAGTAGATTTAGGTAATGTGATTACATTTACTTTAAACAAAATGTACTTGTATCGTGGCAAGGTTTGGGAGAAATAACCTGGAGCGTACAGCTTTTGAAACGTATATACTTTTCTTGGTGTAATGTAAATCGGTGGGATGGGTAGACACTGAACCAGTTAAACTAGGAAACCGTTTCCAACAGTTTATACAACTCAGACTGGGTTTAAACGTTTTTAATACTTACCTCCTGCGCAAATATTCGTTCTCTGGCTCTCTGGTATTCCTCTTCTCTTTCTTCAATGGATTTGCTCCTCCTGTCATCTTTTAATCTCATCCTCATCTGCGTAGAAAGATCATTTATTACTATACCTGCACCAACCACTCCAGGTCAAGGGAGAACGAAGAAATACAAATACAATACACTGACCTGGTTATCATCTTTGTCTAAACTCGAGTTATCTCTTTTCAGAATGTAACGCTTCTGAAAGTCTACATTCTTCTCATCCTTTATATGTTCTTCAAACTTCTCATCCGGGCTAAGATAGCAACAAAAGAAAAAAATTTAGAGAAAGATATATATTCATTTCTTTTGCTCCGAGAGCATTTTTTGTGATGTACACAAAACATAAACAAGCAAATAAAAAATAAAATTTAAAAATGCTAATACTGAACCAGGTATAAAACCAAGTTTTTTTTTAGAGTAGTAAATACAGAACTTAATTATTTAACTTACATTCGCGTATTACTGGTTTTGTTAACAATAACGGATTTTCCACTCTGGTCCACATTGTGATCTAATCCAAAATATGCAGCGACCCTGTGTAAAAGCATTCTATGGTAGGACGTCATTGGAGGAAATTTTTTACGTTGCATTCTTTACGGGAAAAAAATAAAATAAAATAAATCAATGCAAAGAAAAGAGAGAGAGAGAGAGAGAGAGAGACACACACACAGACAGACAGACTGTGCATAAAAAAAAAAAAAAAGACACTCTTTTTGGCAAATTGCAAACCAAGCTCAAATATTTGTAAAAGCATGGAGTAATTGGAATAAAACTTACTCGTTGGTGCTAATGAAGTCTAATAAATCCTGTTCCAACTTCAGCAGCATCATTCGGTCTCTGCAAAAATAAAATAGAGTTTTCAAATTAAGGACCTGATTAATGAAAAATATATAAATAATAATAATTTGGATGGAGACGGGGGGTGGAGAGAGGGTGGGGACAACTGTGGTACCTTGCAAAATATTTTTTTAGATTTCTGGCTTGGGGACTAAACTTTCCCAGATTGTCTCACTTGATGGTTAATCTGCAATGCCGGTGTTTGGGAAGTACCGTTTAGTTGATGGGTAATCTGCAATGCTGGTGTTTGGGAAGTACCGTTTAGTTGATGGGTAATCTGCAATGCTGGTGTTTGGGAAGTACCGTTTAGTTGATGGGTAATCTGCAATGCTGGTGTTTGGGAAGTACACTTTAGTTGATGGGTAATCTGCAATGCTGGTGTTTGGGAAGTACACTTTAGTTGATGGTTAATCTGCAATGCTGGTGTTTGGGAAGTACAATTTAGTTGATGGGTAATCTGCAATGCTGGTGTTCGGGAAGTACACTTTAGTTGATGGTTAATCTGCAATGCTGGTGTTCGGGAAGTACACTTTAGTTGATGGTTAATCTGCAATGCTGGTGTTCGGGAAGTACACTTTAGTTGGAAGTTACAGCTTTGCTAATCCCTCACTCCCCACCCCTTGTTAAATTTTGGGCCACAGTAGGCACCTGACATGCAGCTAGAGAGTAAGAAAATTGCAAAATTAAAACTATAATTATACCTTAGACAAATATTTAGAATACAAATGTAGCTTTGTCATTTTAGGTGAAATGATCTAGTATTACAACTTCATCATTCAATCTATGAAATAAAACTGAAAACACCCATCACAAATGAACAATTAGCTTGACGACTGAAACCTTTAATATTAATCTTTTTTGTTTTCTGGACAAATTTATCAATTTCCGTCAATATGCTATTTGGCCCTTTTTCAAGATCTAAGAAATCTTATATATCTCTATATATAGTGGTGGATACTTGGAGAATCCCTTTTATAGAGCCCTTAATCCGGTTTGGTGTAAACTTACTCAGAGGAAAGAAAAATTATAAATAAAAGACCTAATGCAGTACTAATGCAATAATTATCATGAAAACAATCATTTTAAGATATTTATTCCCCTCCATCAGTTCATCATCCTGTGTATTTTTTTCCCTAAAAGGTAAAAACGTTTTACCTGCACTTCTGTATATTTTATTAACTGCCTCATTATTACATAGAAGTTTAAGTGGAAAATTAAAATTACATTAGGGAGTTATTGATTATACAGCTATAAGGAATGAGAGAAAACTCCTGGGGTATTAACTGGAAAACAATGACACTTAAAAGATTATGGTGGTTAATAAAATAACTGCAGATAAACATTGTGCTTATAAGTTCTAATCACAAAAGTAGTTGCTAATATCTTAAGAACCAGAGAGTTTTACATTTACAGAGATAAATATCCTTTATTCCTTCCATTCAAAACAGCAATTGGAAACAGAATAATTTTTGTGAAAGAATTATCCACTGTCAACTGAGCAATATGGCCACTACCACAGTATGGGACCATAGTGGGATATCACGCCACTCTCACCTCCTGTTCTGCTACTTTTCCACCTTGTCTGCAGCCCCCTTGATGCCCTTCCTGTTGTGTCTTTATACTCCACTCCTCTAGATTGTAAACTCATCTGAGCAGGATCCTCATCTACCTATTGTTCCTGTAACATTTTGTAATTGTCTCATTTATTGTTACATTTACCCCTTTATAATATTGTAACGCTCTGCATTATAAATTGGCACTATATAAAAAAAAAAATAATTATAATAATAATGTTCATGAGGGCCTGCCGAACAGAGAGGTTGAGAAAGATTTATTAAAGCAAAACCACCTCTAATGAAAAAGGAACCGAATCTTAAAGTGTCAGCGAGAGAGTTCGTAAAAAAAAAAAAGAAAAAGAAAAAAAAAAAGAAATGAAAAGGGGGCGGGGGTGAGAATGGAGGGTTGGAAACCAGGCAAATTAGAAAAAGACGTAGAAGAAGAAAAAAAAAAATCACAACCCCATGCACGAATAAGAAGAAAGGATTGAAAAATAACAATCTGGGGAAATAATATTTAAACCAAACATGGGTGGGGGAAGGAGTATGGGATTTACTCTTGGTACCAAAATGACTGGTGACTATCTACCCATCACCCTAATAAATAGTCACAACGTTCTAGAGCTTGGTGAACATATCACTCTAAAGAAGAAATAAGGTTATATAACAGATATAAAAGAAGAAACGTAGCCTAGAAAAGATGTGTTTTTTCTTTGTAATTTAAACATTATGGCTACAAACTACATCAATATTTAATTTTAAACCTTACCTCGGGCAGATTGCAATAATTGTATACTATTTTTTTAAACTCAAGCCAATAAACACTCATACAGAATTTAAAATATTGCTGGCTGCAAAAGTTTAAAATCCCGTATATGTCGAGTGGCGTTCTGGCAAGCCCATAGCGCTGCAGGCACGCACTACGTGCTTTCCAACCAGATGCTCTGTATTTATAGTTTAACACGAAAGGTCACTGCAATGACAAAGAGGGTGCTGTGACCCATGACAAAATAAGATTTATTGGATCTTTGCTTCTAGATTTAAACTTACCAACCCTACTGGTTACCTAGTAGCGGTTGTGTGTCACTGGGTACAGTTTAAAGTCTGCCTCTCTTTCCACTGGGTAACAATTTCTCCTGATGTTTGAGAGTTCTTTTAAACTCCACATTCTAGGCTTGGCCATTGACAGAATCCTAGCCGTGGTTGAGTACGGGTTAGTAGTGTGTCAGAGTGGTGCTGTTTATCTATAGCAAAATAAAAAGCATTTGGCACATTGTAGATTCATTATCAGGCCAAGTATGAAAGCAACGTCCTCCAAATCAAAAGCGTGGATACAATGTCAGACTGCCCAGTAACAAACGAAACGATAGCCAGGGCAGCGTGTGATCAACCTGATTGGTTGAGATTATCAGAACTGATCTCAGCCAATCCAATGCTTTCCTATAGGAAAATCTAATGAGGTCAGCCAAAGAGGCGGATCTGGGGCTGACACTGGGTGGGCCAACCACCAAAATAGTGTTTTTAACACTACAGGGTCAGTAAAGAAAACACATAGTATTCCTGACCCTATAGTGTTCCTTTAAGGATATCAAACCTATGCTGCATTATCACGGACAATGTTAATGGTCGTCATATTTGGCATGATACCACTGGTGAATTCTAAGAATAATATACATGTTTAAAGATTGGAGGAAAAGGTCAGAACCTTTCTCCGGTGGCACCAACTCTGAACAAGCCTCTCACATTTTGTGTTGATCACTTAACGATTCCCAATATTTTTTGTATCTGCATTCTCCGATTCGGATGGCGGGATACACTCTTTGTTATCTAGTGATGGTTTCTATTTACACACGTACCTGCTGATCTGCATATATATATATATATATATATATATATATATATATATTTGTTGAAAAACATGCTCTTCTAAATGTATATGTAAAGGGTAGAATAAAAGTATTACTGGGTTTCTATTAAAGCGGTAATGTCACCTGATTTTCTTGATTTGGTTTTTGAATTGGTAAATTGGCCTTTTTACATCCATCTTAAAAAAAATAAAAAAATAAAATAAAAAGTACACGGGAGTATTATATCAGGATAATAAATATTTTACCCAGTTGTGTGTCAAATCACCAACAGATTTTAAAAAAATAAAGTAAAACTGAACAAACTATCGGATTGAGACAAACAGGTGGAGAAGGAATTTATAAGGAACATGATGAGGTAATTTAAAATAGCATTATAGCTAGCCATTTCATATATATATATGGGTGTGTGTATGTATGTATGTATGTATGTATGTATGTATGTATGTATGTATGTATGTATATATATATATATATATATATATATATATATATATATATATATATATATATATATATATATATATATATATATACATACACACACACATATACACACACACATACATACATACACACACACACACACACAGACTTACATACATAGACACACACGTCCGGCTATCGGTGTAAACGTCTATTAGGTTCGATGTCTCTATAAAGCGAACATTCCAAGTTCAATATTAAGAATGATTGGGGAAATTACTGCAAATTGCTTGGCAACAAAAATTAAATAAAATAGAATGTGACAGCACGCAGCTCTATTCCTCTAAGCAGGGAAAACGGAGCTAATGCAGTAACTTTACACTTTTTCATAATGAAATCAAACAAGCTGCTTTGCAGAACAAAGTTTAAGAAGGACATCAGCAGAACATTACTGTTAATAAGACCATCAGAGAGAGTGGACCTTATCTGACTTATTTCCCCACATTATTTCACTCAGATGCTGCTAGGATCACATTACCTAACCTTTCATGGTTCACCTAATAGTAACATAAAGTGGCTAATTATTCAGAGGAATGGTATCACTGGAGGTTAGCAGCAAATATACGCTAATGCATATCCTTTGCAGAGCAAACATATTTTGCCTTTAACTTCCCAAGGTGACCATGTATTCAAGTATAGTAAGTGAGAAACCTATCATCCGCCCACTACTCTGGAACGGACAAGGATAAGTGATTACAGTACGTCCGTTTGAAAAAGTAAAACAACAATAAGAACAGCATTACAGTAATAAAACAAACCATGTAAAATCCCATCCAGACATGCCAGTTATCATATCCATCCAGACATGACAGTTATCCATTAAAATGACTCTCAGAGTCTGAAAAGGTAACTAACATTGCTTGACCATACAAACTCTCAGAAAGCTGATGCAGAATGTTAAACAATTTACATACCGGTCCTATGCCTTATAATAGTGGCTTAAAAAGCTACCCAGGACTTTAACTCCCATTAATCTCAGTAAAGGCCTCATCTGCAACCTTTACACACCACACATTAATCCTTACACTACACTAAACATTCATACCTACATTATCTCTAAAGATTAACTCTTGCACTACATTAACACTTACACTGATACTTATCTAAAAATAGCATATAACGTCAAATATACCGAATGTTGAAATGCGTATTTGTTCTGGAGACCTTTATAATCCATGGAAACCTTTGGTCTCATAGTTTATTACAATGTCTTCGGAAATCTGATGTCATTATTTTCCCATAACACACACGATACACAGTTAGCTATGCTCTCATTCGACATCACACCACACACACACTCATTCGACATCACATCGCATCACACCACACACACTCATTTTACGTCACATCACACACACACTCATTCGACGTCACATCACACACACACACTCATTTGACGTCACATCACACACACACACTCATTTGACGTCACATCACACACACACACACTCATTCGACGTCACATCTCACACACACACACACACACACTCATTTGACGTCACATCACACACACACACACACACACACACACACTCATTTGACATCTCACACACACACACACACTCATTTGACGTCCACATCACACACACACACACACACTCATTTGACATCACACACACACACACTCATTTGGCGTCACATCACACACACACACACACACTCATTTGACATCACACACACACACTCATTTGACGTCACATCACACACACACTCATTTGACGTCACATCACACACACACACACACACACACACTCATTTGACATCACACACACACACACACGCATTTGACGTCACATCTCACACACACACACACACTCATTTGACATCTCACACACACACACACACTCATTTGACATCTCACACACACACACTCATTTGACGCACATCACACACACACACACACTCATTTGACGTCACATCACACACACACACACTCATTCGACGTCACATCTCACACACACACACACACTCATTTGACATCACACACACACACTCATTCGACATCACACACACACACACACTCATTCGACGTTACAAAAAATTAAAATTTAAAAATAAAAAAAATTTAAAAAAAAAATCAGTATATCCTACCTAGGATTACTTTTCAGGGTGTTGACTAAAAATTCATGTAGATCAATTCCTGTCGAATCTGTATATTCCTGACTGGAATCTAGAAAGAGAAAAACATCTAGGATATTAAAAAAAAAAAACAGAAAAAAAAAAAATACAAAACTCACAAGGACATTAGCAAAGATAAGCGACAGTACTGTGGAGAGACTACGGTCTCCGAGGAAATTTAGTGTTATTGGAAGGGTCAGTACAGCTAGAATTCTGGTCAAGTAACAAAGCAAGTCAATAAAAAAAAAAAAAAAAAAATGTGATTGGAATGTTAGGGCCTTGAAGAGGCTAAAGGACAGTATAACAGACATTTGTTACAATACAATGTCTTGCGGCAAGTGGCTTAGGTCATACCTTGCAACAATCCAAGAAAATAAACAAAAAACACATATACCTCTGGACAGCATTTTTCGAGAGGACTTCTCATTCCCCTTTTCTTTTTCGGTTTCATCTTTCAGTGGTTTCTCCTCTTTCCCAAATGAGGGCGTGAGCTGGACTTGAATGGTTTCCTATGGATTTGAAATAAAATCTCATTCACATTCAAAGAGCATATGTCATACAATGAATCTGCAAAGCAATATATTAACAAGAAAAGAGTGCCGTTTAACCCCACTCAGTCGTACACGGCAGAACAACATGGCACTCTCTTCCAATTAGAGCTTAAAATTTATGCACATTCCATCCCAGGGATTGCTTTACTTACCCTAGCAGTGTTGAAAACTAAGAGACAAGAAGCATCGGTGATAAAAACATCCAAACTCTTTGGTCTATTTCAACGATTTCTCACCTCGACACTGCAGAAGTTGGCGAGATACTGGCTTGTGTATTCTGTGCATTGCAGGAAGTGTATGGTGATGTTAGCCATCACTAGCCCTATTTAGATTACCTATGGTGGCCAGCTAGTTAAAGAAGAATGCAAACTAAGTTACCCTGTCTTAAAAAAAAAAAAAAAAAGAAGGCGGTTCATTATTTCAAAGCTAGTCTCGAGACAGAGGGCTGTAGATGCACCACGTAGAATAGAACATGAATTTCTGAATCTACATTGCAGTGCAAACTAAAATATTTCACCAATGAGGACAGCGCCGTGCTTTCTAATTAAATTAGAGCCCTGCTGTGAAGCCAATTTGGGGAAATGGCATACAGGGGCAACAGAAGAATCAAGTGACCTTCACAAATAATGAGACATATCTAGAATCTGAACCCAACTGCTTGAATTAAAAAAGGTCCCTTTCCAGCAAATGAGCCAGGTTGTCATTGGCCTTGCAGACCAGCATAAGAAGAAGAACAAAGAAGATAATGTGATAATGTGGCACAAGCAGAAACAAAATAATATATTTTATTTAATATGAACAAGGCCTTTTTTATTTAATGCCAAATACGCTGCACCTGAAAATGTTTCAGATTTACGGTTTCATGGTAAGTAGAGCAGTGTTATCTTCCAGATAATGTTTTCACACAAAATCAGCATGCAATGACTTGGAAGTATTAAACAAAGCAAACAGAGAATATAGTTTTTTTTAAAAAAAATCTTCCTTTTATACATAGCATTTATCTAGGGGCTGGTTTGTAAGGGGCATTTAAAATGTGGCAAAGGCCAAGTAAAAATCTCAACTGAAAATTGTACATAAAACAATGCAGACAGCTTAATGATATGACATCAACATGGATGATCCAAGACTAAAACAAAAGGGATTCCAACACACATATCTAAATCCCAACATGTAAATATACAGATAGTTAGCAAAACCTGCACGGGCATTAGGCCTTCCCCATAGAAATCATTGAAACAATGCTTTCCTATAGGGATATTCAAGACACTGGATGTACTCAAAGTTGAAGGACGTCCAGCATTGTCTCTCTAAGCTAAACTCTGAAAAACAGCAGGAAGCTCCTCTAGTGGCTGTCTGGTAGAGGCCACTAGAGGCAGTCATAACCCTGCAATGTAAACACTTGAGTTTCTCTAAAACTAGTGTTTTATATTGCAGGCTTAATAGGTCAGGGGTACTACACTCAGACGATTTCAATGAAAGGAAGTGGTCTGGTGCCTATAGTGAGCCGTTAACAATTTAATAAGCGGCTCTAGGCCTGACTCATCACTCATGATTGGCAGGCCCCACGTAACCAATGAGCAGAGACCTTTAAAGAACACCCACTTTTGTTGGAACCCGACCCATATTCTACTCCTAGGAAGGAGGAGAATTGAAAATCATTCTGCAGGATAAGTACTGCTCACTGGATGGAATAAAAATGGAAAACAGAACTGTGAAAAACAGAACCATACAGCTGAACACAAATATATCAAGTAAAACATCAGTGATGGTTTGAGTACAGAATAATATTAACCAAAACAGGATACGCCACATACATATTTAATGTGGACATGTAAGTGGAAAACATTAAATCACTACGTTATTAAGCAAACTGCACTTTAAAAGGTATTTGCACAAATGTTCCCAAGATTTTAGACCGGCTTTTTCTTGTCCTCATTCACCTGATGCATGTAGTGTGTTGCTACAAGGATTCAATGTTTGTTTGTTTTTTGTACACTGTTTAGGTCAGCAATGTCCAGGACACATTCACGAGTATAATATACCTGGTTTCATATTTCTGTTTTTTTTTCAACATGTATTGTGAAAAACTCTTCATTAAAATAAAGATTTGAAGAAAGAAATAATAACAAAAGAATAAAAAAAACATTCAATACTGATCTATACAACAGGTTTGAAGTCCATAAATGGATAAGTAAGTAGGTAAAAGATTCCAGATTCATGGCTCTTTAATTGAAAGGGAACCTTGCCAGGATTCTGTAAGGTTCCTTTCAAACCTGGAATGCACTGGTAGCAAAACTAGAGAGCATGTTGAATGTAAAGACATCTGGCATTAAAACACTATCAGATTAAAATCCTAATGGTGTTGGTACACATTTAACTGGGACAGTCAACGCCAAGCCATCCCCTACTTTATAACTCCCAGAAGAAACCACAACTACTAAAATGTAACACTTGAACAAAAAGGAAAATGGGTTTCATACATTCTTTCAACACACTTCATTTGTATTATAAGTATCGCTCAGACAGATTTGGGATGCACACACATACGCACATGCCCCCGTCATACAAATAGATCACTATCTACCATACACTGTGCTAGACAAAATGCTAGCAAGTGAACATCATTAAAAATAGCTTATAGCTAATTATATGCAACTAGGAGCAGTGAAGACTAGCTTTAAATTACATTTTCATTGATGCTTAGCTAGCCTTGGGCTTGATAAATACCAAGGTTTCACAAATATCTTATATAGAGTGCCATTAGGTATCACTGTCAAAGGAATAACTTGCATGCAGGACAGCTGCAGTGGGTGCATGCACGTCCATTCATTCTGAACATGTGGTAAATGGCGTTCCATAATGCAGAATGCAGCACTTGGCATCGTGAAATGTATAGCAAAGTGCAAGATTTATTCTATATAACTGCTAGCATTTACCTTAGAATAACATATGGGTTCTATCCTGTAAATTACGCAGAGGGGACTGAATTGCACACACACTCACCCACAACAGGACCAAAAAATAAAATGACAAAAAACAAAACAAAAAGCCTATGAGTTCAGAGGTAGCGGCTCACAGAACAATATTATAGGAAAGTCACACAGTTCGCAAAGATGAGCATGTCAAATTAAACCACCAAAAAAAAGAATAAGAAAACTTAGTAAAGTTATGTAACCCACTGAATAACCAATGCATCTATTACCTGTGCATCCAGGGGGATATCAGCTGTAGAAGGAGGAGGAGACTCTTCACATATAGCCAGGCTCCGAACTAGCTTTAACTTTGAACTTGACTAAAGAAAGTGATTTATAATAGAACTAGGTGTCAAACTTTAGCACAGCTCCGCAGGAAAAGGCAAAAGCATTAAAAGAACTTTCATTAAAATCAGGGATGCACCAAAAACAGAGGTTCCTGGCTATTCCTGTACACAATCTATTCCTAAAAACATGCTGAATTAGATAGATTTTTCACTTAAAGTATGGCAACATATTTGTTTTATTTTACGTCAGTTACCAGTGTAAGTGGTTTTGTTTGTCAACACCTTTTTTTGTTTTGTTTTGTTTTTAACGCATTGAAAACTTTATTTGGATTAAAGTCCAAACTAAGTCAGACTGAATTCAGTGCATCTCTAAATGTAAATCTTTTTTTTTTCCAGCTACAAAAGCACATATATTTAAACAAAAGGCTAGCACAAACACCAAATGAAGAATCAACCATCCCAAAAAAAAAAACACAACAACAAAAAAAAACAAAAAAACACACAAGCCACACTATTTAAATATAAAAAGTAAAATCAACAAAAGCAACAAAATGATGCAGCAAATTGTGCATTTAAGGCTAGAATGGCACATTAAAACCAAAAGTCCTCGAGCACAAATGATCTGTCGAAGCATGCCAGCAAACAAGTCTATTACTGTACCTTAGACCTTTTTCCTGTTTGCCCCAAAGGCTGCACTTGCCGCTAGAGAGTAGGCACAACAAAAGTTCTCATTAAAATAATAGAACTATACATGCCATTTAGAAAAAAAAAAAAAGGGGGGGGATCGTGATTGGGGAAAATGCTATGCCTGGACACAAAGCTGTGCCCATACAAATAACTGAAAATGCATATTCTATTACTTAAAAAATATAGCAACAAAACTAAACAGGCCCCAGTAAAAGTGGTGTTTTAATCTTTCCCATAACAAACAATTCTAGCTTATTACAATTTACAATACAATAGTAGCGCAATAAAGGCGTGCACGAGGCATGCAGTTGTGGAAAAGCAATATTGTTTTATAGAAAGAAAATCACAATATGACAATGTTAATATAAAAAATAAATTAAATGTAAAAATGGAGTGGTACAGGACAGTTGAACATTTTCAAATCCTAGGGAAAAAATATATTCTCTACTAAAATGTTTCATCTACTTGGCTAGTGACAGCTTATGTTAATTTTACCTCCTACATGAGATGAAGTTGTGCTAACAGCACTGTGAGTAGGTTCTGGGAGATAAACTAGTTTTGGTGGTAATATTAGAATTGGAAGAAGTAAATGCCCATTACAGAAACTCTAAACAGTTTTAACGCATAATATAGAATGCACAATCCATTAAAAATAATTTAAAAAACAAAAACAAAACAACATTTTAAAAATAATAAAATTTCTTTGGTTCCTGCATTTACTGCAAACCTCCATACTTTGCAGCATCTGCAAAAAGTTCACACCAAATCAGGAAGTATAATCAAGCTCCCACTCAACTTACCCTGTAAGAGGTGGTTTACGGGCACAGAAACAGACTAATTTTAAGGCAAAATTATAAAAATAAAAGAAGGGCAGGGTGGGCGAGAGGGACAAAAGGTGGAAACTAATAGTTTTTCTAAAAAAAATAAAAATAAACAAAAAGTACTATAGAAGATTCACGTAGATTAAAAATCCAGCATACTTAAATGTGACCTAACCTACATATTGCACCGACATGCATCTACTGGAAGAGAGAGTATCAGCAGTATCCCATTACTATGTAAACCCAAGTTTGCACTCTAAAGTTATTGGAGGGGGGCGGGAGGTTCCTTAGGTGGTTGGGACAATCTTGTAAACCAAAAATGCCATGGCTCTATAAGAGTGATCCATTCGGGGACTTCAGACAGCACCCATAAGGCAATGGTCATGCATTAAACAAAGGTAGAGATGAGTAGACTTTCTGAAACGTGCACATTTCTATGTGGGTTACCACCAGCCAAGAATGTGCTTTCCGAACTTGGATAGAGATGTATGTATATTTATTTTTTACAACCTAGAACTATCTCTAGTGCTTTCCCAGGTACTTTTACCAGTGCAACTACAGCTGACCAATGCCATTAACTCTAATATACTTTAACAACAGCTAGGTCTTACACACAAATGCTGGAAGACGTGGCATGGGTGCTGAGGGCTGCAAAGAAATAATGAATTAGAAAAGAAAGGGTCGAAGCTGTAGCCAGAGCCGCCAATGACACTGCTAGAGAGCATAAGAGGAAGACTCTGATTCCTCAAAGCACAACTGAGGGGAGTCGGGTTTAGGACAGGGTAAAAAGAATAGGAAATGTATTGCCTGAATGAGGTTCGTGGTTAACTGAATATGGAATTAAAAAATTTGGGCCAAGTGGCAATCGGGGGGAAAAACAAACAAACCAAAAACTCCTGTTGGGCTATGTTGGCCTGTAAATTGCATTGCCCTTTCCAGTTCTCCGCAATGCTCATTCAATTAAATAAATTCTTGGATGATATAGATTAGGAGGGGGCAGCTATAATTTCATGCATAAAATCTGCATGGATGTAAACTTGATGTCAGGTAGTGAAGTAACCAGTAAAATATGTAGTTCTAAAAAAAATAAATTAAAAAAAATAAATAAAACCATAGCAACTTGACTAGAAATATACTAGATTCACAGCACTGTGCGTCGGAAGAGTTAATATTTCACTGGCGCGTTTTGGGTCGCAAATATGCAGATGGATATACATTTCTACAGAACAATGGAAAAATAAAAATAAAAATCTGATGATCTGCTGTATGAAATCTCACAGCTGCTAAGCAGGTCGCAAAATCCTCGGAATAAACAGCAGCGGTCTGAATTACCTGATGATTCAGAGGTTTTTCACACGGTTATATTTAATACATCCCAATAGAGATTCGAACAGAAAAGCACGCTAGGCACAACAGAAGTACGGAATAGGCAAAATAGATATTCCCTGTTGTATTCCTAGTTTTGCCTAAAATACATTTTCTCTTTGTTGCTTTTTTTGGATTCAGTACTTTTAAGCCCCCAGTTTCATTAAAAAATTGGTAGTTTGTTTGGTCTAACAAAAAAAATACAATATTTAGGGATTAAACTCTGCTCAGATTCAAAGTCTACGATGTATAAAAACTACATGGATTTGATTATAGATCTTAGGGAGACAGGATGGAGGCGTTTAGAGATCTCTTGTCTCGGAGGAGTAAACATACTTAAATCATATTTGGTTCCAAAAATTGTATATTTGTATAAAACTATTACGATCCCAGTTCCATCTAATAATAATAATAAAAATAATAAAAGAAATGTAAATTATTTTGTCTTCATATGTGTGGAATGCTAAAAAAACAAGAGTACTTGGTTATGTTCTCAAGAGAAAGAAATTCAGGAGGACTGGGTTATCCAGATCCACAATAAAATGCATGAAATATGTATGCTATTTATGTTAAACATTAATAGAAATAAAATCTGGGATGGAATAATCTTGAAAGGAGTAAATGTGGAGGGATTGATCCCTACTTTTTCCTTTGGCTAGACTATGAACATTTTAGACAACTTAAAATATCGAATCAAATAATATCGGTTTTTGATGACCTGTTTTTTTTAGATTCAGAAAGAGAATTGAAAAAGAGACAAACCATGAATCCTATTACTAGAGCTAGCCCTATTTTGTCTCTTCCATTGTATATAGAAGATCTAGATATTCTACAATGGCAAAACTACGATATAAAAATAATTTCAGATGTTTATGATAGCGAAACCTAAAGATCTTTTTCCAACTTGCAGGAAAGGTATGCTCTTCCATCACAAGAAATATTTAAATATATTAGGATTAAACATTTTCTGACTTCAGATCTAACAAGTCATCCAGAATTAATAGACATTCTTCATACTACACAACTGAACTCTAAAACAATTACCATAATTGCTAAAATCCTAAGTAAGAGAACTATCTTAAATAAATCTAAAGCGGGGTCCAGTTGGGAGAGAGATTGTGCTTTTCCTGTTTCTTAAGATATTTGGGAAAATGCCTAGAGAATCACGAGAACCGCCATGCATTGTATCAGTCTACATGAACAATACTTCAAGTTAATACAGAGATGGTATATGGTTTCTACACGCCTTGCAAAGTTTGATACAAATTTAGATCATATTTGTTGGCGTTGCCAAAATTATCCAGGCAACCAAATATACATTTGGTCGTAATGCCTGAGACTGGCTCCTATCAAAAAACGTGATGAAGAACGACTGATAACTCTTGTCATTGGAATATAGCCTTACGTCACAAGCTTTCCTGTTTCATATCAATTTACCCGTTACAGGAAAATATACTTGATATCTATGTGTTAGCATCTTGGCTGCAGCAAAAATGTGTTTAGCTAGACATTGGAAAAATACAAGCACTCCAACAGGAATCGAAATAAAAAAAACTCAAATTTCCAGAGAGGGGCAGAAAAATTATACTTTAATAACGATATAAAGACACCATATAAATACAAAAAAATATGAGATCCATGTATTTTATACTATGAAAGTTCAGGCCAGGCCAGTGACCTGTTGAATTAACCTACCCTTTGAATGATCTACCCCCAAGAGTGCCCCTTTTTACAGAGCCTTGAGAGATAGTGAGGGAAGGGGAGACATTTTCTTTAACGTAATTGCAATAATTAGTTGCGGATGTAGTTTTTATTTTTTTCCCTCTTCTCTCCTCTCCACGTTTTATGCTGAACCAATGTTATATTATTGGAATTATCTGTGCTCCAGATAGACCCAGTATCCGTCCAAATTTTCTGTTTGGTTCTTGTAAGATTATATTTGTCTATACTCTATGATTGTATAAATAATTGTAAATTATTCTGATTATACACACTTGACTGTAAGATGTGAATGTGACTGTTAATAATTTAAAATATTCAATAAAGGTGAAGTTTTAAAAATAAATGTATTTTTTTTGTAAATTTGGTAGTTTGTGATGCTAAGCGTTCTTTACTCATCAGCTTAAATTAAAGCTTTAACACTCTGCCCAAAAATTTTATTTTATGTATTCGTATGCAACTTTGCCTTTCACATGAGCAAAGAAAATATTTTTTTGTTTAGAAGCAACTCTAGTTATATTCAGAAACTAGTTCATGGGATAGTCTGTTATATTCAACAATCTCCAATGGAGCAAGCCCGAAGCTGCCATAAATTTTAGCGATGCATAGGGTTTTTTTCGCCACTGGATTTGCAGAAAGAAATGGCCAGTTTTGCTAAGCCGGATAAACTACTTTTGGTAGATGGTACGTGGAAAGAGCAAGTGTTATCAGCGTAGGATATATTAACAGAGACTTCTCAGTGTGCAGAATAAAAGGGCCGGGGAGCATTATATTTACAGTTTGTTATTTTTCTGTTTATTTTTGACAACCTTTCGTAGATCTAGGAGTTTCTTTTGGCAACCTGATAGGAGACCAAGCTTTGATATGATGTAGCTAGTGTGAAGGTGTCTTACCAGGGCATCCTGCTTGTTATCGGGGCAGATTTCCTCTTTATCGGCTTGAAGTTTCTCATAGCCTTCGGATTTCATGAGATTTTCTAGGGAGGTGGAGTGTCTCATGTCGGCCTCCGAACCCTTCATCTCTTCTGTGTCGTTCTTCACAGCAACAGCACCAGACATCCTCATTGGAAAAGGTCACTTAAGAACTTTAAATGATATGCAGAACCTTAAACATAAATACACATGTGCTGTTTTTTTTTGTTTTTTTTTAGTTTTTCAAGATTTATGCAAACATCTACTGAATAAGAGTAAATACATAGTCTACATTCGAAGAAATAGTGTAGCAATCTAAATGGCCCCAATTGTACGATGGCTGTAGAGTAAATGGATATTCGATAACCCACGTTTGTCTATTCTTTATTTAGAATATATTTTTTAGAGGCAGCAATATACCACAGTGTGAAATATTTAATAAAAAAATTAAATTTACTTTTTTATGACTTGTTATTGTGACAGCTGTAATCAAATAATGTGGTATGGTTCTAATAATGAGTTGATCTTAGTATACAATTATTGTAAATTTTCCCAGACGTGAGTAAGGCATTAGGAGGAATTCATTTTTACACCCCAGTTATGGGCTATGCTATAGTGGATATTTCCACATTACTTGTTTACTACATTTGAGATCTAGAATAAAGGAGTGCAGAGACTGCCAAGTATTTTAGGGTCGCTTTCAAAGATGAACCAAAATCTCTCATTTCTAAATGAAGCCAGCATTTCAAATGCCATTACATAAATGAACAAGCAAGAAGCATACAATGGCAAAAGGGATTAATGTTTAACATGTCTGTCTGTCTGTTGTAGAATTCCTTACAGAATCTTTGCTGGAAATTAACCATTGATAACTGGTAACAATCACTTAAACCAATGGACAGCATACAGATAGTTCCTGATCATTCCAGGCTTCTATGGAATCTATCTTGATAGGCGACGACTGGCTAAATGATATTTCTGCATATTAACAACAATAGCAAAATACCCTACTTTGCATGCTTAAAGTCAATTATTGTGCTTGTATAGCAGTGACACTGAATTAAATGCAAATAAGGACTTTTTTTTTTAAATGTATTTTTATTTTTTTGTCGTCGTCTTTGAGGGGCTATAATTCAGAAAAATAGAAGGTTGCTGGCTTTAATTGTTTCATTTGAAGTGTCAGCCAGGATTCTAAACATAGATTCAACAATGGAATGGGGCCTGTTACCATGGGAACGAGAGAGAAGAACCATCCGCCGCAGCGTTAAAAAAAAAAAAAAAAAAAAATTGTGCTGAACAGGTAACAGGAACAAAAGGCCATTTCCCAGCATCCACACAAATACATTATCTCCCACAGAAACAAGACAATGCCATGTACACTCTTTCCATGCTTCTCTGTGATTGATTCAAAAGTAGCTTTTCCCAAAAAAATTAATTTCGAAATGTTGACATGAGGCCATACATTTTCATCTAAGGCATGTCAATGCTGCTCACAGTGGATCTTCACATGTCTTAACACAGCTAGTAAACATGCCAACGTATACATTTACGTGTGCATAAAACAAAGAATCGAATTTTTGTTTGATTTTTATTTTTTTTAAATACACATGCTCACACAAATAAAACTCCCTTCTAGGTTTCTTTCAGAATCTTCCATGGAAATGTATCTAATCTTATTGTTTGTCACTGTAACTCAAAGTATTAATAATTAAATAGGATGTGGGAGGAAGGGAATTACAGATAGATAAAGTGCGTTTTACTAATAAAAGGTCTATAACGGAGGTGCTAGAGAGACACACATGCATGCATGGATACGGCTCTAAACTATTTGTTAAATGGACATTGTGATCCTGTTAATTAGTATGAATAATAATACCAGGAAATAAACTACTAGCTCCAAGTAAGGCAGCCATTTAAATGTTTGTTTATTATATTTCCCTCTGCTGCACGACAAAATAAAAAAGGTGGTCAGTTTTGGTTTATTGACAAAATGTGCTATAAGCTCTGTAAGAGGAGCATTATAAAATGCTAACAGGTTCATTCCCTAAACTCCAATTCCAAGCAGCAAAACGGAGGCAAAAATAGCCAAGAGCAGATTTGGACATTTTTTTCCAGATCAGCTGTTTGCGCACGTTTGGCATTTATTGAATAACCCTGTAAGAATGGGTGATCTGAACATGTTAGTTCTGCCAGAAAAAAAAAAAAAAAAACACACAGGATTTTCTCTTTACACTAAGCAATTTCTCTTTACTAGGTCCCCTCACCACCAGATAGAAAACATACAAACACACTCACACACACACAGAAAGTCCTCAGTAACAATATGGAATCCAAAGATTCTCTCACTCTTCCAACCATGAACTGTTCACACAATGCTACTAAATCATGTGTTTTGTTTTTATTACCGGATTAAAAAGAAGCAAAAGAATCCTTAATTAGTAGTAACATTACTGAGACATACACGTGGATATTTACATTTTGGGAGTTTTTAGATTATTGATTTAGCAAAGCAAGTCAGTAATGAATAAATGCAGCATTCAGTTACAATAGGATTCAAGGGAAACAATGTAATATAAATTCTGGTTGGGTTAGGAAAGAATTGGAGTAGCAAAAAAAAAAAAAAACAGATGTAAATTGACACTCAAAGAAAGCACTACAGTTTTGAGGACAAAATGCTTAAATCAGGGCTAAGGCAACTGCTTTTCTTCAGATACCGTTTCCATAGCCAGCCTCAGGGAGATTAGAATGGGAGTCTGACATGGGCTAAAGGAGAATAGTTTCCTGGCCAAGGCTTCAAACGAGACAACTACACCTTTATTCAACATATTGATTATTTAAGTCCAAAAACGTGTTTAGAAAGACAACTATTCCAGAAACCTCAGGCATGAGAACACCAAGAAAGAACGGTGTGGCTAAAACTGGCACCACCATACACAGTGTTCCACAGGCTGACATTTACCTGATGTATTCTATTGTTGAGACACTGTGGTACCCCACAAGCAGAAAGAGAAAGAGTCTCGGGTTCCTTGCCACCAAGATTAAGCAAGATGTCAGTTGTAATGTACCATCTGGTAGGCGACAGAAATCGTCCCATGTCCTTGTCACCAATGTAAGGTCCTGGACTGAATTGCAAAGCTTGGGGTCAAGTGCAGCATTCCTCACGCCAACCTGGGGGAGAATGAAAGATGTAGAGCAAATCGATATTATAGAAGAACACTCAGTCATTTATTTTAATTATTAAATACAATCCACGGATTTAGAGACACATAGGTAAAGGGGGTGGGGGGATTAATGTACATCACTATTCCTGTACATATTTAGGTAATTAGACAATTCCCCTGCCCCCTTCCATCCCCCAATCCTTCATACAAGAGATACGTTCTATGCATTGATGATATGATGGGAACATTTGGAGCCAAGAATGTCTGCCAAAGGATTTAGGAACATAATAGGAAAACAAGTGTGGGATTTTGGCACTTTGTTCTGTGCTACACATTATAAACATCAAGATATTAGAAAACGGAGATTCAAAGTAAAAATGATGGGGTATAAATTGTTGTACTAATCAAATAGAAAAATAATTGCTTCAAACGTTACGGTTTGAGCCACAAAGGGGTAAAGTAGCAAGACTTGCAACCTCCACCTAAAAAAACCCCCAAAAACGACAATAAAATGTTTGTTTGTAAATAATCACAAGCAATATGTTTTTATGTATAACAGTCGAGAGAAACCCAATAAACAAATCCATGAGGGTATGTAATAATTGGCTAGCTAGATCATTATTTAAACAAAAAGCACACAATTAGAATCTGAATCATCTCCACACTACACACAAAGCACTTGAAAAAATGTATCTCTAAAGAAGAAAATTGTATAAAGATTTTGGTCATTCTAGTTATTTCTAGTAAAATCTAATAATGCAGATCCCTAGGACAGTTAAATACACACAATCAATTATCACTTTGAAGACCGATATATAACATTGACGTCTAGTTTTTTCACTGGATGACAGACTCTATATGGAGGCAGTTAATCAATTCTCAAATGTATCATATTCTGTATCAAAAAATATTAGTATTTACTCTATACTTAGGGGACTATAATCCAGTCTAGGTTTTGCTCTCCGCTGAAACATTACTGGATTTCTCTACAGACCTCTTCAATCATGTTTCGGTCCATCTACAATTCTAGCCATGAGGACCCCCTTCCCATCTACTTTAACAAAAGAATATCCTACAGCATATCCAAATTGGGCATACATACTCACACAGTGTGTGTGTATATATATATATATATATATATATATATATATATATATATATATATATACACACACACACACACATATATACATACACACATACACACATACATCTACATCTACACACATATACATATATATATATATATATTTATTATATATATATACATACATACATATACACACACACACACACACACACACACACACACTACCTTACAGTATATCTAAATTGGGCATACACACACACATTACACAAATACATACACACACACAATATATATTTGTGTGTATATAAAAATAAATACATACATATATAATATACATACACAGACACATTTTATAGGTTTCCATTGGATTCCTTTATGTTGAGACAAATCTGAAAACACCCAGCACAGCATTATACAAGCTTCATCTAATATTGATCTCAAGGAAAGCTATTTTAGAGCGGTGTCTAGCGTAGTAGTTACTTTTTTTTTTTTTTTTAAATAAATAATATTTTAAAAAGCTTCATATGAAAATATTTTTAAGAATGACAAATGAGCCAGGAAGCAACCCACCATGACTTCCAGAAGATTTAGCAAAGCAAGAGGTACGTTTCCATCTGGCAATGAAAATGTTAACGGGGGAATAAAAAAAAAAACAACAAAAATACAATTCCTCTTCCTTACTACGAAACATCACAAAGTAAAATAAGGCGGTCACGCCAATTACCACGATGGGCTAGAACACTTGTCACAGATACACAGCCCTCACCCTGATACAGAGTAATAAACCACTTGAAACACGCGAGTAACAAATACATTTAATTAAAAAGTCTTAGCAGTTGCCTGTAACAGACCCTTGTAAAGGGATATAAAATCTTCATAAAATTCACATACAGTATATACATTCTTACAAATCAATAGGATGACTTGCACTACAATAGAAAGAGGAAAAACAAAACACACACAAAAAAAACCCAAAAAAACACACTTATGGATTTCAGCAATTTTCGTAACCAAATAATTCATTATCGAGTCGTCATTTAAATAGTAGAGGGTTAACTCTATTTCGTCTGCAATGTATCAATCCTGATCTGTTCGCTGTACTCCCAGTTATCTACGGAAGCCCATGACGAGAGGATATTTAATTAAAACTCTGAAGATAGGAACCCAATAACACTTCACTCTCATTTTAAACCCCCTGTAATCTTATACTTGCAGAACAAAGATTGAATTCTACAAAAAGGAAACCCAGCAGCAGTTTTGAATGTATTACATCATAAAACCTAGAAAGTACATTTCAAATAAAACCAGCATATTCATGGACACAGGCAGAATATATAAGCTACTTTGATTTAAAACAAAATATACCAAAAGGATGATATTAAAAAAAAAAACAAAAAAAAAACACCCACATAGTTTGTATGGTTTTAAAAAGGGGGTGCAAACAAATATAATTCTTACAAAGTTAAAGAACATTAAAAAAAACAAAAAGGTGAAAAAGAAAAATCAGTAAGCTGTCAAATACCTGAACCATGCCAGCATCTGGATTCATCGCACCAAATTACAGAAGATGTGCTTTCCATAGCATCGACACAATTGCACTGAATGGCTCTTTGAGAGCGCGATTATTGCAGAACCTACACTTAAGCAATGATTCGGGCACCTGGCAAGTAGTCTGCTAAAGGCACTAGTGAGCACAGAACCAAACAGCTGCACTGGTGATGTCATCATCGGAGCAGCCAGTAACAGAGCAGTGCAACTACAACACGTCTCACGCTAAATTCAGCTCTTCATTAGCAATTCAACAGCAGATGAGGCAAAAAAAAAAAAAGCGTGAACGTGTGAAAGTGCCAAGTTACAAAAAAAAAGTGTGTGGTGGGGGATGACAAATTTGCTATTTTTTTTTTTAAAGCATGAAAATGATATTACATGAAGAGTGTGTGTGTGTGTATATATATATATATATATTAAAAAAAACACACCTTTTTTGCCCTTTTTTTTTTTTAACTGCAGAAAGAATAGAATTCTCATTGAAGCACTGTTAAGGTAAAGCTGGACAATTCAAGATATTTTATTTGATATGAAGGGGGGGTTAAATAGAGAAGCACAATACGTTGGGGATTTAATTCTCACTGAATAAACACACATGTGATCAAAAGAATCCAGCACACAGTAAAAACCCAACACAGGACCACCAAGTCCATTAACCATCCAAACAACAAAAATGCAATTTGGCAATTATACTTTGTCCAGTGAATGAAAAAAGAAAGTCAAATAGTAAAATAATTTCATTCTTTATTGCCAGAGAGGGGGTGACATACCGTGTTAAAGAAAACTATAAATAAATACTGTAAAAATTCTCTACCTCCCTAGATCTACAAATGTTCATCAGCCCCCCCCTCCCCCTCCCAAAAATCATTCTTTTGCAGATCCTACACAGCACATACAGGTAACACTCCTCAATACTATAATTATTATCGCAATTTATATAGCGCCAACAGATTTCGTAGCGCTTTACAATATTATAAGAGGGGGGGATTTTACTATAAATAGGACAATTACAAGAAAACTTACAGGAACGATCGCTTGACGAGAACCCTGCTCAAACGAGCTTAACTACATTTTTAACCCCAAGCCCTTTAGTTTTGGATTGGCTCACAATCTATGGAATTACCTTAATTACATTTTCCTTCAAAACACACTGATCACATCCATCATCAATGTCACAGTGTATTTAAAGTCAAGGAGTAAACAAATTGCATCCCATGAATTGCTCTGAGAGGTGTTCCATTTTCCAGAAATAGGTAAAATAAATGTTTGGGTTTTTTTAACCCCAAAATGCTCGCCCAGCAGAAGCTATACGGTAGAGATGAATAAATATAGTGAACCTGTCACCTATAAAATGCCTGGATGACAAAGTACGCTCCAGGCAAATATGCAAATTCAATCTATACACTGGGCAAGCAAAATTTCCAGCATATGTATAGATTAAAAGCCATACTTGCCCAAGGGTGGCTTCCTGCTTGTTGCTGTGAGCTATGTATAAATCTGTGCACTCTCACACAGATTATATCGAACCACTGGATAGGCATTGTGCCATACAGCACTCACAATACACATTTACCTCTCAGAACAAAATGTATGCATTTTTAAGAAATAAAAAAAACGAATGGTCGACATGTGTAAGGCTATTACAAAAAGAGGAGAGACAGAATGACTGTGCTGGCTAATTTGCTTTGCTTGTCTGCCATCTTCTAGACTTTCATCATCATTCATATTTATAAAGATGAAACAAGCTTAAGACATAAATCTATAACCTTGGATTACCTGCTGGTCTGTATTCCACAAATTCTCAGCCAGTGGATCCTGGGCAGGGGTCAGCCTCACCTACCTACCCAACCCAGGTTATTAACGATACAAACTATAACCTCAACGTCTTGAAATTTCGATTTTTAACCAAGCAGGTATAGATAGAATACACAGCCTATATTGTCGTAGGCACATACATACAGCACGGCCAACAAAGTTACTTCCCATCCTCCACCTAAATGATTTTTTAGTTCTGCAATAAGCTCCAATAACAGACTGTCTAAACTGCTTTGACTCATTGTATTCCCTGCGGTCTATTCATGACCTCCATGAACTTCTTTAACACCACTTTTTTTTCAGCTGTGCTTAACATACACACATGAGTTTACAGGGTCCAGTGGTTGGACAATAGGCATAGCTATGAAGTTTGTAACATAGTCCTATTGTGAAGATTGTTGCAAGTAAAGAACTGCAGAACTTGGCCAGCACAGATCAGATTAACATCATGAGAATTTTAGTTCTGTAACAGCTAGCGATCTAGCTTTTGGCTGCTCCGGGCACAGACCATGGAGGTGGCAAGGTAATAAAATCTGGGAAAGAGGAGCACAAATAAGAGTGAAGCAGAAACCCGTTGGTGATACCGCATCCAAAACTGTACGATCTCCTTAGGAAATGGACTACAATGAAACGGTCTTCTGCAGACACAGAAATAGCACACTCCAACACTGCAGTATAATTAATTAAATGAAGAGTGAAAACTACAGGGTAAAAAGAAAGACATAAAATAAATAGAGGGCTAAACAGAGCAGTGCTTCCCAACCTTTTCAGACTAAGGCAAGCTTCAATTAAAAGGAACACCTATTTTTTTTTTCTTCTCTTTTATTTCCCCTGTTTTCATCAGAGCAATCTAAATGTCACATTACTGCAGCCTTAGTAACAAAGTATGCAAAATGTATAGTTCATACTTCTAGCTAAATTGAATTCTTGGGTTTTAATTAAAGCGGCACTGACATGGCTGAATCCAGTTTTTTGGTTTTATTTTTAACCTTCCTTCCTACTCCACTACATCTAATTGTCCCCATAGTCACCCCCAAATGCCCCTAAGCCCCCCATATTACCTATTTTAATCTTAATTTTGTGCCCGGACTTAGGTCCTGGGTGCCGCCATCTTTGGGTGGGTAGATGAAGTCCCTGTGGGACACGTCATCTGCCCACACTAGATGGCGTTTTGGGCATTCGCTACAGGAATTTTGTCTATTCATTAATTCATCAGAAAGACGAAGGAATGAATAGAAATTTCAGACGAACAAGCAAACACTGAATATCAGTGTCCGTTTGTTCCTTGTAAAAATAGAAGCAAATTCCTAAGCCCCTCCCCCACTCTATGGGGGTCAATATGAGCAGTCGGTGGGGGCCCTAACGGACAGGTCCTAAATTATAATAAGCTGGGAGACCCTTTGTCCTCCCTCCAGGCCCCACGTAGGAGCGGCGGGTGGGAGCGCGAAATGACAATGGGGGGACCCAATGTCCTGCCCCTAACCCCAACCAATGAGTGCCGGCCTCTCCCACTGCACAGCATATGCCACTGGACCACCAGGGAATGCCATAACCCCCCCTCCCTGGCCAGGCAACAAGCAGGGAGGAAGGACCGAAAAAAAACATAATTATTAAAATAAAAAAACACACTGCAGATTAAAAAAAAAAAACATAAATATTAAAAATACAATTAAAATAAAAAATGCTTCCCCTCCAGCCCATTTTACACAAATTACATCCCTTCACAAACACACACACTCTGCATTATATATACACACACACACTCTGCATTCATTATATACACACACACACACTCTGCATTCATTATATACACACACACACACTCTGCATTCATTATATACACACACACACTCTGCATTCATTATATACACACACACACACTCTGCATTCATTATATACACACACACACATGCACACACACACACTCTGCATTCATTATATACACACACTACACAAACACACTCTGCATTCATTATATACACACACTACACAAACACACTCTGCATTCATTATATACACACACTACACAAACACACTGCATTCACTATACACACACTACAAAAACACTGCATTCACTATACACACACTACAAAACACACACTCTGCATTCACTATACACACACTCTGCATTCAAAAAAAAAATATATATATACACATATATATATATATATATATATACACATATATATATATATATATATATATATATATATATATATATATATATATATACACACACACACACACACACAAACACTCACTTCATTCACTATACACACTACACAAACATACCCTGCATCCACCTCACACACACACACACACAGCTCCCCTGCCTAAACACACTGCATCCACTACATGTGGCATGTATATTTTGTGCATTTACCTTTAGAAATAGTTTATTTTTTTCAAAATGGTAAATGTACAGAATATCGGCAAATTATTGGCTATCGGCCTGAAAGTTCACAGATTATCGGTATCGACTTTAAAAAAAAACAAAAAACAATATCGGTCGATCCCTACCAATGAGCAGCGGGTGGGGGCCCTAAATTACAATCTACTAAACAGTGAGCAGCCTCCTGGGGGGGAGAGAGCAATAGGTCCCCCCCCTATTGTCATTTAGGGCCCCCACCCGACGCTCATGGTTGGGGGCCGGGTGGGGGGTGGGGTGAGGACAATAGGTCCCACCCCCTTTTGTAATTTAGGGCCCTCACCCGCAGCTCATGGGTGGGGGCCAGGGGGAGGACAACAGGTGTGTGTGTGTGTGTGTGTGTGTCTCTCTTTTCCCCCCCCCGCCCCCCAATTTTCATTTAGGGCCCCCGTCCACCGCCCATGGGTGGGGGCCGGGAGGACAATATTTTATTTTTTATTTATTAAGTTCAACGGGTATTATGGTCTTTTTATTTTTTGGGCCACAGGAGCTAAAAAGGATGCCCCAGAAGAACATGACAGTGACCACCGCAAAGCACCGCTTCAGCTAAGTATACATACATTCCACTGCACTAAGCTGAGAAGTCATATTCAGAAGTTTTTGCAAAATAAGCAAAGATCCCAGAAGTGTCATAGTCACTTTAACCTACACATCACTAAGCTACCTTAGCCAGATGTGGTCTTGCTCTACCTTGCTGAACTATCTCAAACACAGTCTCACTAACTCACAGCAAACGTGCTCACGGAAGCAAAAAGACAGACTGTATAACTAGGCCTGCTTTTTGTTAAATATGTGTGGGGGGGGGGGACAAGAGAACACATCTTGGAAAACTAATTTAGTTAACCAACTGCTCTGTGGAAATGCGGTTGTCTTAACCATGTCCACGTTTTCCAGCAGGTTTTTGCTCATTTTGCGGTAACATCGAAGCCATCCTTTATTAATGCTGGGTATTATTGCAAAGTTTTAATTGAATTAATGAGAGCATTATCCTTTCAAGATCCATTAGTAGATATTGACTTGTCTGCATCACAACACGATTTCCATTACTTTTCACTTATGCCTCATTATTTCGCACAATTTGGCAGGAAAACAACTGCCCAAGAAACATTATGAATCAAAGCCAAACATAGTAAACTTTGAGTAGAGAAGAAAATAAGAAAGATCTACTGAGTAAATGTACTTGTTGCAAGCATTGTGATTACCATTTTCAGGTCTAGGCAAGGAAGAAATTGTTTTATAAAAAACAATTATACATATTTTTTTTTTTGAGATATAGATATATATATATATATACACACATATACACACATACATATATATACATATATCAAAAAAACAATGATACAAAGATTGCTGTGCCAGACAGATCAGGCGAAAACCCAGACAGCATTTAATTATCAAATATAGTAGGTCTTTCCTCCTAGACTCCCTGTGGAAAAAATAAGAATAGGAAGATAATATGAGATTTGCAACAATTAATGCACAAGGAATCAATTCACAATTCAAAAGATATACAATCCTTGAATTTTTGAGGAAGGAGCAAATACATATAGTGGCTATACAGGAAACACACTGGAAACTAGACGAAAAAATAAAAAACTTAAGTTATTTCCCACTATAATTAAAGCCTCTGTAAGCCAAAAAAAAAAAGAGGGGTAACTTTTTTTGTTTTCTTTGAAAATTGTTCACCAAGAACTTGATACAGAAGGTCGATATATAATTTTAGTGTGCGAAATTAATTACCAAAATTACACATTAGTTAATACATACGCCCCAAACCAGGCACAAATTCCATTTATTCGAAAAATATTTAATAGAATTGACAGCGTTAAAACTGGTTGAGTCATTGTTATGGGAGACTTTAATTGCATCTTAGATGCAGATTTGGACAGGAGTCCAAATTTACATGGGAAACAGAGCAGAAGCACTGATGTCAAATATAGTAAAGAAATAAAAAGTTAAAAAGGTTATTACTAAAATCGTACACAATGGGGAAACCTTATTAAACACAGAAAAAATAGAAGACTTTAAAAAATTATTATTTATACAATATTTCTAGTCAAATAAATAAATTAGACATCAGAGAGTTCTTAAAAACTATTAAAATCCCCCAAAATCACAGATTTATAACTACAAGAATTAAATAAAGTATTCAAGGAGGATGAATTGATCTTCTGTATTAATAAACTTAAAAAAAAATACATCACCAGGACCTGACGGGTTTGATAACCTCTTCTATAAATTATTGAAAAACAATATCAAAACAGATTTGAGCGACGTTTTTAACTCCTTTGGAACTGAAAAGATTCCAGCAGAATTACTGCAAGCGAATATAGTACCAATTTCTAAGCAAGAAAAAGACACAGAAAAAATTAAGAACTACCGTCCAATTTCCCTTCTAAATACCGATATAAAGCTCTATTCATATATGATAGCAGAACGTTTGAAAATAATTATACCAGACGTGATAGATAGGGAACCAGGTGGGGTTTGTCCCGGGTAGATCATCTACCCATAATATAAGAAGACTGATTGATGTTTTGACTCATGCAGGAAGAACGGGGGCTCCCATGTTGGCCCTGTCTTTAGATGCTGAAAAAGCATTTGACAGGGTCAACTGGGAGTTCATGAGGCAAACCCTTCAGGCATTTGGATTAGAGGGAAGACTTTTCCAGAATATCTCTGCTCTTTATACAGTACCTACTGGTAGAGTTGTAGGAAATGGCTTCGGATCTGAATGGTTTTCATTGCTAAACGGAACAAGACAAGGGTGTCCCTTGTCTCCGGTATTCTATATCATGGCATTAGAACCTTTGGCTTTAGCCATAAGACAAGAGCAGAGGATAGTAGGTTTTGATGTTAATAAAGAAAATATTAAAATAAATTTATACGCTGATGACGTTAAATTAACAATACAAAACCCCCTACAATCTATAATACAACTTATGGAAATCACTGGAAGGTTTTACCAGGTATCTGGATATAAAATAAATATAGAAAAATCAACTCTCTTAGCTGTAAATGTAAATAAAGAAGAAAAAAATGAGATTATGAAGAAATTTGACTTTGCATGGGTCAAAAAATCATTTAATTATTAAGGAATTAATATCTGTGCTGACCCACTGAAAATAGTAGAGATCAATCTTCTCCCATTGCTTATTAAAATTAATAAACGCCTAAAGGGTTGGAAGAATCTAGAATTCTCGTGGTGGGGCCGTATTAATATTATTAAGTCTTACATCTTACCAAAATGGCTATATTTGTTTAGAATGATCCCCCTGAGTGTCCCGATAGTTTGCTACTATTAATACAACAGGCCTGGTCTAAGTTCATATGGCAAGCAAAAAAACCAAGAATGGCAAGAAAACTCCTCTCGATTAATCAACCTAAGGGAGGGGTAGGAATCTCAGTCATACAACAATACTATAAAGCAAGTATCCTTTTCCATAGTATCACTTCACAATTGGCTGGGGCTAAACTAGAAAGGTGGTATGCGGTGGAAAAGGAACTTGCAGATGGTAGGGATCTAGTAACACTTTTCTGGTTTACTCAGGAAGGAGAAACAAATAAGAGCCAACCAAGTTCTAATAGAGTCCATTAGAGGAATGTGGAGTAAGATAAAAAATAAGTGCAGGATTTAAAAATCACATTATTAACACCCTGCCGATCTCAATACTAGAAAATAATATGCAAGACCTAAGAATAAATAATTGGAGAAGAGCAGGTATACAAACTATAGAAGATATAACAATAGGACCCAGGGTTCATTTGATTGAACAAATATGTATGAATTTCGGTCTCCCGAAAAATGAGAAATTTAACTATATGAGGATTAAAAGCTATTTGAATAAAACTCTAAATAAAGAGAAACAGGAATTCAATAATAAATTGGGAAACTTATTGAAAGGAAAGGACATGAAAAACCTATTAAATAAATGTAACTCGGTATTGAGACAACTAGTGGGTGACTTGACGTTTCCGACGATAAAAAAAATGGGAGAAAGATCTAAAAATACAAAAAATTGATGGACAGGACTGGAATAGAGCATGGCTGACAGTTGCTAGGCACAATAAATGCTTAAATTTAGTGGAGCTACATTTTAAGATCATTAACAGACTATTTTTTTCCTAGCCGTCTAAACAAAATAGACCAGAGTAAAACAGATATATGCTGGAGATGTGAAGGGGGAGTGGGAGATTGTGTACATATTTGGTGGAGTTGCCCTCCACTTAAGGAATTTTGGAAAGTGTTCTTGTCCAAAACTGAAATGGTAACCGGATCTAACTTCCCCTTTGCCCCGGAAATGCTTATATTACATTTAAATATTTATCCGTATAATGTAGATTTGCAACACTTTTTTACCCATGCATTAATAGCAGCAAAGATTTCTATTGCTAGAAGGTGGAGAACTAAAAATCTACCGAATTGGGACATAGTTAAAAACCTACTAATTTCGCAACTTAGGATGGCTATTCCATGCATCCACTACCCTCTCAGTAAAGTAATACATCCTGATATTATTTTTAAACCTTTGCCCCTCTAATTTCAAAGTGAATGGTGGAGACAGAAGTTCTAAACCTTCTTGAATTAAGCAAATGTATACTCTTTTAAGGGGAAAGTCGTTCTTACCCAATCACGTTTGGTGTAAAAAAAAATAAAAAAATAATTACAAACATTTAAAGGCACACAATAGTCACCAGGTTTGAATAGAAACCTGAAGAAAACAAATTTCACATAAATAAGTGGTTAAAAAAAACTTGTCGGCGGTAGATTAATATACATAGAAGAGGAAAGGAAGGGAAGAGAAAAGGAATAGGGAGAAAGGGAGGAAAAAAAGGAAAGAGAAAGAGGGAAGAAAGAAAAGGGGAAAAAAAGAAGGAAAGAGAAAAAAAGAGGGGGGAAGGTGAGGAGAAAAGAAAAGGGAAAGAAAAAAAAGAAAATACATTTTTTTTCTCATATATCAGTATTTTGAATAGCAATGCAGAGAGACTATTCACACATCGTGTGTGAATGTTGTGTTTGTCTGCTTTATGTCATAGTTTGTTTTTTCTCTTTGTTAATGAGTAATATTAATGTTTTATATAAATTAAAGTCATATAAATAGGAAAAAGAGGGGAGAGAAAACAGTGATGATGATTAATATAACAATGCCTGAGATGCAGAAAGCTTGAAAGAAAATAAGAGGCTGGTAACGTCTGAAATGAAGAGAAGAAAAAAATTAAAATGTAGTAAGGTCTTTAAGGCTTTGGGCTTGATAGGGGCTACATCATGTAAACAGGAAGTGAAGCACAACTACACCTAGATCCTTAACCATATTGCCAACTAATCATTAGAATATAATCAAAACGTGTCCTTCCTGTTCTGAGTAGTAAATGGGACAACGGTCTGCCCACCTCTATGACAGGCTCTTTCATAGCCTTGCATTAGAGAACTTGCAAAAATAAATCATTTATAGTGCCACCGGTGGGGGGGGAATATAGATCTTCATATCGTCATTAAAGGACCACTATAGGCACCCAGACCACTCCAGCTTAATGAAGTGGTCTGGGTGCCAGGTCCATCTAGGATTAACCCTGCCTTCAGAGAAACTGCTATGTTTACAATAGGGTTAATCCAGCCTCTAGTGGCTCTCATTGACAGCCGCTAGAGGCGCTTCTCACTGTGATTTTCACAGTGAGAAGACGCCAGCGTCCATAGGAAAGCATTGAGTATGCTTTCCTATTGACTGACTAAATGCGCACGCGGCTCAAGAGGGAGGAGAGTCCCCAGCGCTGAGGGAGCCCGGCACTGGAGAAAGTTAATACTTTACCCTCTTCTTCCCCCTAGAGCCCGGTAGGAGGGGGGCCACGAGGGTGGGGGGGGACCTAGTAACACTATAGTGCCAGGAAAAAACAAGTTTAAAAGTTGTTTTGGTGACTATTGTGTGCCTTTAAAAGTTTTAAAAAAAATTTTAATTTTTTTTTTTTTACACCAAACGTGATTGGGTAAGAACCACTTTTCCCTTAAAAGAGTATACATTTGCTTAATTCAAGAAGGTTTAGAACTTTTGTCTCCACCATTCACTTTGAAATTAGAGGGGCAAAGGTTTAAAAATAATATCAGGATGTATTACTTTACTGAGAGGGTAGTGGATGCATGGAATAGCCTTCCAGCTGAACTGGTAGAATGGTTATCTGCAGTCACATTCTATGTTTCTACATAGCCATTTATGCAAGTCGACTGCTCTAGGACTATGACAAATAGACACATTGCACCTTTTATCGATCCATGATGTTCTTCACAATGTATCTGTTGGTTTTCAACTGAACTGATGGTGATGATGGTGGGGGAGAGAATACACGGAACCTATGGAGACATTTACTAGATATAATTGTGTTTTTAAAAGTTAGTTCATAATTCAATCCCTGTAGCAGAGATTTGCAGAAATCCGCTTTTGAACACAGGTGATCCACACAATCATTGGGATTGATCCACCTGGCTTTGTGGGAATACATCCATAATTCCTGCCTGACTTCAAGAGACTGAGGACTGGAATTGTAAAAACCTTTCTTGACATCTTTAGACACAGCAGAAACCAATAATTACCTGGCACTGATAACCAGTCTATTTCTGTAAGTACAATACATCCCTTCAAACTGGTTTTTCCTTTGAGAGAAGAATTACATTTTGTAATGGATCTTGTAGATTTATTTTTCATTAATTAGTTTATACTTCAATAGTTCTAAACTAAAACTACCTGTGATGGACCTTGTCTGGTACAATTATGACAAGGAGCTGACAAATTTCATAACAAAAACAGACCTCATCCAATAACCTGTAACACCTACAGACTGATGTACACAAAGCTACAACAAAAGTCATAGACCGGTTTCTCCATAGTATGCTAATCTAAAGAACATTGCTACAATGAATTGACATAGTTTGAGATTATCAAATACCTTCCAGCAGTGTTTATTTTGTTAATCATGTGTTCTATAAACCAGTCTGTTGAGACATTATATGACAATATTTATCTACTTACTATTAAGTATTAGAGTGTGTGTATACACTCTCTCACAGGAAAGAAAAAAAAGAAAAACAAAAACATTAATAGACTACAAGGATTGTGTTTATAAAGCAATTCTGGGCAAAAGATTCAAAGTAGATAAATCATGGAAAAACAATGGGCAATTGTTGCTCCCCAAACATTTGACCAATCACAAATGAAGAGCATGATGTGGTGCTGTGCACTCCATGAAGTGATCCTGACTTTTTAAACTATGCATTATAAAACATTGCAATTCTGTTAGAAACCACAATTTTTACATTGCAGGGTCAAGCACATCTCTAGTGGTTATCCTCCAGACAGCCACTAGAGGTGCTTCTTCTGCACTGACCGAGTAAAACTCAGTCATGTGACACTGAAGCTCATAGGAAAGCACTATATTCAATGCCTTCATGTAACAAGCACTGGATGTGTGTGCATGCATATCAAGTTCCCAATGCTTGGATTGGATAAGTGACAATGAAGCCATGCCACCTTGATGATGTCACAGGAGGAGGAGAGAACAGTGCAAAGGAAACTGGAGTGCCCTGAATCTAACTAGGGATACAGGTTAGAGCGTTCCATTAATAGAATACTGGCATCAGATTCGAGCTGGTTAGGAAATGGTTTATGCTTTAGGGAGAAATAGACACCCCCAGTTTACACAGAGACAAAGCAGTGGGGAAAGGCAACGCATGCTACGCTACCTTTCTTCATAAAAAATTAAGGATACGGGGGCGGGGCCTGCCCGCCATGCTGACCGGTCGCATGAGGGAGAGGCTCCTGCGGATATATGGCCTTTTCGACCGATGGTCTGGGCTTACAGCCTAGATTAGAACTGGAGGGAAACAGCAAGGTGCCGGAGCTAAAGCTGGCGCAACAGCGGGCTCCAAGATCGGGAGTTTTGGGGCCCCACAGGTCCTACAAGGCTTTGGAGCTTGCGGCCTCCACGTGAGAGAGGCGGGATGGACGGCCGCCACCCTGCCTACTTGCCTAGCAGGCCGCCACATGCCAGCTCTGGGGCACACCTCACAGGCCCCTTCCCCCCCCTCTGGACCGGGGGGGATATCCCGGTCCCCACTGGGGGGCAACGAAGCGTCCACCACCAAAACCTGCAGAGCGCACTCCGAGGCCCAGAACCTAAAATGGCCGCCAAACTGCCTCTCGGCTATCTGAGCAGCACTTCACCCCCTAAAGGGGACTGGAGCTCCAGCGACCAGGCAACCAGTGACGGGGTACACCTGCCCAACCCTCAACCAAGACAACAAGGCACCCCAACAGAGTAGTGCTACACAGTCCCCAGCTACCCACCTGCCGCAACACACCCAGAACAGGAGAGACAAGTGCGGGCGCAAGCCATAAGGCGAGACAGGAGAGCACGACATGACCAGCACCGGGCACTGAGGATCGGCTCACTGACACACTACACCCTGCGTTATCACATGAGCACAGCAAACACACTCTAACCCAGGAAAGCAGGCATACCTCTCAGCCCACTGTCTCCAGCAGCCCGACGGAGCAGGACAAGGGGAACGGAGTGACCTACATGCAGGGACCCAGTGGACACAAACAGTTTGCAGATCTGTGACTCTCACATTTATAATGCATTTTTACTGCTCTAACACACATAGTTTGCCATATGCTTTGCTTTACTTGTTTCTATGCTACATTCTAATTCTCTTGCAAATACTATGTGAAGATGATGTAGGCAAATGTAATAAGCAACGGTTATAAGCAAATGTTAAAAATTCAGAGGTTATATGCAAATATAGGATCTCCATCTACTTAAGTAACTACAGCGATGACTCAGCTAGCATGTACCAAGTCTTGTGGATCTAACTACCTACTATAGCCAATCTAGCAACGTCAAGCATAAACTGTTATTCACTTGTTTCATTTAATTTAACTCTGTTAGTTAAGCTACTTAACAAGTTTTTTTTTAATCCTATTATTACTGCTACTCGTTGAAACACAGCATTGTAAGCTTTACAGTACTTGCAGGATGGTGATCCTAGCCATAGATGGTACTAACTACAGAACTTCCCCTGCATAAAGCATATATGAGCTTAGCCTGTAACGCATACTTCACTTAATCATAAAAATGCGCATTAATCCTACAGCTAAGTGACCTCTATGTCTTAGATTACTGTCATGGCAACATAACTACAATATGATGTGCAAAAAGTTGAGCTAAACGAAATCCTAATCTAACATGTTATACCATTCAGCAACACCTATTAGCTTGTTATCATTACGCAATATCAAAAAAAAAGTGCATTGTCTACCTAACCCCCACTGTAACTAATGTCTTGAAATTAGCATATGGAATGCCGTTGGGGTACCATATGCATACCTGTAACCACTATACGCACTGCAAAAATAAAGAATTAAAAAAAAAAAAAATTAAGGATACACAGAGGGCAGTAGCAATGGGATGGACTACATCTGATACAATAGAAGATAATACAGTATGACATTGGCAATGGCCTGGTACCATCACTTATCCCTTATTGGCCACAATCCCTACTGTAGCTAACAACATTTCAGGCTCCTACCACTCATAGGATCACTTGTATCTTGGGGTACTTACTGTGAAACTAAATATTAAAGTGGTACTGAATATTATATTTTCTATGCATGATACTTTGATTCTGAGCGGAGCTACCACTGTCTAGAAGAGTCAATCCCCCCAGCCGTCACCAGTGATGGTTGCAGGGATATTAACTGTATGTATGGTGGTTCCAGTGGTCTTTCAGGATCCTTCAAAGACCTCAATGAGGTGACTGGCTCCTGACGCTGAAGCTCCAGGAGCAGAAGAGGGCTGGCCAGAAGAAGATGACGGCGCTTGCAAATGACAGTTTCAGGTAAGTAAAACTAACCTTGGTCTGCCCCCTGCCACTGGACCACCTGAGGCAATGTCACTGTTGTGGGTCTTTGCAAATTATGCAAAGTCCCCAGACAGTGACAGTGCCACTTTAACAATGTTATGCGTTGGTTAATTCAGACATACACACATATATATATATATATATATATATATATATATACACACACACACACACACACACACACACACACGCACATGCACGCCATTCTTTAACTTCTATACAGTTTAAGATTTAAAGGAACCCAATAAGATCCAAAACACTTTTGTAAGCTCTGTAAAGCTATTTGCATGTTAATTTTTATCATGTAGTGCAACAAAACATACATACATAAGAGGGTAGTGGAAACATGAAATAGCCTTCCAGCTTAAGTGGTAGAAGTTAAAACAGTGAAGGAGTTTAAGCATGCATGGGACAGGCATAAGGCTATCCTAGATATAAAATAAGGCCCAGGGACTAATGAAAGTATTTAGAAAATTAGGCAGACTAGATGGGCCGAATAGTTCTTATCTGCCGTCACATTCCATGTTTCTATTTCAGTCTGTAAAACAGACAGAGATACTTCATGTAACGTCAGCGTGAGTCTAATGCTAAATGATCCTAGTTTACGCAAGAGACTCACTGCCATTAGATATAGCCCTAAACCTGAGGACTGCCTCTGTTCTACTCACCCATTTTAATGTACATATCTGGGTGTCTCCATTTAGTAGGCATCCAATAACAAGGACAATTAAATCCCCCTCTTCCCCAACCATCTCACACTGGCAAGTCACCTAGTCAAAGCATCAACACATAGGTGTGCTCAAAAAGAGCTTACAATTCATGCACTTCAAAGATCTATAAAATACGTACAGAGAATGAAATGTGCAAAGTATCGTTTTTCACAGACACATCACAGTGCTCATTACATACATTGTAACGTGACAAAAATGACCTGCCTAAAGAATACCCGAGCGTGTGTGTGTGTGTGTTATCTTATTTTTCTTAAACCTAAATAAATCCTGCTTCTTCCAGAACAAGACATGTATGTTCCTATCTGGAAAAGGCTTTATGGCTCCTTTAAGTGCATTACATAGCACTGGTCTAGTCTTCCAAACATGCTTCACAATTCCTATTAATAGGTTTTAGTGTCAAACTCCCCCCAAGCTACCTGTTTGAGCTGTGAAACTCATTCTACAAGCAAAAGAGGTGACATCACACATGACACGGGAGGTGTGTTTGTGCCAGATACAGCACTTCAATGGTTTCCTGAAAAACGGATGTCCAGGTTTAACCTTTGCAGGGAGCAGGCACTGTAACGCAACATAGCTCTTTTGGTCTGACACAAGAGACCAACAGCTAAAGAGAAAGAAAAAAAAAAAATAGATCTCCAAACAAGTTTCACTTGGACTCTAAAGCCATTCTATATTTTTCACATAAAAAATAAAATAAAAAAATATCATCATGTAAAAAGCCACTGCTTGGGATATAATTTTAGATACGGTTTTGTTTTGTTTTTGGGGTTGTTTAGAAGATGTAAGAAAAAAAGAGGATGAATAAATTATATTATAATATATATATATATATATATATATACACACACACACACACATATATATATATACACACACACACACACGACTGTCCATTTTTGTATTTATTTATTTTTTAAAAGAAAAAAATAAATCTGTGAAACGCTATTAAGTTATTAAAATATAAAACCAAATGCATTTCTGTGGCTCCTTAAGAGGTCTTTTGATGATCCCAAATGCCACAGGATGAGAACAATATAGGTTAGATCTTAAAGGAATAATGTGTTACTGGGATTAAAACAGAACATATTAGAAGCATTTTGACATTCCATTCCCTGTACAGGAATGTTATCAAGGCATGTGGATGAAAGTACCAATATGGGACTGAAAGCAATGTAAATATGTTCTGTTATTCTTTTACAAGCCCAGAAATACATTTGTCCCCTGCACTTAAATAAACCCAGTAGTTATGTCTGAAGAACACGTCATTCATTGGCCAAGAAAGCACACAGCTAACATTTGTGTTATCTGTGTACATGTCACACATTATACCAATCTATAAAATGAAACTTTACACGATCACAACTGCATTGCAGATTTTTCTACGATTGAATGAATGTCCTCATGTAACCTAGGGTTTCTATTTACAGGGACGCGTTCAACCATAGGATGCAAAAAACTGCTGCCCATTTTACATTTCTAGCCTCAAGAAAGAAGGAAAAACAACAGATCGAAGAATGACCTGCAAAGAAAGAATGGCACTCGTCATCACTAAATCAGAACACACGATGTAAGCTTCATCCACTGGGTAAAACATCATGCAGTGCATAGCACAGGAGCAAACTGACACCTAAAGAAAGGAATTTTAAAATAGGAAGAGTAGACCCTTTGTGAATATATCAGTGTATTCAGTACACTATAGCAGGTAGGTTTGGGGGGATTCTATTTTTGTGGATCAGCCAGCCATAAAGTAAGATGTAGTCCAAACAGATGCAGCTCCAAAGAAGAGCCACCACTTCATTACAGATAAGGTCAACTACAGAATGCTCAGTCTTACAAGGTTACTCCAACCAAAAATTTTTTAAATAAAGTAAATACTAGTTTTGGTTAGAGTAGCGACTGCTGTGCTAGTCCCCCCAATGTTAAAAAATAAAAACACTGTTACTTACCTCTAGACCAGTGCCCGGCCAAGTTCTCCCCGAGCCTCTCTACACAACTGCCAGGGGAGAACAAGGGCAGCACGCAAATAGGGTGTTGGCGTGTCTCCAATGTAAACCTATCGCTAGCATGCTGCACGTGGTGACAACAGGGGTCCAATATTTGCAGAATTGATATTACCTAGCCCAAAAAAGTTCTTCCGGGCTTGCTAATGACCCCCAAATGACGCTGCAGGCATAGGAAAACAAATAACTGAAGTGGTCATGGTGCCTTGAGTATAGCCTGATATTGCAGAGTGCTGCCGGCAGCCATTCAATAGATTACATGCTTTGTTTGTGGAAAGAAAATTATTTGTAACTTATACATAGGAAAAGCATATTTCATATTTTTTTAAGTGATGGTTGTGGAATCTAAAGAGAGTATCAGCAGGTCATGGTAATAGATAACTCGTAGCAATCTTCAATGTAACCTCTCCATGCAAGGTTTAAAAGTGGTCATTTGATTCCAATGGGGTGCTAAGCCTTAGCCTATAACTACAGCCTATGACCATTGACAATGCAATAGACTTAAGGGAGACCAGCAAACTTTCTTTCCACCACTTTTACTAAAAAGCTTTATGGATTATTTAGTCATTGGTTGAGCAGATGGCATCTATTGGACAATTATCAAATCTAGTGTCTCTTAAAAGGGTAGGCACTATAACTGGTTGATCTCACTGAAGTGGTTATAGTGTCTGGAGTCCCCTGGAGCTGTCCTTCTGTTCAATGTTAAACCATTTAAATGTTTTAATGCTATAAGAGTCCCCAGCAGTACATCCCCTCTGTGCTACTTGGCCTAATGAGGAAGCATCAGCCTGTGCAGCAATGATTGACAGTGATTGGTCGAGAAAGTCAGCTGACTGCTTTAAGCCTATCCCAGCCACCCATTTCTGGTATGTTTTGGTATGGCTAGAATAAATTAGTTCTTTGGGTGCCGTGCTGTAGGTGGTCAGGGAGCCTTATTCAACGTTAAACTTCCTGAAAGAAGGGACTTCAGGCAATATAACCAATTCTATTAGATAAAATGGTTATAGTACCACTTTAACCATTTCATTGGGTTGTAATAGGAACACATTAGTGTGATTCCAGACACCTGCTCAGAATACCCAAATTACTATAGTGATGGAGACTTCAAGATTAATATTTTACGTTATTTTGTCAAAGAAAACCCAGTCATGTGACGTGGAAGCTCATAGTAGAGCACTGGTTCAATACCATGCCTCCTCGATGTCGCGGGAGGAGAGGTAAACAAGCTGAAATAGTTTTTGTGCTAGAAAAAAGGCAAGTAAAATCTTTATTTTATTAATTAAACGGAAAAGGGGGTGTAATATGTATATGAGTAGAAACAAGGGCGTTGTTACGGTTGGAGGGTGGACCACTTGGATGTCCTGGTTCCCAATCCTGGAGAGTAGTAGAGAAACTCCAAGCAGCATCCAGCAATAATCCTGTAAGTGTGGAACATCCAGCTAGATGTAGGTAGAACTAGTATAAAGCATTTTCCTACAACACGAGTCGAGGCTGCGAGTTGAGGGTAAGAACACTGGTTTATTGATTGGCAATGCACTGCTTAAATACATATTTTCAGGCCAGAGGAACACCCCTCTGGACCTGATGGTACACAGAATGACAAAGAGCAACAACCAATGACGACAAAGTGCATCTTTTCAAACCCTCCCCTCTAGCCTGGAGATAATTAGTCACAACAGTTACAGTAATTCAATTGTCTCCAGGTACATGCAATATTGTAACTTTTATACATATAAAAATATATAACTTTTACACCATGTTCTTTAATTGTCACCATCAAAATATCCCCAGACAGCTGGGATCGGAGCGCACAAAATATATGAAAAACGCTCAGATCTCACGAATGGTATGGGAACGCCATGGGGGTAAAGATTGTCCTGAGGGCTATTCGGCCGTTATTAGTCCAAGAGCCCTCAGCCATAGTGTCCTGCAAGGGGTCGGTACACTCTACATGGGCGGTTAACCAGGGGCACACTCCTCAGGTAGGGTGGTCGGCCGTTCAATTGGGTGGTTCTGTATTGTGAGAGGTGAACAGTGTTAATTGGCGGCACGCGCCAAGGGCCAGGTGGTCGGTCATTCGAACATATGTATGACCTGCAAAAGTTTTTGGGGAAATAAGCACAAAGTAACAGGGATGTAGTAGACAGAAGGGACTTTGTAACAGACGTCATAGCATTACAAATACAAGTAATTCCTAATATTATAGTGTTATTTAAATACTGTATCACTAGCCTGTATCACAATCTGTGTGTGTGTGTCGGTGTAAAAATCAGTGCTGTAAAGTAAATTATGCTGAAAAGCAAACTGCCAAACACACTGGTCTGACTGACAATATCATAACCTACAAAATATGTATACAACATTGCAGCCCTAAAATCGTTACTGGCCAGCAAAATGAATGTTCCACGAATCTTTGATTGAAGGGGTGTTATTGTCAATAAATCTACAAATTGTGCTAATCAAATCGCAGGCAAAGAAAGATATTTTGAGTAGAAGTTTCGTTATTTACATTTCTATGTCTTCAATAATGGCACCTTCATGCTGGAGAGTAGGACACCAGCACTCATAAGTCGTGATGATCCCAGAATACAGCGACTAACCCACTTACTGTAATTAATAACAAAATAAAAACATTGGCCGAAGCGACATGGCATACGTTTAGCCCTGATGAAGGTGCATATCTGGCCAAGTAACCCTAATTGACATGTAATATTTGTATTTGTTTTTACATATCATGAGCTATAGGATGCCTTAAAAAGTAACGGCTACTTCTATGGAAAATATTCAGCAAAATAAAACACTCAAAGATCCCCTATAGTTTAATGGGCCAGAGGAAAAATAATATACATCTCAAAAGAAAATTAGCGCAGCAAAACAAAGTCCTTCATACTATGGAAATTATCTTAACATTGAACAGAAAGAAAAATAAACAAACGTACGTATGACCTTGAAGATTTGGTTTTATTACAGTGGTTAAAGCTCTGAACTCCAGCCATTTAATCTGGGTCTATTAAATGCTCTTAAAAGTGCAACCTTTCGTACATATACCTCTGCTTGCTCAGCCAGATCTCTGTACTTTGAAAAACTGTTTGGCGTAGTGCTATAAGATTTCTGACATCTGCCCAGGGCTCAAAGAAAGACCAGGTTTCTGAAGCAACCAAGCAGCGAACATTCTGTTCTTAGGAAACTTCTCAGTATTAAACATTCGTCAATCTCACCCGTTATCACAAAATGCTTATGGTGTTTGTGTGTGGAGGGGGAGGGACAAGTTATGAAATCCAGGAGCCAGTATTTTGACCAGTCCTTGTTACACCGAACATGCTGGTTGGCTAACAAAACATTGCTATGTAGCAACAAACTGCAAACTCTAGGGGCATCATATAGGATTCATGAATCATTTCAGATAATCGGATTTAAAGGCTTGTTTTAAAAAGCATTTAAAATTCCTATTCCAAGCTCTACGAGTGCTCTGAGAGGCAATGCAATGGTGGAAGTCAAGACCATCAGTCATATGGTTATTTCAGTTTTAAATGGCATTTACCCACATTACGATGAGAATATTTTCAGTCACTAAATGACTACAGATATACGATGTTTAGGAATTCATTATTCGTATATGGCCCTGACATACAACACTGAAGCAAAGTTCTAAAAGTAAAGCAAGGAGAATCGCAGTGGTGTCCATGGTTATCAAAATATATCTAATCTTAGAACTTAAAGGACCACTATAGGCACCCAGACCACTTCAGCTTAATTTCTGTACAAAAATAGTGAGCACTTAGAGTGCCAAATTTACGTAACAGAGCAGTGTGAGAAGTATTTTATCATCCGTATTCCTATGTATTTTGGGAGCAGGGAAAAGCAAATTTTCGCTGAAACAAAACTACTATTTTACTGAACAATTCCTGGATTCGCAGGGACCTGTGAAATGTGAAACTGCAGTCTTGCACTTTACCTTGGAAGCAAAGGGGGGGAGAAAAAAAGGAAGATTAATTGCGCGCAGCAGACTCGTTCATTGTGTGGCAAGGAATTGTCATCTGTGAAACATGAACTTGACCGGCTTACGACTCAAGTCCAAGCAAACATGAGCACCGCGCTTACTTTCAGGATAGATAGATATGGGTTTATTTGGGGACTGTGTCAGAAGTCTTCAGTAACAAGTACATCATTGTGACCTTTTCGATTGAGACAGGAAAATAAAATATATATATTTCTTCAATCTAGAGGCATTGATTTGGCCTTTTGGAGAAGAGGAAATTGATTAGTGCTCATTCTTATAGGTCTCGATTGGTTAATAAATATCACAAAGGGTTAATATCACCATATTTGTAGCCACTAGTGGAAACTGCTTGGAAAAGGAAAAACTGCCCCTGCATCCCTCCAGATTTGGATATCCTACGATCCAGATCATTTGAGTGCTCCAGATTTTTGTTATTTAGACCTGTTTTAATACAGCAGGTTGTGTGTGCCAATTGTGTTGGGTGACTGCAGATTATATTGTATTAATAGCCATTATGCTGTTCAGTAAACATCAGCAATTATTCAGATATTTCCAGAATTATGCGGGGTAATACTAAGGGGTAAACTGCTTATTTTCTGTATTCAGCCGCTAAACACCCATTAACGAAAACAGACAAAGAGGTACACACAAATAAGAAATGCAAAGCGTGCACTTTTCCACATAGTGAACAAAGTAAATGTATATTAGTAGAAACAACGTCATTGCAAGATTGAAAACTGTGACAAAGTAAAAAATAAATAAAAAAGAATCCAACCACCAAAGCTATAATACATTGCAGTATTGCATTAAAAAAAATATTAAAGGGACACTACAGTCACCAAAACAACTTAAGCTTATTGAAGCAGTTTTGATGTAAGGATCATTTCCTTGCAGCATCACTGGTCAATTCTCTGCCATTTAGGAGTTAAATCACTTTGTTTATGCACCCTAGTCACACCTCCCTGCATGTGACTTGCACAGCCTTTCTAAACACTTCCTGTAAAGAGTCAGCTAATGTTTATACTTCCTTCATTGTAAAGTCTATTTAATTTAAAATGTATTATCCCCTTTATCACTTTAGAGAGCAGACAATAAGAACTTTTAAAGTAAGTTACATCTAATTAAAAGTGATACCATATTTTACTTTTTTTTTTTTTATGCATGGTGTGGAAGAGTCACAGACAGGGGAGGTGTGGCTAAGGCTGCATGGACAGAGACAAATGGGATTTAACTCCTAAATTGCAGATAATTGAGCAGTGAGACTGCAGGATCATGATTTATACACTAAAACTGCTTCATTAAACTAAAGTTGTTTTGGTGACTATAGTGTCCCTTTAATATAATAGGTTATGATGTTACAAAAACATGGGCTGAACCTGCATTAAAAGTTCTTACACCAATTCTATCCTGAAAGAAAGGAATTTGCCTAATCCAATGTAATTAAAATGTTACAGGCCAGGGATCGGATTTTATTGGCACTCCAACAGACCAAACTGGGCAAGTTTTAGGTTTTAGAGCTACTGTCCCACACGGCAACACTCATTCTGTAGGTGTCATCTTGTTTTTGGGTGACAAGCATTGCAGTCAGTACAAGTGAGCTGTGCGTGCCTTGAGAGAATGGTTGTGCTATCCTTTTTAAAGGGGACTTTCATGTCTCTGGAATTGATTGACATCATTGAATACAAGAAGAAGATCTATAACTTTTTTTTACTTAAGTTCTTAAAAGATTTAGAGAAGGACATCACAATCCAGTTCGGAAAAGGCAAAGCCTGGCAAACATTGCAGATACATTGTTTTAGGTTTTTTTTTTTTTAGGACTACCAGGTACAAAGGACGGAGCTCATGACAATGAATAACACAAAACCAATATTTTCTCACCTCCCAAATAAAAATATTTCTTAAACACAATAAATTCCGGAAAGTGATATAACGTGACAGCCCTCCAAAAGGATGAGGGACCCTTCATTCTAAGCCTGCTTCGTAAATTTTTGACATACAAATAAATTAACTAAAACTTAATATCATAAAATCTTGGCTCATTGTTCCTCTCAGGAGCGATCACCCTGACTAAATAGGAATGCTGTTTGGATTGAACGTGGAACCTATAATGCATACTAGCACCGAGTTATTTTGTGAACCCCTACATCAGAGATCTTGCAGTGAATCTCAGAGGAAAGAATTTGGGGGTGGATGAGGTTTATTACACATAAAAAAAATAAAAATTAATAAACTGTGAAAAGATTTTCATCTTTGAAGTTCCAGGATTTAAACCTTCTGTAAAAAGCTCTCGACAAGCCAAGCAGAGAGTCAACCAATCCTGAGACTCCAAGAACATTCAGTATGAGTGCTGAACGTTCCATACATACTCAGGAAAGCGGACACCTGAACTTCAACTCTCACAAACCCTGCTGTGTACCTTCTCAAAGTAATTAAGATGTATCTGAAGAGATCACAAGCATTGACCGCCTTTATTAAGGACCATAAGCACTATTGGCCATCGTGGAGGTTATGGTGCAAATAGTGTGAGCATCAACCTCAAAGTTTGCAGCAATTGGTTTATGTGTAAATGTATTGAGGAAAAAAAAACAACAAAAAAAACGTAGCTATTGAGGAGGAAAATACTGATCTATGTGATGTGTGTACATACATTTTTAACACTGGTAGCAATGTGGCGGTATGGTAGTTCTATTATAAAATATTAAACATATTTCCAAAGGCAGCAACCATTCATAGGCCATCATAATCCTACAGCTATATTTTTTTAATCAATCATTTAGTCTGTAGGACTGTCAGAAGAGGCAGAAATCTTGCAAGACTAGAAAGAAAAGGTCAGCTGAATAATACAATATAGTGGGTCATATCTACTGTTATTAAATAAAAGATTTAAAAAAATATATATTTCAAAGGCTTAACTACTTTAGCGAAGCAACAACTTGGAAACCATCGCTGATGTCGAACCAATAGTACACCTGTTTTTAGAACATTGAGGACAAAATGGAAGTCCAACAGAAAAAGCACATTTAACAGGGTAAATAAAAAGAACTTTACATCATTTTCAGTGACAACATAATTTATTAGTCACCACGTGTTATTGGAGGAATTCATGGAATTCTTTATTCAACATCATCTGTTCTCTCCGTAGAAACGTCAAAGGACATTACATGCTGGAAGTGTCCTTGATTTCAATACACAAATGTAAAAAATAAATACAAATCTTGAACGACAGAAGAAATTTAAACATTTCCCACCTTTAAGGTTAATGCTGTTCCAAAAACAAACATCAAACAACCACATTTCCCTAACAGGAAGAGCCCCCACCAATCAGGAGCTTTGCGTACTGGTGTAGGACGTCAGCTCTTATTCCATATACCTCTGTTGAGTGCTTATTTAAGGGATATGTTGTTCAACCCCAAGCAGTAGTTACATCCTTCAAATACGATTAGTGCTTCTACCAATTAATAAAAAAAAATAAAAAAATAATAAATATATATATATATATATATATATATATATATATATATATATATATATATATATATATATATATATATATATATACACCACAGCTGCTATCAGCCGCATTCATGGTTTCGTAAAAATTGAGAAGTGCACAGTATTTCTCCAGCCACCTATCAAAGCCCTAAAGAGGAGGCAAGGTGTTTAATGGCATTCAGGGACAATTTGCAAATTGCCAACTTAAAGACGTGGAGGAAGACAAGGGAAAACCAATTCCTTGCACTACAATGTATTAAAAAAAAATAAAATGTTTTTTTAAAAGTTATAGTGTTGCTTGAAGTGACCCTTCTACTCTAAGCAAGATAAAAAAAAAAAAATTAAAAAAAAATATTTTGCGTCCATCGACGCAGAAAAGGCCTTTGGCAGGGTTAGGTGGCAATTTCTGTTCTCAGTGTTGAAGGATCTGGACTTCCTGGAGGAATACATAACTGTCATAAGGGCGATGTATTATACGGTGAGGGCACAGGTACAGATAACGGGAGCCCTGCTGAAACCATTTAGGCTATACAACGGGACCAGACAGGGGTGCCCACTCTCCCCTCTTCTCTTCGTGTTGGCGCTGGAACCCTTATTACAAGCAATACGCAAACACCCGAACCTCAGAGGAATCACAGTGGGAGATAAAGAATTTACTGCCTCGGCATATGCGGACGACGTCCTCCTGACCATAACAGACCCGACAGCTTCGATGTCGGTACTGCAGGAGGTAATAACAGAATACGGGGAGGTGCCGGATATAAAGCGAATATCCACAAATCCAGCGCTATGTCAGTAGGCCTAACGGAGGCAGAAACAGTTAGAACACAGGAGACTTACAATATCCGGATGAAAAAAAAAAAAAAAAGACTCCTTGACATACTTAGGTATTCAACTAACGGCAGAACCGGAACGTCTATATTCTGCCAATTATACTCCCATGCTAAGGGCATTGACAAGAGACCTGGAAAAACGGACAGGCAAATCCATCTCTTGTATAGGACGGAGCAACTCTGTTAAAATGAACATCCTTCCACGCCTCTTATTCCTATTCCAAGCATTGCCCGTCCGAGTCACAAAAACGCAACTGTCACCATTACAAAAATCGATAGGGGATTTCATTTGGCAGAATAAGAGGCACAGGATCTCCAGACAAATCATGTATAGACGCAAGGATAGAGGGGGGCTGGGCCTACCTAGCCTAAAATTTTACTATATTGCGGCTGAATTGACGCAGATAGCTATGTGGCACTCCCCGCCGGAAGAAATTAGGTGGGTGGAGATTGAGTCCATGCTGGTGGGCTCGGATGTCCCCAATTCACGATGTGGGTTCTTAAGGAACATAGACCTATGATAAGAGTGACTTGTCCAGCCATACTCAACTCGCTCCATATATGGGATTCGAATAATGCCAAGTACGGGTTGATGTCGACCCCCTCCCCTCTTACTCCACTACTTAGAAACAGGGAGTTCCTACCCGGAATGGCTCCAAGGGTCTTTCGAAACATAGAAAGAACCGGACTACAGCGGATCCATCAGTTATATCGAAACGGAGAGATCATCCAGTTTGTGGAAATATAACAAGGCAACCATTTAACCCCAGCAGATTTTTTTCGATATATTAGAGCAGCAGCCCTGAGAAGGCTGACTTTCTTTGAGAAATTATGCACAGATGAAGTGGCACCTAAGAGAATGATCACACTTCTATATGCCCACCTTAGTGCAGAAAATAAAGAGTGGGGGAGATTGATATACACCGAGCAATGGGAGGCGGACCTAGGGGATGTCTTGAAAGGAATCGAGTGGCAGAAGATATGGGAAGCGAATAAAAATGCTTCCATATGTGTCACACTCCAGGAACAGACCTTGAAGACCATGCTCAGGTGGTATACTACACCCGTAAAGCTATACAAAATGCACAAACTGGACACGGACGACTGCTGGAGGGGCTGTGGAGCCCGAGGAACGTACATCCACATGTGGTGGGATTGCTCGATGATACGCAGCTTTTGGAAGGCGGTGGAGGATCTGCTGAAAAACATTTGACAGACCCCTGAAGATGGACCCCTGGATATACTTGCTAAACAGAACAGTAGATGGGTGGACTATGAGAGAGCAGAAACTAATACATAAAATAACTAAGTGTGCGCAGAGCAATAGCGACAGTGTGGCTAAAACCAGAGGGTCCAGAGTTCTCGGGGGTGATCTCTAGGACAGTGTTTCCCAACCCAGTCCTCAAGGCACACCTACCAGTCCAGGATTTAGGGATTACCCAGTTGTGTCTAAGGTGTTTTTTTTTTTTCTTCTTTGTAAAAACACCTTAGACACAACTGGGTAATCCCTAAATCCTGGACTGGTAGGTGTGCCTTGAGGACTGGGTTGGGAAACACTGCTCTAGGATACAAGAATGTAGAATTATGGACGATTTGACAGCTAGGGTAAAGGGAACAACGGTGTCTTTCCAACGACTTTGGGAACCATGGGACATTAGCCCAGTAGGCTCGAGTGGAGACTGACAGGGTTCAGATCAGAGAGTGGACTCCGATAGCTAAGGGAGGCCCCCCTATGGAAAATATGGCTATAATACTGTAAGAAGGGAAGCCCTCCCCCCCCCTTTTCCCTAAACTTTATTTTTCACTTCTTATTTCGTTTCAAGTTATATGTTTTTCTCTTTTCCCTTGGTTTCGAGGGAAAGGTATTTTATACCAGGCATGATCAAGCTGTCGGAGGAACTGGGAAGCCCATGAGCAGGGTAAGTTATGAGAAAATGAGAAAAGATGGGGCCCCTTATGCCGCCCACATGCCTGAATAAAAATAAAAATCCCTCGATGGGAGACAAATTGTGCTGGGATACAGGATGGACTTGCATTGCCTACTCAAATTGCATTATGTTAACAGTAACGATATTCATCTTGGCTTCTGCGTAAGCCTGAACGTTACTGTGCACTTGTCACACCTATCGAGTGAAAAATAAAGAATATTAAAAAAAAATAAAAATAAAAAAATACAAAAGAAAATAAATTGTCATGGAACAAAACAAAGAGGGGAAAAAAATTAAATATAAAATAAAAAAAAAGGTGTGGATGACAAGATCTGGTTCTGGAAAGCATTAATATTTAATCTATGCTTTGTGCTTGCAAAAGAGATTAAAAGATATAGTAGCAGACACCAACCAAGGTAATATGCCTGAATCATCAATATTACGTAAAAGTGTATTTATACATTTGCTAGCAACCTGACCTGAACTTTACTTCGATTTAGCCTACTTCTATCATCCAGCCCAAATAAATTGGGAGTTATCACTTCTTTATAAAAACCCCCATCTACACATGGATTTATATTATAATTTGGTTTTTTTCCCCACCCTATGCCCTTACCATACTGCTCTTTTGCAGTCGAAGAAATGAAAATATGTAAATCTAATAAAGATCTAACGAAGAGAAGAGGAAAAAAAAAGAATCAGGATGCATCCCTTTTCACATTGCACCCCTCACTGACCAACATTGTCAAAAAATATACACCACCTATGGCACACACACACACACCACTTCCTCTGTTGCTATGTTATGTCCAGCACCAATAAGGCTTACCGCACAATTAGCAGCACAAAATTAGCATATACCTGGTGGCCCTGAAGCAGTGGTTTGTACATTCATGCTTTTACCAGGTGTTGCTACAGTAGCTGCATAGTAATGAAAGTCACACATTCTGATAAGGAAGGTTTATGTGGTCTTGCATTGATCTCCTGATTACGTGGAGAACAAGCTAAAATATCTGGGGCAAATCAAGGAATTTTGCCAATCAGAGGAAGTGGATATCTCTAAGCCATCAGATCTAGATTACATGGTCTATAAAATAAGTTGCCTTGGGATGATAGGAGCAAAGCATTGATTTTGCCGGCTTAACCCCAGGTAACCATTAGCAAATGGTTTAACTACCTACATATGGAGGGGCACTTGTAATGGTCCGTGGAGTGTTTCTTTAACTGGTCATGTAGATTCTACATGATCCACATCTGCCATCTTAAAATACTACAACTATTGTATCAAAACAGTCACAAAAAACGAACGGGTATAGCGCTGTGGGGGGTTGTGTAAAACAATTTCTAGTTCTATTGCACTACAGTTTTCGGTCATTATTTGTACTGTATGAGAAGTCCAATGGCAGAATAAGAAATGTCTTAAGACAAAAAAAAAAATATATATATATATATACATATTGAGCCTTTTTGTGATACAAAAAGTAAGAAAAAGTATGTGTGTTATTAGTATAAGCAGCCTGTTATTGTCTATTGTTGTGACTTAGATGATGATCAGATCACATTTTATGACCAATATGTGCAGAAATCCATATCATTCCAAAGGGTTCACATACTTTTTCTTGCAACTGTATGTACTGGTGCGGTTTCCATTGAGCTAGCTTATTGTAAAATATTTTACATCGCAGCTATAGTGTGAACAAAGAAAGAAGACTGACTCATTCCGCTAAAGCAATAAACAGTAAGCTCACAAGCCATCTTGCTGATTACGTTGTATAAAAGGGATTTAAATACTAGATTTTAAGCCAATGACCGGGTCCTCTCTTCCATTTGTATTAACAAATCCAACTAACTAGGTCTGCTTCCCCCAACTGTACAGCTCTGTTGGGGCTTTATAAATAAAAATTATTAAACATAAGCATGGATTTTCTCTTACACACACTATTATCTTGGATACATTAAAAAGGGGTAAATAAATAGTGCTCCACCTCCATCATGCCGCTTGACTGGATCAAAAGTATTTAAAATGGTTACGTTGAACAATGACATACACATTTATATATAGTAAGGAAACACTGGGGAATGCAAATACAAACAAAAACACAAATGTAAAGTATAAAATATGAACACTACATAGGACGCACCAGGTATTATGGAGTATGGTAATAATTGTGAACAGGGTTATTTACTAAACTGTTATTACAGTAAACCTTATAGCATACCATGAGAACAGTTGGGAACAAAATCTTAATTTTTGGGGTATTCTAAAAACTAGTCTATTTAGTGCAATATCTGTAATTAAATTTTCAGTTATTTAGCAACTTAACTCCAGAGTATAATACAATCAGTGGAAACGCTTATTAAAAAGCACATATACACAAAAATGGGTGGGTGGGGAGATATATATATATATATATATATATATATACACATACACACTCACAGATTTTTGTGACTATTCCCTTGGCTTGCCGAGCTTCATGGGAAATGTAGTTTACAAACACTTGGGACCTCAAGGTTATTTATTACTGCCATACAAATCCTGAGAGTTACATTGTTTTTCTTCAAATTACCAGCCAAAACATTTTGTCAACCTCAGGGAAAGATTTCACTATTAACTGGAAAACTGGGCCCATGTTTTATGTATTATTTATATAGACATTATGTGCGGTGTTGCAAAATGGGTAAACAGGATAAGTCAAATAGATTGTGACAAGGTGTATAGGGCTCTGTTCAAATAAACAGGCAATAAACAAATGGCTCTTCTACTCTGGTGGGGGACTGTCCCTAAAGATAAGTCACAGTGTTATTTTCTGTATGCCCTCATTGCTCAAGTACATCCTTTTCATCAACCTCCAAGTATCAGCCAAAATACACAATTATCACATTGCCAAGTAAGACACTGCTTTTTAGGGAAGCGTCTAAAGAAGGTAGTTTCATTGCAAATTCATTTTAATGTATATATTAAATTAGACTATGGGTAATTGAGCAAGTTTTATCAAGAATGGGTCACCAGCCTGATGCAATGCACATAATTTGGGTCCCTGAGAAAATAGATTACAAGAAGAACTAGTGATCTTTTCAGGGAAGTACAAGGATAGTTGCTACCCAATATGTTTTTTTTAAACTACTTCACACAATGTTCAGACAGTCAAACTGTATACATCATAGGAAATTTAGTAAAGAAGTACATAATGTGTAAAAGCTGCTACAGATCCCTTGAGGACATCAAATCAGCTTATAAGGAAGCTATGGATTTAATGCTTTCCTATGAAAACATTTGATTGGACATGTGCATCTCGTCTCCAATGCTCCTCTATGACGAGCATTCATTCAATTGGACTAGAATCTGGTAGTTGACACCCCCAGGATGACGTGGCAGGAGGAGGTGCAGGCAGCAGCACAGAGTACGCTTTGGCACTTTTTTCCCCAACTTGATTTTAAATTTGATTAAGGGGGTTCTGCATCTAACTATGTTTTTCATGCAATTCATGAGAGACAGGAATTTACTGCAAGGTATCGCACCATGGGCTTTAACAGTTTCCAGAATTTCATGGAATCCAAATTCTGGGAAATACTGTCCAACAGCAGATGGAATACAAGCTTGGACACATGTAGCTTGCAGAATACATATTGACTTTTCATGATTAGTGGTTAGCAAGGATCCAATAAGTCACAGGTTCGAATGTGTCCATTTGAGCTGCTATACGTAACATCCACTTCAAAAACAAGCAAGCAGGGCTCAGGTGGCTGTGCACTGCTGGGCTACTACAGAGGGACCACTCATTTGTTAATAGCGCCCCAAGGGTCGTTTGTTAACCTGCACACACACTTGAATATGCAATTTACGTAACTCCACCGATATGCATGGTATGGTTCCAGAGACTTGGGAAATAATTGACTTGGGAAATAATACTAGCTGTCCTTACCCTATTTAAAAGAACAGCTCTTTCAGATTTACTAAAAGTGTGAATTCTAAGTGAATTTTAGGTTGTAAAACAAAATAGCTGAATTGAAAAAATATCCAGTTCAACTGTGTTTTCAGTACAGCTATTTCAGCTTAAAATTTGGAAATCATCCTGACAATTCTGAGTTTGGCGAATAATCCTGTTTTCTGTAACTAGGCACCAACATATTATATAGCACTGTACGCTTGCTAAACCAATATATATGTGTGTAGATTGGATGATATATATATATATATATACACACACACACACACACACACACACACACACAATGTTAAAAACACAAGTATATAGAAAAAGAATAAATACAGACACAAACACAATGAAACATAAACAAAACATACCATTTGTGCTGTCCCCAATTGTAGGGTTGAAAAATCTCCTATCCACTATTTTTAAAAAATAGTTAGTGTGGCACATTACCATCTAACCGTTCCTGTATTCTAGATTTCTATTTTCATTAGGTAAAATAAAATAGAGAAAATGTAACAGACAGCAGAAAATTGATTTATAGCATAATAAGCATATTATAATTATAGCATAATTTGCATACCCACAAATAGATAGAGCCCATAAATCTGCTGTAAACAGCAATAGATCGATCTAAAGATTGGTTCATTTTATAACTCAGCCACAGACATCACATATTTAAGGAAGTGATTTTGTCATGAAGCTGAGTTTTTGATTTGTACACCAAAACAACTTTCTGTTCTCTCCATTCTGACTTAGAAGCAAAGAGTTTACTATTTCTAATGCCACTTTGCGCAGTGGAACCATATTTCAACGGTGTGCCAGGATGTCAAGACTTGTGTAGCACTGCCCGGAAACTGGATTGAATTTAGTTGTTTTTTTCTCATGGCTATATGTGCACATGAAAGGGCATTTATGAAAAGTGAGCAGACAACATACTTAATTTAAAGGACAATAAAATGGAGTTGGACAAAAATCACCAGTTTATCTGATTATCTCAAGTCCATTCCCCACCCGCAACTCGGACAAAATGTAACTTGTTGAATGCCAAACCTTACTTTTGAAATATCGAACTTGAGTCCTTTTTCAACCTAGATTAACACATAACACGCAATTTACCATACAAAACCCAGTGGTACACAATTAATGAGCAAAGTGCCAAAAACATGATAAACATGTCAGACAGCCCCAGTCAGTCAATAGAAGAGACATCCCTAACCTGAGATCAGTCACACAAGAGAGTACAGATAAAGACCACGTTCATGACGACTGGGTTCCAATGATTACCAGTGCACTGTGCAGTCAAGTGCTGCCTAGCCCCCAAAATCTATACTTTGTTGTCCTTTTTGTACTTCCACTGCATCAACAATTGTTGTGCCATGAGTCATTAGAAGAGTAAGCAATGTATATTTCATTATTAAAGCAACGTACTTCCATTTAAAAGCTATGGCTTAATGTACCAACATTACAACTAAACATTTCCTGCACAATTAATAAATAAAAGTACCTGCCACCGTTAACAAAAAGACTGCACAATCTCTTATTTGTCTAGCCACGGACCCAATATTGGGGTGGCACATGTCCAGTGACGTTTTAGAAGGATGTTCCTTTCCGGTAACAACAGAAGACCACGATGCTTTGCTCTGGGGAGTCTAAACTTGGTGATCTGGGCACGGACGAGTATGTGAATTTTTAGTTCCACGACAGCTGGAGATGTATAAAATCCTTTCAAGTATTCTGCAATGTGTTTCTCAACCCTGTGACAATTTTTATTTTTTTTTATTTTTTTTAAATCTACATCACATGTATTCTGTTTGTTAATATACATTTCGGAGCAGGCAGTTAAACCAAGTGTATTCTCACAACACAGACCTAAAACAGGCAGATGAGTTGAAGTGCCAGCTCTAATGGGGTAAACGGAAATCATATTAACTTATATTTCGTTTTTTTTTGTTTGCTTGTTTTTAATTGTATTTAAAAAATTACCGGAGGGAATATAATACGATTCCAGCTAGTTTCTTCGTACTCTACAGATTTAGACATTTGAAAGACAAGCCTGGTTGCCTTCACAATAAACCGTAAAATAGTTTAAAAACACAGACATTCACGAAATTGGGAACAATGGGATATTGATAAGGGAAAATCAATTATTAGGACTATATAGCTTTTGGGCAAAATGTGCTACTGTCTAAATGACCTTATTCAGCAAATAAACACCAAATTATTTGGTTTAAATCATTTTATTACAGACTGTAAAGCTGATAGAAGTATGAAGAACAAAGACAATGTAATAGTTAAGTTGATATAGAATGGGTTAAACAGGTATATGCATAGGTCTTAAATCCACTTGATCAAACAGGCTTCACATGCATGTGTTTGCATCAACAATACTTCTGGCCCCAGGGGGCTTACAATACATCCCAAGGGGATATACTGATGGCATGCTGCATCTGTCTAAATCACTGCAGTGTCACACAGCGGCCTAGGGACAGCATGATAAGGAACTGCTAACTTGCTTCACATATGGATACAGAGGGATTTTATCCATGTGACATTATTCAATGAATGGCAGGCCTAACAGGCTACTGTAAAGGACACTGCAAAGCATGTAACAAAGGGAAAGGAAATGCAGAAATTATGTTTGAGCCGAATTCATGTTATTCTTTTGAACACGGCTCTGAAAAAGCTTTATACATAACATACTAAATGACAGCTCTAATGTATAATAAGCCGATCTATTCTCCATGCGGCTGGGCGACTGCCCATTCAATCCCTGTTTATATGACAGGGACTGTTCACAAAGGGAGGATGAGATGTAATTTAGACTTTAAGGGGTCACCGGACTTGCGTTTTGGCAAGGATGCTTTCGGTGCCATGGGAAATTAAATGTGCTGTGCTTTAGCCCTACCTGGAAGTAAAAACGTCGACTGAAATAAATACCAAGTCCGTTAATACAGGGCCTTGGCTGCAATTAGATTAAAACAGCAAAGCCCTGGTTAATCCAACTGGCGGGAGAGGAGTTAAACACACGCAATTATAAAACCTGTGAGCTGCAGTCGGCAGCTGATATGCACATCTACATCCAAGTGAACACAATATTTTGTTAAGACAGTACAAAAGCGTTACATTATTATTTATCAGCCGTCCAATCCCACAGCGCTGTACAATAGTTGGTTATCATCACAGGTGCCAATAATACTGGGTACCAAATCCAGAACATCAGAAATGAGATTTAATGTTACAAAAAAATAAATAATGAAAAAACACCATGCGCCCAACTGAAAATAAATAGGAGTTCTCAAAGCCTTGATTCCCATCACAAGAATACAAAAAAGATACCCCCCAAACAATTAATGACCACGATATGTTCAGTACCACACCCATATACCAAACTCCACTGCAAGCTGACAATTATCAATAGGGATAGTGAGGCCTGGTCTACCGTAACCCACAGTTTCATCAATCTAGAGAACAAATTACTATTATTAATTTTATTTTATTTTTTAAATACACAAATTCTCAGTAACCTCTTGGCCTGGTTAAGAAGTAGGGAACCTGAAAGGACTTATTTAACTAGCCCCCTGCACCTGTAGGGAAGAATGGCATTGAGCCAATGTCCTGGGTAACGTGCGTTGTAACCAGACCCTCCTCAACTTCATCACCTGGATCAGCAATAATGCATGTCAGCCAATATATAGATAAGACCAATACACAGACCAGTTGATGCAGGGCACCCACTCTGCCTTGTCAGTGGCCTCTTCAATTTTATATCATGCTTGCACCAGCATGGCAGCCACATGAATAAATTGAATTTATGAATAAAATGACTGTATGCCAACACCCCCACACTGTACCCAAGATTTTCCCTATCAAGCCATGCATCATTTTATTGAAGCTATAATTTCTAATCAATACGTTAATTTACTGTATGCCACCAAAGTGCCCCCTCCCTGTCTAGACCAGGGAATCTTTCAAGTCCCTCTGTACCAAATAATGACAGTCAAAACATACAGAAAATGATATTAAACCAAATGGATGTACTGCTTTGTACCCACCAGGCCTACCCAACCACTTGCGTACCTATATATAAGCAAAATATACCGGTAAACCCAATAACAACAAATCAAATTAATGTACACCGACCACAGTGCCCTCTCCAAGCCCTGTACCCACAAATGTGTCCCCTCCCTGACCTGTACTAACAATGGTCTCTCCCAACCCTGTGACAGAAACATATATAGATATTTAGTCAAATAACATAAGACATATGACTATTCCACCCCCAGTGCCCTCTCACAGACCTGTACCCACCAGGGCTCCCCCCCTGTACCAATACATGATAGCCAGATACACAGGAATAGACAAATAATCCAAATTACTGTATGCCACCCCAGTGCCCAACATATTACCTGTGCCACTCCCTGCCCTGTGCCCACCAAGGACTCCCCAAACATCACCTGTACCAATGCATGATAGCCGGATAGAAGACAAATAATAAACCAAATGACTGTATGCCACCCCATGTGCCCTGTACCCACCAGAGCCTCCCCAAACACCACCTGTACCAATGTATGATAGCCATATATATATTGGAATAGATGAATAATCCAAATTACTGTATGCCACCCCAGTGCCCAATATATTACCTGTGCCCCTCCCTGCCCTGAGCCCACCAAGGACTCCCCAAACATTACCTGTACCAATACATGATATCAGAGATATAGAAAATGATAATAAATTAACCACATGACTGTATGCCACCCCCAGTCCCCCCTCCCAGCCCTGTGCCCACCAGGGCCTCCCACAACATTACCTGTACCAATACATGATAGCTAGATATACAGGCATATATAAATAATCCAAATTACTGTATGCCACCCCAATGCCCCATGCCCACTCTTAGCCCTGTGCCCACCAGGGCCTCCCACAACATTACCTGTACCAATACATGACAGCTAGATATACAGGAATATATAAATAATCCAAATTGCTCTATGCCACCCCAATGCCCCATGCCCACTCTTAGCCCGGTGCCAAGCAGGGCTTCCCACATCACCTGTACCAATAATGACATCAGAGATATAGAAAAAAATTGTATGCCACCCCAGTGCCCCCTCCTAGCCCTGTGCCAAGCAGGGCCTCCTGCCCCAGGGCATGGCAGCCCCCACCATATTAAATAATCCCAGCACCCCCCCCCATGGGCAATGCCCCCCTTTTATTTCCCAGCACCCCTCCCCCCCTGCCATGGGCAGTGCCCCCCTTTTATGCACCCCTGCCATGGGCAGTGTCCCCTTTATTTCCCAGCACATCCTCCTGCCATGGGCAGTGCCCCCTTTTATTTCCCAGCACCTCTCTGCCATGGGCAGTGCCCCCTTTTATTTCCCAGCCTCCTGCCATGGGCAGCCCCCTTATTTCCCAGCTGCCTCTGGGCCCAACAGTGCCCTGCACAGCATGGGCAGTGCCCCCTTTATTTCCCATGGGCAGTGCCCCTTTTATTTCCCAGCTCCCCATGGGCAGTGCCCCTTATTCCCCAGCCTCTCTGCCATGGGCAGTGCCCCTTTATTTCCCAGCACCCCAGCCTTTATATGGGCAGTGCCCTTTTATTTCCCAGCTCCCTGCCATGGGCAGTGCCCCTTTATTTCCCCAGCCTCTGCCATGGGCAGTGCCCCCTTTATTTCCCAGCCCCTTTTATTTCCCTCCCCAGCCCTGCCATGGGCAGTGCCCCCTTTATTTCCCAGCCTCTGCCATGGGCAGTGCCCCTTTATTTCCCAGCCCCTTTTTGCTTTCCCCAGCACCCCACCTCTGCCATGGGCAGTGCCCCCTTTATTTCCCAGCCCCCAGCCCCTGCCATGGGCAGCCCCAGCCCCTTTGCCCTTTTCCTCTAGCCCCCAGCCCTGCCATGGGCAGTGCCCCTTTATTTCCCCAGCCCTGCCATGCCATAGCAGTGCCCCCCTTTTATTTCCCAGCCCCCCCCCCCTCTCTATAATAAATAAATAAAGGAGAGCCCCACTTACCAGCTCACAGGCTGTCACACAGGGGAGCCCACACAGGGAGGAGGATTTACTGTCCTGCGTGGGGACAGCAGCAGCTAACGCCTCATTAAAAATGGCTAATTACAAATAAATAAATAAGAATAGGATAGAGTGGGAGAGAGGCTCAGGCAGTGGGGGGGGAGGAGAGAGTGGTGGGAACGCGCAGCGCGCTCCCGGCAGCAGCACGAAGCCTGAGAATAAGGCAGACACGGGCACGCGCACAGGGACCCAGCGAGGGCGCGCGCGCACGCCGGCTTCTCGAAGGCAGGGACCAATCGACTTGAGAAGTGGGCGGGAACCGGCGATGAGCTTTGACCAATCAAAATGGGGAAAGGAAAAAAAAACAATTATTAAAGGCCGCAATCAGGACTACTATAGGTCGAGAGGACCGGGCAATGACAGCAAAAGGAACAAGGCGACCAATCAGAGACGAGAAAACTAAGCCAATCACAATATGGAGATGGCGGGCTGTAACCAATGAGAACACTAAGAGAGGCAGATTGTGACCAATCGCAGGGCGCGTGGGCGGAGCTGTTCCAGTCGCTGTGATTACATGGGAAGGAGGTGTTGGGATCTATTTATTTTGAGTGATTAGAAGGGCTGGACATAAACATATAAACCTAACATGGCAGACACGTTGCATCATGGGAGTTGTAGTCAGAACACCTTTTTACCACCACTTAAAGGGGAACTGTCACCAACCATGGTTTTTAATTAATATTATGTTTGTTTATCTCTATATTTACAAAATGTTGTGAGGTATGAAAAATAAAACTAAATACAGAAATCCACAACTATTTATCCTGCAACTGGCCGCCTCCATCTTAGGTCCCTGTCAATCATTATTATTATTAATAATATTTATAAAGCGCCAACATATTCCGCAGCGCAGTACAATGGTCTGACAGACGAGTATCTGTAACCAGACATGGGGTTTAGACCGGGTTTTGGGTGCTGGTCAAACGAGCTTACTTATTATTATAAACTCTGTGCTTTGCACCTGGCAGTCAGCATAGAGAAAGCAAACAGACATGCCTCCTAATAGGCCCGATTTTGTCGGGACAGTCCCAATTTTCAGGTTCTATCCAGGTTTGTTCCCTGGTGTCCCGTTTTTTGGAGGCACCAGAGAACTGTCCCCTAAAAGCATAGGGTGAGCGGATCATTAGATGCATTTGATCTACACTCAGGGCTCTAATAACCTGCAGAGTGCACTGAAATCGCGCATTGGTTTGCCCTCAATGGGTTGGCCTGCTTGATTGGACCCTTCTCTTTCTGGGTAGATGCACTTCTTTGGGCAGAGCCAGCATCACAATGACATCACTGGCTTGCCCACTTTATCCCCCACCCAAAAAAAAAACCGGCTACCTAAGTGCCTTGTTTGCCTCATGTCTTGGGGGGGCCAAGAGGTGGCCGGCTGGCCACCGTTGGGTCCTCCCGAGGCATTTAGCTGTCTCTAAGTGTAGGCGGGCGGCGAGGGAGCGCAGTCCTTTGAGCCGGAATTTGACGTCACTCTGGCCCCAGCGGTGCGCGAGGGTGCAGAGCAGGAATAGCGCAGTTTCCTCGCCACCTCCATTGAGCGCCTGCGCGGACAGCCATCAAAGTAAGCCCAGCGAGCAAGGAGGCTTCCAGCCCTGTGAGCCCAGCCAGCAACGAGCCTTCCCACCCCTCCAGCCAGCAGGAGCCCGCCCAGCCCCAGGGACAGGATTCACTCCATCTCTCCCAAAGGAAGGGAGGCTATGTGGATTTAAATTATTTAAAAAAATAATACTTGGTAAGTGTATGAGAAAGTGTGTGTGTCTTTGTGTGTGTCTGTCAGTGAATGTGTTGTGTGTGTCTGCCAGTGAGTGTGTGTGTGTGTCTGCCAGTGAGTATGTCTGTGTATGTCACTGTCAGTTAGTGTGTCTGTGTGTGTGTGTGTGTCTGTCAGTGAGTGTGTCTGTCAGTGAGTGTGTGTGTGTGTGTGTGTCTGCCAGTGAGTATGTCTGTGTCTGTCAGTGAGTGTGTGTCTGTCAGTTAGTGTGTGTGTGTCTGCCATTGAGAATGTGTGTCTGTCAGTGAGTGTGTGTGTGTGTCTGCCAGTGAGTATCTCTGTGTCTGTCACTAAGTGTGTGTCTGTCAGCGAGTGTGTGCTTCTGTCAGGGAGTGTGTGTGTCTGTCAGAAAGTGTTTGTGTGTCTGTTAGTGAGTGTTTGTGTGTCTGTCAGTGAGTGTGTGTATGTCAGTGTATGTTTTGGTCTCAGTGTTTCTGTGAGTGAATGTGTGTGTCTGTCAGAGTGTGTCAAATTAGTGAGGATGTTTGTGTCAGTGTGTGTATGTCAGTGTATGTGTGCCTGTCAGTGAGTGGGTGTGTCAGTGTGTGTGTGTCTGTCATTGAAAGTGTGGGTTGTTAAACAGTGTGTGTGCCAATGACTGGATGCGTGTGCCAATGACTGTGTATCTGTCAGTGAGTGTATGTCAGTGCATGTGTTAATGAGGGCGTGCATCTATCAGTCAGAAAAGTGGCCTTGACACAAAGTGGTGGGGTAAATTCAGATTAGGGGTGTCTCTGAATTTAGTCGTGCCTAGGGTAGCACAAATCCAAGATACACCAATGTCTGTGGCTAGTGAAGATTCTAGTACTTACTTCCTTGTTACTGCTGGACATTGGCCAATTACATGCGTCTCACAGTAGCAATGAGGACAGATCTCCATTCTAAAGCATTTCATAAAGATTAATATTATTATTATTATTATTATTGGCTTTTATATAGCGCCAACAAATTCCGTAGCGCTTTACAATATAATTGGAGGGGGAGATTTAACAATACATAAGACAATTACAGAAATTTACAGGAACAATATGATGAAGAGGATCCTGCTCAAACGAGCTTACAATCTAGAGGAGGTGGGGTATAAAACACAGTAGGCCAGGAGGTAGCAATCAAGCAAGGTGGGAGTGAAGCAGGAGGAGAGAATAGAGTGCTACCCTTTAGGAGAGAGCAAGGGACAGGTATGTGAGGTAGAGGTTACTCTGGGAGGCCATAAGCTTTCCTAAAGAGATGGGTTTTATTTTAAGGCACTTGGGTGGTTTTATGCAGATTTAGGCATTCATTAAAAAAAATATATATATATATATATAATACTTAAAGTATTTATTTTTACACGTCTAAAACGGCAACTTGCCATTAAAGCTATGGTGTACCAAAATCCTTGTGAGTCTCAGGTTGATGGGCGTTATATTCCTCATAAGTTGTTATCTCACTGTCACATTACTACTGATGTATATTTTAACTCCCACCAGCCCTATCTCACTGAGGCATGTCTTGCACTAAATGTGATGGGACATAAATTCCCTTCATAGCGGCTTGTGTTATTTTTTTATTTTGACCTATGCTTCTAGGAAGGGCAGGGGTCATAGACTAGAACTGATTTATGGGATGGGGGAGGAGGGGTTGTGCTGTTATTTCATGGGATAAAAATGTTAAATTATTTTCAATATCATCATCGGCATTTAAAGAGTAGAAACATATTCCGCATTGCTTTAAAATGTTTTAATTTTTTATTTAGGAGATATGAAGGTCATACAAATTGCAAACCAATATAAATGTGAGAAGACCAGAACATTTACAAGCCTTTAGATTGTAAGCTCGCTTTCTATCTCTTTGTATAAAAGAGCTTCAGTGGCTAGATCTTAGCTTACAGCAGGGACGCATGAGCCGCGAGGCAAACAAGGCATTTGCCTTGGGTGGCATTTTTCAGGGGCAGCAAAAAAAGCTGCCCCCACATGCCCAGGGCAAATGCCTAGTTAGCCTTGCGGCTAACTGACATGCTGGGCTGGGCGGGCGGCGCTGGCTGATGGTCGGGGGGGTCTGCTCAGCTCCCTCGCGCGCCGCAGAGTGAGGCTGGGAGCCGGAATATGACGTCATATTTCGGCTCCCAGCCTCACTCTTTGGCGCGCGAGGGAGCTGAGCAGACCGCTCAGAGGAAGGTGCTCCCTCGCCAGTCGCCCGCCCAGCTCCCAGTAGCCAGCCCATCAGCCCGACCGGCAGCCACTGGACCCCCAGGGAGAAAGAGAAACCCCCCCCCAGCATTCCCAGGAAAGGAGGGGGGGGTTAAATAATACAACAAAAGTGTTAATGTGAGTGATTGTGTGTGTGTTTGTGTCTGACTCTGTGTGTGTGTGTGTGTGTGTGTGTGTGTGTGTCTGACTGTGTGTGTGTGTTTGAGTCTGAGTGTGTGTTTGTGTCTGACTGTGTGTGTCTGACTGTGTTTGTGTCTGACTGTGTGTGTGTGTGTTTGTGTCTGACTGTGTGTGTGTGTATTTAGAAGGTGGGGCGGAGGGGAAGGGTTGGGTGGGGGTGGCGCGGGGGGAGGGGGGTGCCTGAGTTTTGTCCTGCCTAGGGCAGCACAAAACCAGGATACACCACTGGCTTACAGGCAGGGCCTTCTCTACCTCTTTGTATTTTTCTGCGTATATTGTACATGCTCCACTAATTGTACAGCACTGCAGAATATGTTGGTGCTTTATAAATAATAGTAATAAATTTAAAAAAAAAACCTGTCTCAATTTGTAGTGTAGGAACAAAAAACTTGTTTGAAGAAAAAAAGAGGTATGGAAAGGATTGGGAGTGATGCACATGGGGAGCGAAGGCCTATGAGTCAAAGGAATAAATCAAGCCAAGAATCCCAAATTTGTAAAATGGGGAGTGAGTATTACGAGCAGTTGCTATCAATAAGTCCATTAAGTGGTTGACTTCAATTTTAGCTCTAACATCACAAAGACAAGGGGGAATGTTCTCCACCTAGATGCGACCAAAACTCAACTGGCTGCTAAAGTAATTTTAATAAAAATCGTTTGAGCACCCTATAGTGCTCCCTCCCTCTCGGCCCCCCCAACAGTGATAACCTCTGTCTCCTGATTCTAGCGCAGATGTTGCGGCGTGATTGACGCGCTCACATTAGGTCTTCTCCCATAGGAAAGCATTGTATAATGTTTTCCTATAAGGTTTTGGGTGATGCTGGTTGTCCTCATGAAGAGCGTGATGACTTCCAGTGTCCGTTAGGCGATCTCCTGTAAGTCCCTCTAGGGGCTGTCTGGTAGCCAGTAAAGGTGGAGTTAACCCTGCAATGTAATTATTGCAGTTTATCAAAAACTGCAATAATTATAATTGCAGGGTCAAGGCGCCTGGGACACTGCACCAAGACCATTAACACAGGAGCCTTAACAGCAGACACACAAGGACATTTGTGTGTCAGTGTGAGATTAGCAGAATCTCCTGCCATTTTAGTAACAGCAACTGAGATAGCTGCTGACCAAGACTAATCTCTACATTACATTATCATTATTTCTTACACCATACTACTTTATCACTAACCACGAACCTTACACTGTAGGCTAACACACTGTATTAAATATTAACCCCTTAACTGGTTGAAAGTAGGAAAAATGGGCAAGCGAAAAGATTTGAGGGACTTTGACAAGGGCCAGACAATGATGGCTAGACAATTGGGTCAGAGCATCTCCAAAACGATAAGTCTTGTGTGGTGTTCTGGGAATGCAGTGGTTAGTACCTACCAAAGGTGGTGCAAGGATGGACAACTGGTGAACCAGCCTTAGGGTCATGGGCATCTAAGGCTCATTGATGCACGTGGGGAGCAAAGGCCAGGCCGTCTGGTCCAATCACACAGGAGAGTTACTGTAGCTCAAATTGATGAAAATCTTGATGCCTGCCATGATAGAAAGGTGCCAGAACACACAGTACACTACAGTTTACTGCATTGTCAACTACATGGCTGCAGACCGGTCAGAGTGCCCATGATGACCTGTCCACCGCTAAAAGAGCCCTAAATGGGAAAGTGAGCATCAGGACTAGACCATGGAGCAATGGAAGAATGTTGCCTGGTCTGATTAAACACATTTTCTTTTAGATCAGGTGGATGGCCGAGTGCATGTGCATTGCTTACCTGGGGAAGAGATGGAAGCAGGATCCACTATGGGAAAAAGGTTGGCTGGTGGAGGCAGTGTGATAAGCTGGATCTGTGGTGGTGGTGTGTCTAGGGCCCACCACAGATCCAGATATTTCTATATTCAGTGTATCCAAAACATGCAGAGAACAGTATATATACAAAACAATCAAGTATAAAAATACGCACAATGTTTTGTTATAGGGTATAATGTCCCTATTATAGCTGCCCTTAGTTTTTATTCATGCCTGTTTGTTTTCTATGCTTTAAGGTGAACCATCCTTTGGTTATTGTCTTTGACTGATCACCATTTATAACCCAGACTGGACTCTGAGGTCAGAAGTGTGTTAAAGGGACACTGTAGGCTCTATGACCATTTAATTTCCTTGAATTGGTTATTGTATGTGAAACCTACTGGCACTGGCACTCCATTCAGTGTTATTATTATTATTATTGGCATTTATATAGATCCAACAAATTCCGTAGTGCTTTACAATATTATAAAAGGGGGAGATTTAACAATCATTTTCAAGCAGTAGACAGTAGATGAGAGTCCTTGGCTTCCCACAGCCCGGCCCACACTGGAGGTTTGGCTAAGGCATATATTGCACACTTCCTTGTAGCCATACTGATTCATATCAGCAATGGCACTGTGATAGGCTGAGAGTGTTAGCTGACCACATTCAGCCTATCACAACCACACATTGCTGCTTAGGCTAATGCTTTCTAATTAGTCCTAGCACCACAGAGGAGATAGATTGCTGAGAACTCTTGTTTAGCAATAAAACATTAAAAACTACTTAAAGGGACACTATAGTCACCAGAACAACCACAGCTTATTTAATTTGTTCTGGTGAGTAGAATCATTACCTTCAGGCTTTTTGCTGTAAACACTGTCTTTTCAGACACACAATGCAGTGTTTACATTACAGCCTAGTGATAACTTCACTGGCCACTCCTCAGATAGCTGTTAGAGATCCTTCCTGGGTCATGGCTGCCTAAAATGCATCCAAACATTCAGTGTCTCCTCCCTCTGCATGCAGACACTGAACTTTTCTCATAGAGATTCATTGATTCAATGTATCTCTATGAGGAGATGCTGATTGGCCAGGGCTGTGTTTGAATCATGCTGGCTCTGCCCCTGATCAGCCTCCTTGTCAGTCTCAGCCAATCCTATGGGGGAGCATTATGATTGGATCAGGCTACCACTTCTGATGATGTCAGCAGACTGCTTGTTTTTCTGAGTCAAACAACATGCAGAGTTACAGCTTCAGGCTTGAATACAGTAAGATTTTGCTATAGTTATGGAGGCATGAGGGGCCCAGGGGGACTAGATGGTGGTTTTAACACTATAGGGTCAGGAATACATGTTTGTGTTCCTGACCCTATAGTGATCCTTTAATGCTGAATGGAAGGAGAGCACAAGGGGATTCCAGATACTATAACCACTTAAATGAGATGAAGTAGTTATGGTGCCTACATTGTTCTTTTAACTTGGTGGAATGCCCCACTTTACACGGAAATCAATGGGTCCTGATCAGGGTAACTAAAACTGGCTGTGCATTTTTATGTTTCTTTTTAACTTTTATCAGGTGTTTAAACTGGAATTACAATAATTATCTTCCTGATATGTGCTTTTCCTTTCATCTGTTTCAGAGCATGCTTCCAGCATGAGGAATCATAGCAATGCAGATGTTTGTG